TTTTAAATATTATCTTTTAGTCTTTATTTAAATATAGATATTTAAGCTTTATTATTTTACTTTATTATTACTGCATAATACTAAAAGATAATTATATAATTAGCTGTTCTTTTAATTTATTATAGTTATTATATTACTAATTTAGTATACTATTCTTTATTAGTAGGTCTAAATATTTATTAGATTTATTTTTTAAATTTAGAGTAGTCTTTAATCTATTTATAGATTTCTATACTAGTAGTTTTATTTATATACTTTTTAAAGTCTAAATTAATCTATAATAGTACTTTACTTCTTATATATATTGCTATAAAGGCTATTTTAATTTTACCCTTAATATTAAATATTAATTTAAAATAAAGATTTAACTAAAATAACTAGTTATTAAGCTTATTCCTTTCCCTATAAAAAAAGTTAAGCTTTAAAAGTTTAGTTTTATCCTTTTTAGTAGCAGTTAGTTAATATATTATATACTTTTGCTAAGAGCGTTGCTTATTTAATATAGATCTAGTTATATTTATTTTAAAGGTATTTAATATATTATAACCTTAGTATTTAAAATAGTAAATAATATTAGCTAATTTAACTATAAGTTAATAGGTTAGTTCTCCTAGAATATAAGTAACAATTAAATAATAAATAAAAGTAAAAATAGTAAAATAGAATTAAGTTATAACTATTTTAAATCTTATAATAAAAAATAAAACTTATATTAAATATAAAGAAATTTATTTAAAGAAAAGAATAAAAAATTCTATATATATAATTTTATTTAACTTACTTAATAGTACTTAACTTTTAATTACTTTAAGCCTATTTAATTTAGAAGTTGCTTAATACTCTTAGCGCTTAAGTATACTTAAATACTTTAGCTATCTTTTCCTTCTTTTAATTATTTTTTCTTATAACTTAATATAGCTATAGTCTTTATCCTATAGCAGTTACCTAGTTATACCTATTGCGCAAGGTTATAATACTACCTTAGATTCTAAAAACCTTTTTTAATATAATAAAAACTTAGAGTATTATTATTTAATTCTTAAGGAGTAATAATAAGTTCTAAAGTAATATAATTAATAAAATATATATAAATTATAATATTATTCAAAAGATAACTGCTTTTTATACTTTTTATTAAAATAAAATAGCTAAATATAGCTTTAGTATATTATTTAGAAAAGTTTAAATAATATTATATAATATTAGTATATATTAACATTTTTAAGGGGAAGTAGCAGCTTATATAATTTATATTAAAGACTATACCGCTATTAAAGTAATAAAAAAGACTTTAATTAAAGCCTAAACTATTTAATAATTAGATATATTTTATATAAAGACTTTTAGCTATTATAATTAGTATTATAATCTAAAATATAAAACTAAACTAAATAATAGAAAAATTAAATATTAACTTCTTAATTATAGTACTAAAAACTAATACTAAATGTAGGATCTAGTAAAGAAGAAGATTATTATTATTATTATATATATTAAATAAAATAAGTTATAAACTTATAAAACTAAAGGAAATATAAATATTTAAATAATTACTAAAATCTTATATTTATAAATAATAAAAAAAAAATTCCTTAAATAATTTAAATAATAGCTTCTTTATTTCTTCTATAAATAAAGGAATTAAATATTACTAAAAATATTATTAAGACCTTATTAAAAATATTAAATATATATTTAAAAAAAAGTATTAGTAATTATTATAAAAATCTTAAAAAACTTAAAAAATTAGAAAAAAAAGCTAATATATTAAGATAATTATTATAACTTTAAGTTAAAAATCCTATTAATTATAAAAATTTATATCTTAGTAAAGAAGCTTATTATCTTAAAATATTTACTATTAAAGTAATAAAGCTATAATTACTTAAGCAAGATAATATTCTCTAAATAATTAAAAGCGCTTTAAATAAGCTAAATAAAAAAAAATTATTATATATTATAATCAAATTAAAAAGTTAGAAAAGAAAAGAACCTAGATACTAAAAACTTCTTTTAAAAATATAAAAATATTTTAAAGACGCTAAGTTTTTATAAATAAATTTAATAATTATAATAATATTATTAATTTTAAAAGAAGATAAATAATAAAAAACTTTAAAGTAAAAGCTAATATTAATTATAATAAAATTTATTTTTGTATAGTTATAAATAAAGCTTAATAAATTATATTAGCTATTATAACTTATAATAATAAGATTTTAGAATATTTAAATATTATTATAGCTTTTTTAGAATTATTTTTAAAAAAATAATATATATAAGTAGAATAATTATATATATTCTAAAAAAAAGGAAATAATATTACTTATAAATTAAATAAAGCTTTAAAAAAATAGTATAATATATTAAAGAAATTTTTTATTAATATAGGATAATATTTTATTAGGAATAATAACTATTTATTCTAAAGTTCTAAGAAAAATATTATTATTACAATTTATATTAATAATTTTCTAATTTATTATAAATAATAATAAAAAATTAATATATTTAAAAACTAATTAGATAAACAGTTTATAATAAAATATTTAAGATTATTTAAAATATATTTTAAAATAAATATTATTTATAATTAAAATTAATATACTATTTATATTAATTAATTTAGCTATATTTAATAAGTTTTAAAATAGCTAAATATAATAAATTATAAATTAGTTATAATCCCTATAAAAAAAGAATTATGTTTTATAAAAAAAATAATAATTATAAATTATTAAAAAAATTAAAAGATTTTTATTCTATATTAATAAAAATATTATCCTAGTTTATAATTAAAACTTATTTAAATATCTTTTTTATAATTAATATATTTATATAATTTATAAGTAACCCTACGCAATATTATATAGTAATTATATAATATATTATATAATATTTTATAAAAATAATTAATTTAAGTAAGCGATTTAATTTAGTTAATAATAATAATAAATTATTTATAATGTATTATAATACTTTTTTATAGACAATTATAATATAAATTAATTTACTAATATATATATATATATTTTTTTATAAAGCTCGCTAATTAGCTAGTAGAATAAATAATAACTATTTATAATTTTTTTATTAATAAAAACTAAATATATAACCGCTAGCGAAATAACGAAAAAAAATATTTATTTTATAAATATTTTAATATTATTAAAAAATAATAAAAAGGAAATTCAACTAATTAATTTATATATAAATAATTAATAAGTAATATTATTTATAAAAAATAAAACTAACTATTTTAAAACAAAGTATATTTATCTATAATATTATTATATTTATAAATAAATTAAGAAAAAAGTTTTAAAAATTATTTAAGTTTTATTAAAATAATAAATTACTAATATTTTAATAAAACTATTAAAAAAAAGAATTTAAAAATAGCTAAAATAAGCTAAGGTTAGTTTTTATAACTTATAATATTATAAGTAATAAATAGAATTAAATTTAAAAAAGAGTATTAGGTATTATATAAGTTATATAGATAAGTAATATATTGCAAATGTAATACTTGCTCCTTTAAGCATATAAGGAATTATAGGACTATATAATAATTGTCCTCCTATATGTAGAATAATTCCTTAACCTAAAAACAATAAGAATATAATCATCAAATCATCTTAACTCTATCAACAGGTACAATGAGTATTGTGGACAATTACAATGAGTATCGCGGGTAGACCATATGTTTCCTTATACCGCTCAACAATGATGGAACGATGGAATATGACACCATAGTTGGTGATTGTTCTTACTATAGGTACTCTTGTAGAATGTTTTCAACGCTCAAATGCCTTCGAAAAAAGCCCTGGGACGTGGTCTCTTCCCTTTTGTCCACAAATATCGCTACGTTTGTCGCTTGTAGGAGATTATTGATTTCATGGACGCCAAACCGTCTGATGACGGCCGTATTCATTTCACCTTCGCTCTTAGGCCTATAGATGCTGCCTAGGCAGGTTCGCATCTTGACCTCACTACAAGAATCCATTAAGTCGATTCGAGCCTTACCTCCGGCCAATTCGCGCGGGGGAAAAATCCTCACACCATCGGTCCTAGCTAGACTGCACGCAAAGCGATATCAAGCGCCGTGTATCATGACCAAGTGTGCAGTTTTTGTGAAGACCCTGATCTACAGAAGTATCACAAGGCATGTAAAGTAGAGTACATCTTCCGTTGATCCTGAAGTCGAGGAGTACCCACTACTCTCGGCGCAGATGAACGACAGTGAAGCTGAGGGTTGATGTCGAGAGCTGACACGAGGCCGCATATGCTATCGTAATGTGGATACGATTCATAAACTACCCTCGGGGTCCCCCCAGGAGGTATTTCGCGGCCGAAGGCAAAGATTAACTGGTTAACAATTTTCAACCCCGGCTAACAACCAACAGAATTAACGGAGAGAACTCTGATCCAAAAATCTAGTGGAAAGTGGAGCAAAAGCGCCGCATACAGGTAACCTTATATCGGGAAGATAGAGACCTTGAGCTGGTTGCAACGCATCATGTCGTCCCTTCCTCATAGCCAGTAAATACTCTATGACGAGAGCGGGGCGGAAGTAGTAGCATGCGCTTGTCAACAATCATCATCAAGTATGACGTTACAATAGCCGACAGTAACATGGAGCTTTGAGCAAAATTTTTTAAAGTAGGCATTGGACTAGGGGTTTGATTCATTCTATCCAAGCCTTGTGTGACATGACTATATGTGAAGTACCGAAAGGTGGAGTATCGACAAAAGAAATGGAAATCCACGGTAAAGACTGACTACAGTGAGCGTCCCATGAAAGACAAGGAGGGATCACTCCCGCTTTTAAAATCTGCTGTGCCATAATCATCTCCAAAGCGACGTCAGTAAAGGCTGAAAAATGAGATCTCATCCACCGAATCCAAGTGTGGATCACCTCCAGCGTCACCGTGCGCACCTAGTTCTTCCTCACCTGCTTCACCTGTGCTGGAATTCGTGTCTTCGTCGATATGATGTGTTTAGCCCGCATCGTTCGTTGCCATGGTGTCAAGAGCGGAGAAACTGATCATGCGGCGCCGGATTGAGGGATCAACTGGAGTAGAGTCTGCCTCAATGTTGACTGTGTTGGCGTGGGGTACAGAAATAGTAGGATCGACATTTCGAGCTCTGGAGTGGGCCGACGGACTCAAGGATGCCTGTTCAACGACCTGACATGTAGCAGGACGATTTTGGCGGTCAATGGAGGTGTCTAGCTCTTCATCGGCAGAGCCATGCCCGCTACCGGCAGGCTCTCGCTTACAAGCATCACGGCCGGCAATATACTCCTTGTGATAGAGGTCTTCCGCCAGTAGCCATGGCGTGGATGAGTCCAGGCTAAGGGAGACAGCGCTCAAGATCACCGTCGCTAAATCTTGGCCATCGAGTTCGCGGTTTTGCCAATGCTGACTCGCCTGGGCGTGCTCCTTTGTATAAGCCTCGGATAGCTCTTTCTTCATCATTGTCCAGATGAGTCGTTCACCGTGAAAATGGTAGATCAGAGATTCGTCGAGAAAGCGTAGAGTCTCGGGAGCCAGCGGACTTGGACAGTCCTTTGCCCGAGCAATCGAAAATCGGAGGTTCAACTGGTCAGTCACTAGCTTTCCAAATTTGTGAGTAACCCCTAGTTGGAAATGCAGCAACGAGAGCTCGCAAAGGACCTTGACAGCGTCGGCTGCCTCTTTAATTAATTCTTCCTCCACCTAACCCGGTGTCAGAATAAAGCTGAGATGTAAATCCAGTTGAGTTGTCTGCGCCCAATTTTTGAATACTTTGAAGGCCATCAAGCCGAGTTGGGGTAGGGGCAGACGAGACTGATCCTCATCTAGCAGTCGGTAGACCTTGCAAGTCAAGGCCTTCAACAACGTCAGTGACATCGTCACAATGGCCCCGTCTGCTAGAACAATTGTAACGGCTACACCTTGATCATGTCTAACAGCCAGTCAGAAGAGATGAAGCCTTCAAGTCTTGAGGACACCCACTTATGAATTACTTCGGGATGCGACAAATCATTTGATTCTATGTGCAATTGATCCAGGCCGACTTTGTCAGCCAATTCGGATGGGCCCATCGATGTTTTGGCAGGCTCTCCCTGCTGCTTGGTGTGGAAGCTGAACGGATTGAAAGGCATTCTGGGGCTTGATTGCTGACGGAAAAGGCAAGGATGAAAGACTTTTGGGGGCCTTGACAACGGAAGTGATCGTAATGGTAGGGGTCGCTTTCACGCAAGCGATGGACTTCTATGGAAGGGACGAGCTTACTGTGGAAAGAGAGATGGAAGCGTGAGGTGACTGATATTAGGCAACGACCAGATGTGTAGCAAACAACAGGTCCGCGAGAGCGGCCGGGTGCATGCAATTCGGTGCGCCGAGAAGGACACTCATCAAAGACACCCGGCTCTGCTTGGCGCTAGTCTTTCTAATTAGACAACAATCTGGCAAGCTGTGAATGTGGAAGTCTGACAGGGCCATATCTGTCGGCAGGACTGGCTTTGGGCTGGCTGGGTGTTCGGAGCACCAATTCGTCATTCAGTCAATTAGCCTCTGTGGACCAGGCTCATGAATTCTGTCAGTCACAAAGCAGAGTCATGAAGCAACGTCTTCGACCTATCTGATTGCGACAGAAGGGCCAATTGAGCAAAGCCTCAGCGAATGCTATTCAAGCGTTCTCTCACGTTTTGGCGCAGACCTCAACGTGAGAATCAGCAACTCCCACGGAATGTCTGACTGCCCGGAAGACTTCGCCGAAGATACGAGAAATGAGTGGCACTTTGTCAGGTACCAAGATCACAAAAACAATCTCGCAGCATAAGGAGAAGATGTGCAGCAGGAAGATCGAGATGACAACAACCGAGAGCGCGTTTGGTAGAGCCAGATCAACTGAGAGGCGGCTCAGACCATCTTGATCCACATGAGCTAGTTCAGGACTCACTTGAAGCTCAGGCGGAATATCAACGAAACTTGCGAGAGGCATCGCTGATGTACGCCTCACGAGCTTGGATGGAGGACAAGCAGAACTTAGAGGCGGATATTTCAGCAATTTCGATCTCTCTTTCAGCTCTCAGACCTGCTAGTGAGTGTGGCATTCAACACACAGGCTAGAGACAGGTTTACATCCCTTTTGCCTGAATTGAGGTACTTTGTGAATACAATCTTGGGACAATGTCTTGATCTAGCGCTCGCGGTTCAGGGAATTGCTTCGTAGATTAGAACTGAAAGAAGCGACATTGAAGAGTCTTGAGATTGGGACTTTTTGGGCGCACATGAATATGTACGGATGAAAGTGTACGGTAGCGTGTAAAGTTAAGCATATTCCGACTTTAAGTAGATAGAGGACCTTAGTTAGAGTCAATAATCCTGCGAGCTGTGAGACTTTGAGTGCCAGTCATATCTTCACGGTAGCCTTCGGTAGAAATCAACACCGTCTTCCGTCCCACATAATTCTCCGCACATCCTCTCGTGTTCGTATAAAGGCCGTGCTCTCTTGTGCTTCGCCGAGTCCACAGTAGGCGTTAGGTTGCGGCTGAAATGCGGATGACAGAGTGTACAGCGCTTTACTAGACATCATCCGTCTCCAATAGTACGCGCCAACTGTGAGAAGTAGAAGATCACAAGTGTGTTGTGGGGCTTTTGATCCGGCGGTGACAGTAGAAACGAATGCTATTCTGGCCACTCTTTTCCGTTGCTGCTTTCCTGGCTTTAGCTGTGACCCAACTCTATCACTGAAGCAATTTATGTAAAGCCAGAGCCGATTTGAAGGTCGCCACCTTCTGTAAGTCCATGGATGATTGTGGCCACCATCGTGTTGAAGTACTTTGGTTTCGCCGTCTCAGAAGTCATCTATTGGACCGAAAGGATCAACTGCTGGCCATAATTCCCCCAGCGTGATATGGAACCTAGAAGGCACTAATAATCTTAGCTGATTCCTGCACTTCACCGGGAGTCGATTTGTTCGCCAGGCGCGATAGCAGACCGTGTTAACGCCAAGATGGTTGCCAAAGCCATCATATTTCTGCTCTTGGCACTCAAATTGACGTTTTCGGTCTGCTCATCCCTCTGGTGAGTAGAAAGCGTTTCTTTTGGACGTTGTTGACTGAAAATCTTACACTGCGTCCTTCAGATTGGTCTCTTAGAAGGACAAGATGGAGATCATTTCGGAAAGAGGTTGTAATCCAGGCAGTTCGCGAGATATCCCGTTCTCTAGAATGTTGGGTCATTTTTTTGCAAAAGAAATCACAGTCTCTAAGAGCAAGAGGACGGGCGGTAGCTCGAACAAATTCGAGTTCTTCTTCGTTGAGCCTTCACATTGCAGACTCACCATCTCACTACCACCCCTTTGCCTTCTCAACGCCGTTTTTCCCGTATTATGCTAGGATAATGTATCAAGTCCTCATTTTCGCATTTCCTTGCTTCTCTCGAAGTCTTACGCCCCCTTTTTCGTGGAACAACTGCTCAACCTAGCTTCACATCCTAGAGACCGTGGTGGGGGGTCTGATTCGAATTTAGAGGGAACATGCAACCGGTCGACCGACTGGCCCTAGAGTTTCTCGCTTTCTACGGTTGCAGTAGACCCCCTTGCGATCTCTCATACTTCATAACACGATGATATATCGTCTTGACCGCGGATACAACAGAGAGCCTATGACCGAATGCTCACATTCAGAATGCTCCAATGCGAAAGTATGATGCCATAACCAAATTAACGACCAGATCGAACGCAGATGCTCCTCAAACATGCTGATGCTCTGACAGGCACCCTGCGGAGATGTAGCTGACAACGAGCCTGCAACGTTCTACTGCTCTTCTCGGGCTACTGAGGAAAAGATACCTCTCATCTTGCCCCGGGGAGATGATGCAGCCTGCGAGCGTAGATTGGTGGGCCAAGTCTGGCTCCCTTCCGAACCCTCCATCACTCGGTCTTACTGTGTAGCTATTGCTCTTGTTTCAGGCTCCTATTTCGCTTCGTACTCGAGACAATGGAGTTTCTATCGCGGTTCAATGTGCCTGGCCAATGACAGTGTCAAGGCTGTTGAAAAACGGCTGGTGGACCTTTCTGTATGTGTGGGGGGAGACAGCCTCGGCCTAGAGTGAGCCTCTGGCAGAACGCCAACCTCAATCTCTATTGCATCGTGTCACTCGGTGGGGCTACTTTTGAACTTCTCTCATGTCTTGGAGTGCCATGTCCTTCTCTATTAGCTAGGGTTTGTGAGGCGTGAAGAGTATAAGAGTTTGCCTATCAAAGTTGTGATGGTAGAGTCTTAGCAAAAGAAAGGTCAGGGACGAGGTTTGGCGAGGAAATATGGCGAAAAGGCTGGCGAAAAAGCTGGCGAAAAAGCTGGCAAAAAGGTGGAAGAGGGCGGGTTGCAGCGGTAAGAGGAAAGTCTCAATCACATCCCCATCACAGGATGAGGAGGTCTCCGTGGGAGAACATCGAAAATTCCCCTGACCTCCTACACCTTCCCCCTTCCCTTGCCTTGTCTCTTGCTCTCCGACTTTCTTTCCCGGGTATTTGGGGTTCGCAGGTTTGGGAAACGGAGGGCTTAGGCCCGGTCTCATGGCTTCGTGAAAGCTCATAGGTGCAGGAGCGTCGAAGCGCATCGTGCAGGACATACAAGTGCATGGTATCTATGTCGATGCGCATAGCCTTTCACAGGGCGTCCACGACTTCTCTGAGGCCAACCATGGGGCGGAAAATCATGCTCCCGAAACTTCCCCCACCCCAATAAAAGAGGCAAGCCATAAGGCATTGGCAGGAAGCTACTGCTTGATTCAATTGTGACTTTCTAGAGAGGGAAATAACTAGTCTGAACTGTCCACGTTCCAGGGCGACGACATCCTCTCTCCCTACACACGATCAAGCTCCATCTCTCTAGTCTTCGCCAATATTCGCATGTCCCGTCGGAAAACCCTGCGTTGACGAAGGCGTTTGCGGGGGCGCCCCTGCAATTCCCCCCATGGAGAGCTGGGCATCGGAGGTTCTAAAGGGCCAATCCTCTTCTTCCCAGGGTATAGACACGTGGGCTGGGAGAGTAGACATTAAGGGCAGTGTGATGTCCTCTAGAGCAGGTGCTGGCAATTGGTGTGCCATTGGTGTTGGGATAGGATTGTAAGTTGAAGGAAGAGGTGACATTCCCTGGTAAGTTGAAGTCAGAGGTCTAAATCCCTCGAGTGTTTGGTCTTGCGCACTGGCATCTCTGATAGTGTCTGGGAAATTGACAGGTCGAGCTTCTTCTCCTGTCACTTGAGGTACCCACTGTTGTGATAACATTGCCGGTTTAATGTCATCGTAATCTTTGTGCTGCGCGTACGATTGTCGTGTCTGAGTGTCAATTGCCGTTACCACATCGCTAGTCGTCTTCTCCTTTGCCCGCACACTTGCGCCCTCCTTATTCAATATCCCACCCACAGCATTCTCCCCAACATTTCCAGCTGCCACTGGCTGATCATCCACACTCCCTCCTATCATCTCTCCAAGCGTACCACCAGACTCCACAATACTCATGTCTGTCGTCCACTGCATCCCCATCTTCCCTCCCGGCAAACCGACAACCGTATACTTGCCCCCGGTAAATACACATCCTTCGCTACCCCCGGCTGGAGAATCTTCCGTGTGTCACGAAGTATGTGCAGTACGGCTTTGCGAGACTCAGCATTATCCACAATGGCCTTTGAGGAAATGTCATGAGCATTCCCATATCCCCAAAAGGGGTTTAGCTGGTTTTTCGAGCTAATGACCCAGGAGTTATAGGTTGCACTACTGAGCCTCAGCTGCTCCACGAGGAACCATAAACCCTCGACAAACACGAAGTTTGGGGGCGAGTGGACTCGGATAGGAGTCGGTCTTGGTGAGTTCGTGAGCGAGAACAATTCAACAGGGGTTTTAGTGAGGAGCTTCTCCCCATTGACGTTGTTGGTGCGGAGAAATTCCTCGAGCCACTCGATTGTGGGAAGCTGGATCATGTTATACGATAGAGGAAGTGATGTAACATTGATCAGCTGAATTAGCTGGTTCATGTGTTCCAACAGTGAGGCAGTGTTAAAGTTCCACGCATCGATGTTGCCCTCTTGGTCAAGGTAGACAGATTCACGCTTCGCAGGACGAATATCTTGCGAATCATCGTCGAGCGCCATGCTACGGCGGCGCTTGCGCCGTCCAGTTGGCGGAGGCGTGGCAACTTGAATTGACCCCGGCTTAGCTTCATGATACTGACGGCGCGGGGTGACGTCCGCGCCGCTGGACTCTTCCTGAGTGGCGGTTGCATTCTGATCTGCCATTTCCACCGTCACAGCTCGTGGAATTTGGTTCGCCCCCGATAGATTTATGACCAGGACAAGCGATGTGGAGAGAATGAAGAAGATGATGTGAGCCCATATTTTATAACGGAAGAGACGGACTGGCAGGTAATGGCCTTTGCTGTGAGGTTCGGACATCCGACTGCCACGGCCGCGGGGTAGTAGAAAGCGTCATGTACGCTCCCTTGGCAGAATGCTCGGTCTGGCGATGAGTGCAGCAGATAAATCTCTGGGTTGCCATGTTCATCCAGACTGCATTGGATGCTATTGGTGATGACATTCCCGATCGGGGACTCAAGCGTCAGGATTAACATTGACCTGAGGCTCTTGGAGGTTTATCGACTGTGATGCGGTAGATCGTGCAATGATGTAGGCATGCGTCCGCTCAAGGCGGATATGAGCATGGCGTTTAATCTAAATCCCGTGCCTTACATGTATCGGAGGAGCTTTCCACCAGCGAATGCGTAAGCTCATGGTTGAAATCGCCTGGCATTGCTCTTCATGGCCCTAGCAGCAGGATGATGGGGATACTCAAGTGAGAGGTAGTAATAAGGTGTACCGTGACCGTGACCGCGAGATTAGATTAGATGGAACTAGTCCCGATTTACGGTGTGCAGGATACCGTGTGAGGCTTGGCAGGCGGGAAGATTTCACCACTCTTTTTTCCCTTAAAATTTTATTTATTTAATATCTTGATGAATTTAGCTTTAAATAACTTTAAATTAAGCATATAAGAACATAAGAACTTTATATATATAAATTCCTAAGATTCAATTTTCCCATAAAATAAATGCTTAACTATTTATATATTTAGTTTTTAGTTATTTTAACTTTTTTAAAAAAAATAAAAACTTAAATAACTTCTTTAAAAAAGCTTTAAATTAAAAATTTTCTAAAACTATAAATATATATAGCTTTATAATAAATAAATTTTATAAAAAAATTAATAAAATCTATATTTTATATTTAAAGATTTTTAAATTTTTAAAATAATAAAAGATAAATATCTTCTATAAAAATATTTAAAATTACTTTAATTTAATAAATTATATTAAATATTATATAAATAACTTATTTTAAAAGTTTTATTAAATTCTATAAAGTATTCTTCAAGATATTAAAAAGTAAACTTTTAAAAAAAAGAAACTACGAAAAGTTCCCGCATGCCAAGCCTCACACGGTATCCTGCACACCGTAAATGGGTACCCCATGAGCCTTTCCTACTTCAGCTTAGTGGCAGAGACGCCTGGCCCCTCTTGCAAGTCCTGATCTTCTATCGTTTCCCATCACGGGCTGTCCTCTCGACAGAACCGCTACCACCATTGAAACCATTACTATTGCAATGATGTATGCTCAATTGCTCCTCTCTTCTGCTTTTCCAGTATCAATGCTGGATGGTGCCCAGCACGATGCCAGCCAAGCGCGCATGCTTCGAGACACTCATCTCTTATCCTTTGTCCCAACCCTGGCTTCGTCGCCGAGACGGTACTCGTATATCACATTCGAGCAATGAACATCTCAAAATCTAAGCCCTTCGACTGTTCTCGGCAAGCCCGGCCAGGAAATTCGGGGGTGGGTCCATTTTCTCCGCTAAACCCATGTTCAGATGGCTACGCATAAGAGCCCGGGCTCTCTCCATGGCTTCAAGATATTCTCTCCTTCACACTACCTCGCTCGTGTTACTGCCGCAGAACTCGTCCTCTGACGCCTGGCGACTCGCTCGTCCGACATACTCCCATAATCAACCTGCCTTGCAGAGCACAAGGACAATGGTACCACGTCGAAAAGCGGTACGGAAACCCACCCATTCTTCTCTCCTTGTTTCTTACATTGACACGCCAACAGTGCGACCATTGCTATCTGGGCCAAAGGAGATGCGATCTCGAGGTTGATTGGGACACAAAAAGATACCATCCGTGTACACACTGTCGAAAAAGGCGTCTCGAGTGCCACAATACAAGCCCGACGATAAGTCTTTGAGAAGAAAGCGATGCTCCCGAGTGCAACAAACAGAGACCACCCAAGCCTCTACAGCTTTGACGGAGCCACACAACCATAGCCCTTGGAACAGCCCCCCTCCTGGAGCGGGGATCCAAGTCGCCTTGACTCAACATTTGGGCTTCAAATCCGGCCTCAACCATGTCATGATTTCGATGCACCACAGATCTCCCACTTTGCTTATCTCCCTTTCCCCCATCAAACATCCCAAGGCTCTCAATCTAGGTCCTATCCACGACTTACCCCAGACATCACCCATCATCCTGCCACCCATACAGCGTCCCAAAGCTCTCAATCCTCCGCCCTTACACATCCTTCCACCTCTTCATCCCCGCTACCGTCGAACAACCGCACAACACATCCAGACAAATTCTCTTGGCTTCAAGACGGGCTGCTGGTCGCGGATCGTCCAGATCTAGAGAAGAAATTTTCCAGCAGCGAGCCACTATATCACTCCGGCTATGTACATGGGTGGCTGTGTATCATTCTCAGAGGGATTGTTTATCTCAGTTCGGGCATGTAGGAATGAAACAGACAAAGCTGGTGGTCAAAGAGAGCTGTAGATGAGGGACCTGATGGAGGAGATGATCGAGAGGAGGATAGACTACCACTCGGGTGGCCTTGTCTGCGATGGGGAAATGGAAGATGGTTCAAAAGGGGCGGGAAAGGAGCAGATCTGTTCTCTCGGCTACGACAACGCCATCAGCAGTATGAGCTTCTAGGTTCGCTCTCTCTCGCAAAATAAAGACACTGTTTCCGAGACTCTCACATGCCCTTCTTATGCTCCCTTCCTTCTCGATCTGGACTCGGCATGATCATCGTGGCAGCGGCAATGATCAGACCTGATACCTAGGCTCCCTCACACCTCGCTTTAGCCGGTGCAGATCAGGTCATGTCCGATTTGGTCGCTGCATCATCGGATCCATGCAATGTCCCGTTAGTGAGCGGACATTCGTTTTAACCAATCCAGCATATATCGACCGTCATTCTTCATTCTTCTCACCGTGGCAAGTCTATCCACTCCCAGCCCACACCTTTTAGCCCCTGCTCCCTCCCATCGCCGAAAGCGATGAGCCCAAGAGTCTCCAAGCGGCAGCAGGGCCGCGCAGCAACCGTCTCGGACTCAGAAGAGGGCCAACAAAGCGAAGAGGACTCTCTCCCCATCCCTCGGTCCAAACAATCCCGCAACGAGAGCGCAGGTAATATGCTGGCTCGATCTCGTGCCGCCGGTCGTGTGAAGGGAAAGCATCACAAGACTGCGGAACCATCTGATAGAATGCCTGGCTCGAATATTTCACCGGTGCTAGGGCCCGAGCCTGATGGTGCAGCATTCGCCAGTGGAAGCTTGCAACCAACTGTCGATGGGCAAGGGTGGCGAGCACGGAGTATGCCCGAAGTTCCTGACCAACGGCCAGCTACGCCCCTCAACCAAGCAAGTGATGGAGAACGAACTCAAGGACAGGAACCCGGTAGTGGATGGCGAGATCAGTCAGCGTGAGGATCTTCCATCCTCTCCCACCCGACCTCTCTCACTGACCTCACGTTCGTGCTCCCTGCTGCGCATTCCGTAACCACTAGCTCATAACCGCAATCCCCAAACCGGACCCTCAACTCATTCACACCATCGACGAAACCCTGTTCCTCACGGAAAACGCACAGCACTTTCTCGCCGAGCTTGACAACCTCTACATTTCCCTTCTCCACCCTTACGTCTCTCTCGCCAACATTGCCTCCCACAACCTCAGCCAATCTACATGGCAAGAAAAGCTCCAAATCTGGTTCCGCCGCACACTACTCACGGCATGGCAACACCGGTTGTTCTCCAGTGCCGCTTCCCAGACATCCATAGACAAGAAAGCTTGGGCCGAGCTTACCGGTCAAGCGCTACAGGCTCTGCAGATGGAAATGGATATCGTGGGGGAAGTGGTGCATGCATTGGCGCAGTGGCGTGCAAAATTGGCTTTGCTGGAGGCTGTCGTCAGAAATCCCCTGTGGTTGAGCGCTGGAGATGGGTGCACGAAGAACGGTGAGGGACGTGAATGCACCGGGTCGGGCAAGGAAGAGAGGAGTGGGGATGAGTGGGTTCTGCATAAGATGGGGGGATCGGAAAGCTCATACGCCGGCCAGGATAAATGGCTAAAGGGGTGGTATTTTGAGCATGTTGTGTCGATGACGGGGATGGGTAATGTAATGGCTGAGAAGGCCTGGAGCGAATTGGATCGTACGTGTGTAAGGACTTGATGGTCAGAATGGCGCAGCGGGAGGGACGGAAGGGCGGAACCAGAGACCAAGCTTGGATTTGGAGCAAGGGACGAAGTTTGAGAGAGGAGTAGGTGATGAAATGGACAATTACGAGACATGGTGGTAGACTTCATACGTTGGGGAATGAACGATTATAACGTTGGATATTTCAGAATCCCATCAATAAACATTGGTCGACCATTGGTGTCGTTCGTAACATGGCCTTTCTACATTACTTTCCTTCTCCGCCCTAACGCATCCTCGTCAGGCTCAAGGACAGGGGGAGGGATGAGGCGGAAGGGGGCATTGATGATTCGTATGCTGGATTCGATTGGAGCGAGGTTCAGTAGGGAAGCCGTCATTTGAGGGAAGGAGAAAAGCAAAGAGAGGAGGAGGGACAGAGGGAAGAGAGCAAGAGGACAGAGAGGTTCGGCTACACCGTCATCTCCATGAGGCCGCGCCCTCTTTCCTTGACCTTCCCTTTCATTTCAGTCCTTTGGATTCTTTTCCCTCTCTAACTGCCCTCCTGACAAACGCATCTCTCGTGGCATCCCTCAACTTGTTCGCCGCGTTGTCATCTGCTATGAAGTGCTCTCTTCATTGAGTCTTCATTGAGTGCGGGCAGCTTGGTCCTGATCGTCTTCGGAGGACGACCATGTGTACGAGTCGGAGTCGGATCCGCTTTTTCTTGGTGCAGGAGGGTTTTGGCTCCGTCCAGATCGCTTTGCGACTACTCTGCGGCCCTGTTTTCTCTGACCGGGACCTCAATTGACTGCCGACCCTGGTCGCTTTGACTCGCTTGCGAGGCCCAGCAATACCAGTTCCGTCAGAGTTTTCTTCATCCGGCTCCCTGCTTGCCTGCCTCTTTGACCGCGCGGGGTTATCCACCCGCCGTTCCTCCTCGAGCAAGCCCAAGCCCGCTGCCTCGCTCTCCTTTTCGACCTGGGATCGCAGGTCTTTGATGTAATTACGGATTGCTATATGCTCGTAGGACCCTTCTGAAATGCTGCCAGATTCGATGGGAAAGAGTAGTGGTAAAGCGTACAGAGCCTCCTTCTCTTGGCGATCGAAGGGGTCTTCCAACGTTTTTTCGCCAATTCCAGCAAGAGCTAATATGGCCTGGGCATGTTAGAAATCGTGCAGATACCGTTGGAGACAACTCACAGCAGGTTGGAGAGCGAATTTGAGACATTTCAGTGCGTTCTGTGAATTGACCTTCTGCCTAGAGTCTCGATGGTCTGACATTTTAGATGCTGTGGACAACCCTCAAGTGTCTAGCGGTCGCTAGAAGAGCCAATAGAGCTAGTAAAAGGGAGAGGTGTCTATGCCTTTGAATTGGAGGTCGACGGGTCACGGCCGCAACCACGGACGTTGCGGCAATCATGGCCATTGCCGTTCGCCGCCCATGGTTGGTTGATGCTGGCACACGCCATTCTCTGGAAAGTTTACGCTGGCCTAATCAGGAGAGATGGATCATTGACCACATTGAATTGGTATATCAAGAAGGCTGGCTGGGCGATGTCAAGTATCGATGGAATGGAATTAGCCTCATGCCAAGACTGCCCAAATTCCCCGAATGGAACGTAAGGTACAGAGAAAATCGCGACAACTTCACTCACATTAGCAGCGTCTCTTGCGTCATACAGACCGAATACATCCAGAAATTACACTCCTTTCCCCTCTCTCTCCCTTTTGTCCCCTCGCTCTCCACCGTTCTCGAATCCAACACGCTCCCTACACCTCCTTCCTCAAGACTTTCGGCCACTTACAAGAAATACGACAAGGTACACGGGAAGGTCAGTTACAACAGCAACGATCCGGGAAAGGGCAAGAGCAGACAAGTGACATAGGCGAGGTGCAGTAGGAGCGAGCTCAGCTACATCCCTTCAATTGCTTTGGCGAAGCGCAAAGGTAAAAGAGGAAGCTGGATTGGGGGTTTGGAGAGAAGGAGCTGCGCTCTCAAGCATGATAACGGTCGGAGAGCACCTTGGGAAGATGATACAATACACTGTCTCATGCAGGTCACGAAATGATTGGATGCGGCGCTTGAGAAGCCACGATACTTAGTCCGAAGATTTTGCGGTACACAGACGGAACAATAGACCGATGTGCTTAGTATGTTCCAGCGTGCTTTCAAGATCTAGAGGTAACATTGGTATATTTCTATCATAGGTCTTGTTCTCTGGAGCCCCCAATCGCTCGCGCTCTTGCTCAGCCAGCTGTGACCCTGTCTCTTTCTTACTCTGAGATTGTCTCCATCTGCCCCTCCATGCTTTTCCTCTCATCTCCACCACACGTTACGCTCCACTCCCACGTACGTCAGAGCATACGGGCAGGCGAAGGATGAGTTGGAGAGGAACTAGCGGGTCCGACTGGCTTCTTCAACCACTCGCCACAACCCCACCATCCCATTCATGTCGCCGACTTCTTGCCCGGCTCTTTCTGTTCACTCTTCTTTGCACCTTCTTTCCCTCTCTCCTCACCTTCCTGCCCTCATGTCTCCCGCCCAAGGTTCCCTTTCTTCTACCCACGGCGAGGTCAATCAAAGGAGGCTGGCAGACCGCTGGCCCTCGCGTCTAGGACCCCCCACCCCTCTCCTGGATTGCATTTAGAGCTGTCTCTTGTCCCTGCCTCCCACGCCGGACATTCGCGTGGCTGGTGGACTGGGCTATACAGGAAATTTCATCTTCTTTACGCCTTGTTGTCGCGGACAAGTCTCCCTAGGCTGGTTGATTTCTCTCGCGATTATAATCCTCGCCTTTCCTAGTCTGGCAGCTGTAGTCGGTTTTGCTCGCCCCTTCGTGGCTTCAATGCCAGGCGTTCGTGCAGTTGGTGTGGTATGGGTAGGTGAAGCTGCAGTGGGAGCCAAGTGGGGTCAAAAGGGTGGTCGGCTGTGGTAGGGGCTCAATGTCCTACACGCCATGCTAAAGATTGCATGACGAGGGAAGCAAGGGAATGCCAGCTGTTGGAGTAGTCTGGACCACAATTGGCGCGGTGGAGGTGGTAGAACAGCCAGAGCCATACCTCGATGAATTTTCTGAGCCACTTCTACGGTGGACGGAATAGTCGACTAGGCTAAAAATCACAGCCCAAAGATGATCTCGCTCTTCGTTACGGAATCAAAAACATGGCGCAAATCTGAGAAGTTCCGACGCTGCTGAGGTCAAGTGTGCGTGCACTGTCGGGAGCTTCATGTCTCTCTGTGCTTATCGTCCCCTTGAGAAGGCCCCGCTCCTCCACCTCCCAGGCCAATAAGCCCAACATCCGAGCCTCGAACACCTGGCACGTCTACAAGATCGAAGAGTTCAGCTGATGGGGAGAGGTCGCAGACTTAGGCAAGTGGTTGCTGAAGAGGCTGCTGCTTGAGGAGTAGGCATTGAAAAGCATATCCCTGGAGTACAAAGCTGCGACAGTGAATTCAGAATGCATTGCGGGCTGGGAACAGGGACAAGACGTGGCATTGGAAGAGATGCTCCGGCGGGAGAGACGGGCAGGTCAGGACTGAGGGAAGGCGAACTCTGTATGGGTAACCGGATATAACGAGTATGATTTGAGCTTGTCGTAAAGACTAACGACTAGAGTCGTGCAACTCTACCATTCTCCGCCTCTGACACCGCCTTGCGCAATACCTCCAGTTTCATCCCATTTGACCCCACTTCCCTCCCCCGGTGGAATTCTTTCAGATGTAACGGCAGGCGCGTCTTCTCAACGGGGATCTTACAAACTATCCTGCGGAACAAGCAAAGAAGATGGTAGAAAATTTGGGGGGTGGCCTGCATACGTACTTGGCCCTGGACGCCTTTATCTTCTTGGGGAGGCCCTGATCGAGGAAGCGGGGGTGCGGACGATGAAGGGAGGGATCATAGAGGCAGGCGATGGATGATGGAGTGTGGGGGGCGAGGCTAAGGCCAGTGTAGCGGGGAATGAGCGAGGAGAACGTAAGAGGGAATGAAGTGTTGGATGCAGAGCCAGAGAAGCAGAAGGGGGGAAGGATTGTGGGTGAAAGAAACAGCAGAGGGGCAGATAGGTGATTGGGGTCTTTTGAATGTAGATCATATGTCATTGATGTAACGAAGGACCTGATTACAATGCCTTTCATATCAACCTCCTGGCCGCCTGCTCCAGCCGTCTCCGCTGAATAGTGCAAGATGCGAGCGCCTTATTCACGTGTCCCTCACGCCTGCAGCGTCTCCGTTTTCACGTCCTTTATATTCTTCGGCTCTGCAGATACCTGAGTCTGATGGCCGCGCCCTTGGAGCCACCAGGATGCGACTATCTTCCACAGATCTCGGCTCGAACTCTGAGGGTAAGGTGGCAACCAAAGCCTCACCAGCCAAATCGCGACCAATATTGGAAATAGCAGAGCAAACACAGCCATCGTCACGACTATGACAGTCTCATGTACAAAGAAAAACCACCAACCCCATCTCCAGTACCATCTAGCCCGATGAATGAGCGGGCCGAAGATCCAGAGGGGCTCGAGGTAATCAAGGACAGCTGTGGTCCAGCCTTCGACCGCGCCTTGAACGACTTGGATGTAGGATTTCGGTTTAGGTGGAGATCGGCGCCAGAAAGAGGAAAGGGTGGGTTTGAAACCTGCTACGTTTGGTAGTGTTAGGTTGAGACGAGCCCACGACTGTGTGAGAGCCTGTTCTATTGCTTTGACGAGGTTGGAGTGTCTTTTCGAGGCCCAAGACATGACGCTCTCGAAGAGGGCGGTAGGTTTGGGGTATTCTAGGTGTTTCGGGACCGTGTTGCTTGCGATCTCGGAGGCGTAGGCGACGATGTAGGAGACTAAGCGCCGCAGCGAAGGCTGCGGATTCTGGAAGAATTCGATCAAAGGTTCGGAGTCCGCCTTAAAATTGGATGGAAATGCTTCGAGGACCTCACGAAAGGTGTTGAGACGATAGCTGGGCTCTGGGCGCAAGGTTGAACCTGCTGGAGGAACAGTATGGTTTGTAGAAGATAGGGTCTTCGTGACGCGGGAGACGGAATGGTGCCTTTGGTCAATCACTGCTGAAGTGGACAGGAATTCGGGTGTTGCCGCATTGTATGTGGAAGTCAAGGTCGGTGTCGTCTCGCTTGACCTCAAGTCTATGAGCCTCTCTGCTTCTTTATTAGTAGGGGAGTACATTGACAAAAGGAACTCACCTTCTGCACTAGTGCGCTCCGCATTACACAAGAAAGCGACCGCTACGCACAAGCAACGAAGGAGCTTCTTGCCATGCATCTTCAGCCTTCTGCCTGTAGACACTTGAGATATTCGATGCAATTGAAGAAATCATTTTCAAAGCAGAATAGAATGAAGTATAGCAAAGCAACTCAACACCGGCCATCGGACATGCTGCAACGTCGGACATCCGCCACTGGCCACGGAAGCCCCAGCACGGATCTTACAGCAACAGTCTGCCATCCACTTCATCCTGTTCATATCATTCGTTTTGCATCTCAGTATTGTCCATGGCAGACCACCCCTTCTTTAAAAAATACGGTCCGCCGCAAGACCACTCTTCACGTCCCATGCAACATGGTCGCAATACTCCCTCAACCCTTGAATCTGCTCCAGAACACGAGAAGAAGCCTTCTGAAGAGTATCTGATGAGCGGTGCGGTTCAAACCCATGTAAGTAGGCCTCTGTGTCAAGGCTGACTGTCGCTAAATGTCTGATCTCATCAGCTTTCACGTGCCGATTCAGCATCCCCAGTAGCACGAGACATCCCAGGCTCCGATACACATCACCTTCCAGGATCTTGGACCGTGAGTTGACTGCTATGAATCATATGTGCTCCAAGTAGCTGAACGCAAATCCAGAGTGCGTTGAAGCGGAGTGTAAAAGCCCATGAGGACAATGTGTACGATACAGATCGAAAGTCCAAGAATTCGTCCGCCGTCTGCTCATCTGAGACCCTCTCTTGGGCTCTTTCCGTGGTGGCCGTGATTCTTCTCGGATTGATGGTCTTCGTCCTGTTCGAGACAAAGCCTGAGGAGCCGTCAAGACGTCACATAGCAGCCGCCTCCAGCTTTTGTGCGCAGCCCCACCGTCATCTGCTGGAGGAAGGTCTTCAGGTGACCTCCTCACTGGAGGCTTCTGTGGCTAACATTACTCATTTGGACAATTACAACCGCAGCGACACCCAGAATCATATGCGGAAACCCTCTATCAAAGTGGACGTGTCAAGCCTGATGTCAGACCTTCGACGTCGGATCCAAGGTGCAAAATCGGTTTCAGACACAGCATGGAACCTTGTAGTTGTCGCTGTGCCAAATTTCATCTCCTCTGTCGATCACACAATTGATTATGTTGATGACCTGAAGCTCCTTGTGGATAGTTCATCCCGAATGCTTTTCCAGACGTTTGACAAGCATGAAGATATATTGAATGCAGCTAGACGTCTCCGCGATATAGTGTTGAGCGAGATCGGAGCCCATGAAAACGCTGCAGCTGCCTTCGGAGCCAAACTGGACCGTCAGAATTGGTAGTACCCGCGTGTAAAGCCAGACGAAGTTGAACGTAATCAGCGCAGATTGAGCCGTATCGAGACGTACAAGTCGGTCGTCGAAGGCGTTGCTACGATTGAGGAGCGGGCGTCTGAAAGCTTGAGCCACTGGAAAACGACGGAGCCCCTGGTCAAAGATCTACAGGCGCATTCGGGCTTTCTGCGACAGCTGGGGCAGATCAAAGCAGACTATGAGAAACAAGCCTTGGCCTCAAAGTTTGAAGACATCGCAGGAACATTGAGTGAGGTGGAGGTTGTGTTTGGAGTCAGGTAGGGATGAAGAGCGGAGAAGGTCCCACCATACAGTCGCAGTACCGGCGCTAGGCATATAATACATTTAAATCATCATTTCAGTACAGTATTTCAGACATAGGCAATTCTCGAATTTGTCCCATTACTACTTCATTCTTGAATGCCACAACGTAATCAGCACCTGAAAAGACTGGAGGTGTGCTCGAAATCCCAATCATGCCCAAGGTCAGACCAGCTTCCTCGAATGCTTCCTCGAATCAATATCAAAGATCACGCGCATGGACTATCTCAAGCCTCCTACAACGATTCTACCATTCAATTGATTTTCGATTTCTATAGCCCCGAATCGACCTCTCAATCCACCGTACACCACGCACCTGAAACAATCTTGGTAGGAGCTTGTCTACGCAGATCAAGGGCATGGAAATGCGCAAACCACAAGAGCCCTGGTGATGATGGCGCTGTGCGGGTCAAGGGTGGTTGAAAATGCCTACAACAGGCGAGACACGTGGACAGAACCTGCCCCATACACTCTCTTCGTCTCTGTACAAGAATTGAGAGGTCTTGATCTCGTGGTAGTATTACGTCCTGGCACACCAGCGCTGCTCGACTCCATACCTTACACCTCCAACACTACCGAACTTCATCTGCGCTCTAAGCGCTTTACAAGTAAATGAACAGCAGCTTTGGCCCTGTCCAGTTACAGACCAAAGGGGCCATTCTGTACCTGCTAGGGCTGGGATGAAAGTCTTACAACTCAAGCATACCGTAGGCGGACGAAGACCCAGGCAAATTTGAAATGGGTTTGGTACGGCGCCTTCAAGGTTTCAGAAGAGACACAAGTCACACTAGAGGCTGAAAGCACAAGAGAGCCTGCCGACGTTTGACAAGAGCGGAGCCTCACCTACGAAATCGCCTCTGTTCATCGAGGCTACTCCGCTCGACCACCGAGAACCCTAGAGAAGCATTACGCTGCCTGGCAAATTTCGAGATGGGAAACTACGATCCCATTGGAGCAAGCAGAAAAATCCAGCAACTGCGAGTTCCAACTATTCACATCTGCTGACTAGGTAAATGGGATGCTGATGCCGCACCAACGTCCCCAGCTAATTCTATCGTGCCTTCAATCAGATGATCAACTCGTTGTATCCATGTCCTGGAAGCCATGAAGATGTTTCCATATTTTGTCCGTCCAAGTATACACGCACCTTCTCCGCTTCCGCCTCCTCACCTTCGAGGTCCTTCGCCTTCTCTCGTTCCCCTCCACCTCCCCTCAACGCATATATGCCGTCCCTTCTTCGTCAATCTTCGCGAAGCTGCAGACAGTGAAACGCCACAGTAGAAAACTGTTGAAGCAACCCAGACGCTGAAGAGGGAGCCAAATGACTTTGCTAGATACACCCAGCAGATTACAAACCCTTTCAACGTCAGATTTCCCGACATGGAGTTGTTCCTTCGTCTATCGATTGTTCTTGAGGGATGAGGAATCCAAGGCGTACTCCGATGAGGAGGGTGCTCTCCACAATGAAGAGAACTTTGTGCCGCAACATCCAGGGTATAGATCGTGTTGGAGCACATCTAGTAGTAGGGAACGCGGAAGATGCGACGCAAATCTTACAAGTTACATGAGGATTTCTCTGCTACCGACGATAAAGGGGGCTCCAACATGACCTAAAGGACGCAAGAGACGTGAATACCCAAGCAAGGCAAAAGTCCAGGTCTCGCGATCTAGGATCAAGCAAAACACAAAAGCGGAGCAGGTTTCAGCACCTCCCGAAATCGTCCATCTGAAGCCTACCCGACTCACAGGCCTCTGGTCCTTACAATATCGAAAGCAAGCGAAATCCTCCTTCCCCCTCTTCCGCCTTGAGGCTAAGAAAGGAGGAGAAGCTTTCCAAGCCGAAGGCAGGGCAACAGTAATCGGGTAGGGGGCAATGGGCTTCGTTCTTTGGGGCGGTAGTTTTGGGGTTAGTGACGGCGCGGTAGCTGAGAAGGGCAGGAGAATGAGGCTAGTCATAATAGAGAGGATCCAAGTCTTTACCACTTCCGCTGATATCTCGGCTCGTATCGTTCCTTATGCTCGTGCGCATCTCGATGCTGTAACTTCCGCTTCGTACATACACGCCCTGCTTTCACTTGCTAAAGCTTCAACGCACCAGGGGCTGGCGGCGAAAAGACACAATCACTGGACCCTCGCTGTTGAATCATTCATCCGTATTGCTCCCTCTCGCTTCTGGACCGCGTATCCTATCTCCACCCGTGTCCCCAAGGAGGACATTGCAGTCACCTGAGCCCGTGCACACGCCCTAGCATTTGCCACGTGAGATACCTCCTTTTCGTCGCGGAAAGGCGCTTGTGGCGGATTTCAGTAGGCCTTGATGGCATCACTGATGAGAGTGCTCGTTAAAGCATTTGTGGGGGTGGATGAAACTTGTACCGTAGAAGAGAGTAGAGGAGGGGAAGAGAAAGGAGGAAAGTAGTAAGCAGTGAACACTTGAAAAGCCGAGGATGATTGTAGATAGTGAAATAGGCGATGGCAAGAAGAGAGAAGAGGATAGCAGGAAACGGAAGAAGCCTTTCATTCCATATCATATCCGACCGCTCTTTTCCCCTTCCTCGCAGTCCACCACGAGTGCCAAGTGAATACATTGCTCGTCTTCAGGCCCTGCTAAGCCCTTGCATCTGGATTTTCAGCCACTGTCTATTGTAACCACCCCCGAGCCCCACTTCGTGCCTGGTTCTTCAACTTTCTCAATCGCGAGGGCCTGGAATTCTTCCCTGATCTAATGGCGCTCTTCCTCTTCTTCTCTCCGAAAGGAGTTCACCCAAGCACGTGTCTTCTTGTTGCCGGTTTTCGCCAATTGTCTGGACTCGCGAAAAGGGACCGGGCGAGGAATCGACTTCGGATGCTTGATGAGGATTGGTCGATTTATGAGGGGATGAAATGGAACTCTGGAGACTTGCAATGTATTGGCTCATTGAAATTTGCTTCGTTATAGTCTCTTTTCTTCTCTATGCGTCAGGTCATCTTCACAAAGCCGGATGCGTGTGGCTACTGACCCGATCAAGAGACCAATAAGTCGTAAGAAGGAAGACGTATCGACCGCAATCCCCTTGATGAGATCATACTTTCCCTGCGATGGCTTCTCTTCACGAGTATAATGTTGTCTTAGGGAACTATACTCCCTCCCCAATTCCTGGCGACCGAGGTTACTCAGTCCGCGACCCGAGCCTTCACTTTCCATTTCGCTGTACTGAACGCGACCATTCATTCAGCGTCAGATGTCGGACCCTCATTTGTAGACCAATGCTAACAAGACATATTCCGCTTGTGCCTGTCCTCTACCCTCCAACGACTCCCAAGCCTTTGCGCAGAGACCATTGGAAGACCCCTTCAGAATATCCTCCATATTAATGCCACAGCCGACAGCAGTTCCACACGCACTTCTCATCGACAGCGTCTCGAATTCCCGACCAAAACAAACAGTTTGTTAGCACGCAACCCACATCATCGCCGTCTCGACGCCTTTCACCCTCGAAGTTGCCCCCGATTTTGTTTTCACAAATGCATCGTGTACATTCTTGCCCCCGATGGCGACACCACTAGTCTTTTAGATTTTTGTTTTTCAATCTATTTGTATTCTGGCTCTTGACGACTTGAGTGCTTGGGGGAGGCGTGCGCTCGGCAGTGGTGTTGGCCGTGCCTGGTGAGGATGGTTGAGAAATAGCTAGAATTGAGATGGGCGCAGACAGTGAGTGTTCGCGGCAAGCCGGGGGCGGTCAGAGGAAGCAAACCGTCTTGCGCGTCAATGGCGAGGAGCATTGTGGGCTTAGTGAGCATGTAATGTTGCTCATATCTAAAGTGAACAAGGAGACAGTGTACGAGGGGTAGGATGAAATTCGAGTCGGAAGAACTTTTGGCCGACATCTCTCCTCCTTTCTCTCCCTGCCGCACCACTCTGCTGACCTTCTCCTCTGTCCACATCCGCATCATGTCCCTTTGGCAACGCTCAATTGCCACCAAATCCACCAGCTGCAATGACTTCACACTGACGAGCCTGCACGCCATACGTTTCTTCACTGGCTGAAACATGCTCTCCAACGCCTTTGACGCCGTATCGGCCTCCACCACCTGCTTTCCTCTGCCTCTCAACTTCCAGCAACCCAACGTGTCGTGCGCAATGTGACAAGGTGGTGATGCCAGGGTGCTGGGTGGACGGAGGGTGAAGACAGCAGGCCACCATACTGTGGATGGATGGATGAAAGAGGACAGTAAAGTTCAAGCGCGAGTCTGCCACAAACTGTGAGCCCCGCGCCTGGAAGTGGGCCTTGAGCCCTTTGCTTTCGGCGAAGCCGCAGCCCCCCCGTAAAGTACGGCCTCCCAAAGCGGCCACGAAGGGCATACTGCAGAGTAAAAACGCCACAGGCGAACACGCGGTAATTGATAGGGTTAAAAGGGCTCGAGCCCAACCCAAGAATTCGGCTATCTCAAGACCACACCAATAAAGCGAAGAAGATGGAATCGGACGATTGACCATCAAGAACATGCTTCATCGTGAGTCTTCGGACATCTCTATGCCGATGATAGACGTGGGATCTAGCCAAAGCCAACAGATGAGCGTGAAGGAAAGGCTGTTGACGTATCTGGTGAACTCTACACTGGCGCTACCATCGTTCGGAGCCGATACCTCAAGCCACAAGGGAGAGAATGTGGGCCTCTGGATGTTTGCAACCGGGCAGGGATGGTATATCACCTTCCGTTGATCGCAAGAAGTTGGCATAAGGCGAGGTACCTACAACGAGCATGAATCTTCACGCTATTGGTAAAGATCAACTATATCCTGGCCCTCAAAAAAACCGAATCAAACCTAGACGACTCGTTGTTAGCGAGATTGAATCGCAAGGCTTGCTTGCCGAGTGTTCAAGTGGCCCTTCGCTTCAATGGCCATTCTACTAGCTACGAATTACTACTGATACGTGCCCACAAAGACTTACGATTTCTACGGCAGAACCTCAAATTGAATGATGTTGGCGCGTACAGAAAGGGATGGCGGGGAGATTGTTGAAAGCAAAGACGTGGCAACAATTCTAGCTGCTGCTCTCCAGATCAGCCGAGATATTGAAGTTGAGAGCCCAAATGCCTCGCGTCCCTGCTCTAATGAAGCGGGATGACTTGCTCGTACAACAAGCATCTTTCCAATGACAAGATTGCGGGCTAGTTTTTTAGTCATTATCAAAGAAAGTGGAATTGTAACATTTAGACCAATCGCTTCTATTGCTTCATCATCTTCTCCCGGGCTCGATTTGGCTACATACATGTAATCGTGAAGCAAAATTCCTCAATTAATATGAACACAGCCATCATCCGAACCACGCCAACTCGACTGCGAAAGCCCCAATGACACAAAAGTTCGAGTGGCTACTGCTAAAACAATGTCATTAAATGTGGTCCCATAGGTGGATGCGGGATAAATCTTCAAGATCAAGGCGGCCAGCATCTGAGACGGCGATATGTGTTCCATGATAGTACTTCTGTAATTTGAAGTCTTTCGCGCTGCATGACTGACTCTGTCATTTCATTTGTACAACGAGAAGTGATTTGTCTTTCATCGACCTCATTTTATCTTATTTCACTCGCTCTGTGGTGTCAATCACGTTGCCGAAGGCGTATGGCTGCTGGAGAGTGTTCTACGCAAGGTCGGTCGCTGCATTCACTTTAGATCACTATTTATACGAATAATGTAATATAGCAGAAACTCTCTTATTTCCTATGCTCCGCGTAGATCGAAGGGCAATACAATGCACTCCAATATATCTGAGTCACTGAACGCCTTTCAAGACGATGTGCATTGATATCAAATGACTCAAGAGATATAGGAGAGCTTTTCTTGGACGCACCTCGTATCCAGTTCGCGAAACCCGCCCTCGATTTTCTTATTTGTGTTAGAGCCTTCGAAGCTTTTATTATCAAAGTAGTGAAACACGAGTGATTCAAAAACAACTCAAACTTGAGGAACAGAATAATAGGTTGCCTGAATGTTTTGACATTGATGACTGTGAGAGCTATGTAATGACAGTCGAGATGCTACATCCCTAAATACTGACTAAGCCCTCTTTTGAAATAGCGGAGCATTTCACTACCCCATGTCTCAAGAAAATCGGATCCCACTTTTTCAGATGTGATCCAGCGTTTTTCCAGCTGAAAACCACATTTCAAGTCCACTTCCGCTTTTTCGAACATGATCCAGCGTCTTTCTAGCTGAAAATCATCTTTGAAGTCCGCGTCTCCCTCCCTGGTTGGTGAAACCCAGCCAGAAGCTTTCTCTCCGGCTACTTAACGCTTTGATCGGGTCGTTCTGAGTTAGCCATTCGGACCGCCCCCACTCGGCGTAGATAAGCCTGGAGGTTGGCTCCCGCTTGAAAATCCCACTCCGGGTCTCGGGTTGTGGTTGATCTGGGATGTGTTCATTCTGAGATGTGTTCGATGGGCGCCGTGCTCGGAAAGAATGACTGTGCTTGATCATGAATGTACTTTAAAGAGTGGCTGGAGACCGTCCTGCGGCCTTCTTCTCCTTCCACCATCGACCCTCTCGCCGGACACTCTCCTACCAGTCCCACAAGAATCGCCCGGTAATCATCCACCAAATCACCTCTCGCTGTGTGGCCAGCCAATCGGCTAGCCATGCTATCGCGATTGCATCAGGGTCCTCGTCCGGCTTGGCAGGATCAGGCTTTGTTATTCTAGCCATTATCAGCGTTGCGATCAAGCTGGACCGTGTGAAAGACCACAGACGACCCAAGATGGACCACAGGTAGAGAAAGAGCGGAGCTAAGGTGTTGTATATGGTCTGTGACTGGTGATCCCATTTTGACCAGACGTAGTTCAGGGCTTGTTTCGCTGAAATGTCTTTCAGGTGGGTCAGCCCGCCCTGGGTGTACCGGGCAGTTTGGACGGAGCGTAGCGTACGCCGGAAGATGTCGCCTTCAAGCCCTTGAAAGTACGGGGAGCAATGCCTATGAGCGTTGCGAATGTGGGCAGGAAAGTGTTTGAATGAATAGATCTTGTTGCGTCGGGCGGAGAAGATGTTTTGAGGTCCAACATGTGTGAATGGAGCCAGCGATTTGATGCATTGCTTTCTAGCGCGAAGGTCGACAGCGTCGTATCGGAGGGACTTGACTGGCTTTATGCGCTGCTTGAGATGGTGGGCGAGCCGGAGGAAGTGGTAGAGATCGTTCACTTCGCTGTCGGTGGGGCCTCGAAAGAATGTGTTCCAACACCAAAAGCCCAGAGCGATGATCATGATGAGGCACAAGCCGAAGATCAGCCAGCGCCATGGCTGCTTGCGCGTTTCTTGCTCTTGCTGATTTTGCTGCTGTAGCTGCTGTTGCTGCTCTTGTTGCTGCTGTTGCTGCTCTTGTTGCCCCTGAGGCTCTGTTTGTTGCTGTTGTCGCTGCTCTTTGAACTTTCTGATGCTGTCTTGAACCTCGTTGTATTTAATAACAGTTCCCATGTCAACATAGCATTTGGTTCCCACGGTCTGACTGGGATCCATGCTGAGTAGAGTGCTGAGTGCCAGCCCCAAAAGTATGAAGATAGAGGTATGAGGGCCCACTCTGGGGTATGAAAAGATTCCTGCGGTACAAGTCTAAAGCTCAAAAGCGAGGAAAGACAAGGGAAGGGAGGCCAGCCTCCTGTATAAGTGTGATTGTGAGTGCAGAATGAGATTGAAGAATGAAGGAGACAAAGGTGCTAGGCGGGTTATTTATGCCGCTGTAGAAAGCTGGATCTTGCCACACTACCGCCTGACGCGACAATTCAACAATAGAGACAATGAGAAGTAGATTGTTGCTGTCGAAATAGATGATATGGATCAGCAGGTACGATCAATGAGGTCTGGAGCTGGCTGAAAGGATTATGTCTTAGACCTCCACCACGGTTTTCTCTCATGAGGGTGACGACTCTCATGTCGCCACAAGCAAGCAACACACAATGTCTGAGCACCTTATGAGATCTCACATAGCATGACTGAACCTGTCATCTCCTTGAGGGCGGATGCTAGATATTGTTGCAGTCTCATTGATGCAGTTTTGGCCACCCGGGCTGCTCCTCACGCTTTGAGGATTTGCCACCCCACCATCACATGATGTTTAAGACTCCACTACATTGTATTCTCTCTGTTCTTTGTTTCAATGTTCAGATGTGCTATCAAAGGCTTGTGTTGTCGTAGATTGTCGTATGTCGCTGTACCTAAAGTCCTTACACGTGTCACTGGCTTTCCATATAAAGACTTTGCTCAGTCTCTCAGTCTCTCAGTCTCTCACAAGCCTCATTCCCCGATCCAAGAAGAACAGATATCATAAGAACAGTAGCTCTGAGAACTTAACAGCAATGCCGACTATACGAGACTGGCTGATCGAAAACCCCATGGCAATTCCTTTACTGATCCGTGCATGGTGGATGAACGAGCTTCCCAACGCACCGAGCCAAGTTATCGAAGTTGCAAAGGAGTTGTCACATTCGACCTTAGGAATACGCATAATCATGGATAAGATGAGTGAATTCCTGCCAGGAGCTGGTTGTGCGACCGGTGAGTACACGAAATTCCATTTTCCCATTTCGATCTTCCTGACCATGATTCTGATGCAAATCTAGTTGTCGGAGTTGCTGCATTCGGTCTCTGGCTATCGCAGCAGCAGCACTCTGGTTCAGCCAATGTGGAACACATCGAAGGTAGACCGAACGCTGCACCGCCCAACCATACTAATTCACAGATGTTTCCATCTCAAGATCCGTCGTCAAGTCTTACCGGTGGCCTGGTCAATAATTCGCCAATTTCGATGCACGGCCCGACGTCAGCAAACGTGGAAAACGCACCAAGCCCGATCCTTGTTCAAGTGACGGGGAGGAGGGGAAAGGTTCGGACTGAAGGGCAGCCTCGCATACACATGACCCGTGGCATGAGAGAGCTAAAGGGACCTTTGTAGGTGACGCGTTGATGGATTGGATAATTGAAGAAGTAAGGCAGTCGGTGACAGAATGAGTACTTATACGCAATGCTTATATTAATTATCCTTTGACTCGAATTTTCCATAGGTCAATCATCAAGCTGGTTTGATTTGAATACCTAAAGAAGACTCTGAAAAGCTACACGATCCGTCAGTTATGCGAAACGCTTAAGGGCTGGATTTCTTATGCTGACAGAGACCCTACAAGAATAGGTAGAAGCTTAGAGTTCCTCGATATCTTGGTTGCGCCAGTATCCAGCTACATCGCATTTATCCACCCAACAGAATTGTCCAGTCAGTTGTTGAAAAGCCTCATCTCTTATTCTTGCTTCTCCGATTCGCCTCCAGTCGCTCTCGACTCAAGCTCGTTATAGAATTTCAACATTTTGTCGATCCATGGCGAGTGATCTTCATCCTCGCTTTTCTTTCCTTTCTCTATATCATCAGCCAGCTTTCCTTTCAATTTGCTTAGAAAGGCGTCCTGGTCATGAGATCCTCTATTAAATTCTTCATTGAACTCCTTTTCTACCCATTGAACTTCTTCTTGAGATAGTTCACAGTCTTTCGATTTTGTTTCGTGAGCATCTGTGGTGCTAGTAGAAGCAGCGACGTGTGTGGGTACAGCCCCAACCGACGATTCTGTTGCTAAAGGATATGTGCCGTGTGTGGTCGCTGACGCAGACCTCGCTCCGCCCGATGTTCGCGTTTGAGCGACGGCAGGGGTGGCTGTAGATGTTCTCAATGGGGCTCGAAGTTGTTCGGGGAAGCTTGATCCGTCTGGATCTGTTGAGCGTGAACCCCCGTTATTGGAGGGTTCGTCCAGTAGCTCTTCAGCATGTGGTATATGATGCATCTCTGAACGAGAGGAGCGTGATGTCTCGCTAAGCTTACCTGACGCTCCTTTGGGTCGCGACAGGTGGGAGGTTCAGGCGACCGGGTCAATGACGGTGTCGTTGCAATTCGAGCTATCTTCAACCGTTTCTCGAAGTGAGGGCGATGCCTTTGTTTCTTCTTCATCCTCACTCTGCTGATTGCTGGTCTCATCTTGCGACTTGACCGAGTGCTGAATCCAGGTCTTCTGCTCACTATCTTTGCTTCCTTTGACAATATCAGCCGTGGTATTGTCTCTTGAACGTGCGGTATTATGGCTCCCATCGCAGGCAATAAAATCTTTCGAGGTTTCTTGGCTCCTAAACTCCCTGCTCTGTCTTTCTAGATGTCCTGCTCTTGAAAAATTCATGGGCAAGTGAGAAGTTCGACGAGGAGAATGAGTAGGAGAGGAATGCGGAGACTCGTTCGTCCTTTGTAGCTCATCATCGAGACTAGACGGAAATGTATTCCTCTTCATTGCGCTTGATGTAGTATTGCTCTGTGAGGCAAGAGTTCTAGGAGAGTCGCGAGCAGGTGGATGATTTGGGAACCCCTTTTCGCTCACCGCTTGAAGATTCGTAGGTAAAGACGCGGTGTCCTGTTGTGTCCTGCTGTCCAATCGTTTACGCACAGAGGGGACAGGTCTACTATCATCATTTAAATCTTCCGGGATAAATGGAAGTTTATGATCCTCAGTGTTAGCGCCGGCACCACCGGTGATTTCAGATCCATGTGCGCGTGTAGTGAGGAGTTGAGATTCGTCCTCAGTATTTGGGATCAGGGTGGCGGAGTTTCTTTCAGGCACCGCGACTGGTGCTGGTTCATTGGCTGATGCTGGTCCAGGTTTGGGTATTTTGGAGGAAGAGTTCGAAGTGGGGTTCGCCCCATCAACTTCGGGCATTGTAGTGCTTGTGTTCGAGTTGGAATCACTTTTTCGGTCACCAGTGATCTTGGAATGGAATTCAGATCTGATCTCCATGGCTTTAAAGATAAGGTAACAGCTGAATATACCCAAAGTTAGCTCAGCTCATGCTGCTCAGTTGCAGATCTGCCTACACCCAGCCGCTTCTGATCAATCGGAGATGCAGCCGCATTCTTGGATCCCATGATACACCTAGTAGACACCATGATATACCTCCTGTAATCTGTAGAACATCTTTCCATATCCAATAACTTTCGCTTTGTAATACACGCTCACCGCCCAAGCATACGCAAGCCACCGAATGACGATTTCCTCGAGCAGTGGAATGTAGAGGAACGTCGGAAGCAGAATATCAAAAAGCAGGAGTACAAGTGTCTGAAGGTTCTGTCTAAGCCATGTCATCACAGTCATGATTGAGCTGAACTGTGCTCGCAAGCTGTAGTCGAAGGATCAATACTTTGTTTGGTATCACTTCTTCCCATCTTTAGCCAAGGACAATATCCATACGGCCAGGACGCATTTTCTCCGCTCCAATCAAGATCACGATCACCACAATTTCCACATTCATAGCTTGTCCATCTTACGCAGCTCTTCCAATATCAGCTGAGACTCGACGCTCGCAGCAACAGCCATCTCTCGCGGGCAGGGGGAACGTAGCCAGGGGGAACGCAGCCAGGGGGGAACGATCCCACGTGAGATGCAGGATTTGACAAAAGCCCGCGCTTGACGGTGACAGCCAATGCAGATCAGGTATGCATCGCAAGAACAGGGTTCGACAAGCACAGGGACTGTGTGTCCATGATCTGGGAAGGCACAGGGCCTCACCTTCGCCTCAAATTCACTGACTCTGGCCACATACCGATCTCCCACGATTTGCGAAATCTCCCCTCAACGCGTACACCTTCCGACCCCTCTCTCCTTCTCCTTCACCACCTCTACCTCCTGCTGGCCAGAACACAATACCACAAGCAGAAGGAAGGAACATACAGACTACGCCTACCTACAATCACGATTCGGATCTCCGACTGGGTCGGTATGTTGGCTGAGTCACATCCACAAGAGGGAGGCAAGATTGAAAGAGCGTTACATTTGGCAGTGGCTGGCTAGGAATGCTGGTTTTTAGGGTTAGGGTTGGGTGAAGGGCGGCGTTTGGGCCGGTGGCTGCTAGACGAAAGCTAGAGGACGCCACTAGAAGTGCGTGGGGGTTGGCGGCACAAGAAGATGGAGGCAAGAGGGTTGACCGCGTGGAATGTGAGGGAAGAGGATGATGTCCTAGTCATCTGTGGCCCTTCATGATGATGTTCAGCAACCAGGTCTATTGTGGGACTTCGTCATGCAAAGCCACGAAATCTATGGCTGTGCATACAAAAGATCCATTTTCTCTTCTCATGGAGCTCAAGGTTGTACCCACAGCTCATGGAGTATCAACCACGACTCTTCCATGGCTGCAGAGGATGAGGAGGGGGAGATACTACATGCCTTCGTTCAAACAATATCATCTGTGATCTGGATTTTGGTGCGTAATGCAAGCGTCCTCGATATTCTTCCACTCGCCAACGCTATCTCCAGAGCCACAATAGCAATTTTCGCAGACAAATTCGGCAAGAGCCTGCAAGACTTCACCCATGGGTTTCCACTGCACCCAAATTCCAGCCCTTGCAGCATCAACACGAAAGCGTTTCACGAATCGTCCATTGAGTCATTTCACTCATTACAGAGACTCGCGCACAAATTGTTCCAGAAAATTGGAAAGACTCAACATTTAACCCTCCTTGAGTTGCAATGGCGTCGAAGAACCACTACCTCAAAAACCCTGCTGAATTTGCGTATCTGCGGCATCTGTGAAGTCGGTCCCCATTTTGGAGCTTGATGATCTGGTTTGCTGTCTCCAGAGATCTACTTTCGCACCTGGGCAGTGATTCCTGTTATGTTATACTTCATTATGGGCATCTCATTCATTTGGCCCTTCAGAACACTCAACTCGTCCTGCCCATCCAACCCCAAAATCGAAGTGTTATATGATGACTACCGCGCAGATGTCGTAGTGAGAGCCTCCTGCGAGGTGAATGAGGCGAAGCGGTCCAGGATCTCGAGTCCACCACCGAAGTGCAGGTGTAAAACCGTGTTTCCTTGCTGTGGTATTCGTCAGGAATGGAGAGAGCTATAGGGTGAAGGCAGACTTGGACTTCCGTTTTGGAGGTGTATCTTTCCCAGTGGACATCAATAGTCTAAAGCAGGACAACAATCCACATGAGCTCGTGCCTTTCTGGCTGGCTCGAAGGGCTCCACGGGTACACGCATACTCTCTTTGTTCATCAGCTAAGCGAGGAACGACGAGAAATTCTCTGCGACGTGGCCTCAAGCACGCTTCATGGTCTCAGCTGCTGAAAGCAAAGTAGGCATCGGATACATCAAGGCTCTCGCCCAGTAAGCAAGAGTCCACGCACTCTGTATTAAAAGACTTCCGCCAACCTCAGCTATACGTCGTCTATCGAACCGCTCGCTCGTCTGGCTTTCACTCTCCATCATCATCATCGGCTTCCTCGCTGTTGTCTATCGGCCTCTCTTCACCCCAGAGCAATCCGTTAGGCCACAATCATCCCTCCAACTCCCATTCGATAGCTATTTCCCACCATCTTCGCCTCTCGGCATCGACGGGGTCACCGAAACCAATCAATCCCTCCTCCAGCACCATTGCCCCCATCCCGAGACCTGTCCCGAAGTCAGTGTCAAGGCGATAGATTTGGTGTCAATAGAATAGTGCAGTGCAAAGCTTGGGGTTATCACGAAATGATCGGAGGGCAGCGATGATAAATGAAGAGTATCAAGACGTCTAAGGGGGGCTCTTTGTGTATACGGAAACACTAGTGGTGGCGTGGACGTGCGTGAGAAGACTATGGGCATAAGCTGGAGACACAGTTCGACGAATGTTTGTGACGGATCTTAAGAGTATAGGGCATTGTGGTAACACTAAATTCGAGCCTCTATAGGACTGATGATGAAAATTGAAGACTGGTAGAAATCCACCGCTAATAGAACGCTCGCCACGCCGCCAATTACTTCCAAGAGTTCCGAAGTCTCTGCTTTAAGCGTCTATTATAAACCCGAGATATTGATTTTACCTTTCATTCCATTCTATGTGATGGTGCTCGATGTCTTCTGAATAGTACATCGTTCCTAGTACTTGACTCAGCGTTGTGTGCGAAGATATGTCAACAAGGCAGGTAGGTGCGGCTCCGCATCTTTGAGAAGAATGTCAGTCTCGTTGCGACGTCGGTGAAACGAATTTTGGCGATTGATCAGAGCCTGTCGTATTACCTCCACCTTGTCATCGAAAGTTTGAGGACCCTCGTAGTAGACCAGTGTGCCACTGCTCAAAAGATTCAGTCTCCAGACCTTAAGATTGATTGAAAGCCGTTCGGGATTCATGAAATTCATGCACTTTAGAGTCAAGAGCGCTTCATCTATCGCCGCAGGCTCCCCTTCACCCCGATAGGTTCTACAGACTAAACTTATCGTCAAGTCTTTGACACCAGTGAAAGCCTTAGTGGAGGCTAAAGCTAAACGCAGCTTCTTGGGTCTGCATGTTACGTCAGGAAACACAAAGTTGAGTTTCATCTTTCGAAGAGAGTGACATTGGGTTTTTGATAAAGCTCTTGGTAGCAAACGCAATATATCTCCAGTCTTTTTTAGACTGACAACGAAAGTCTTGGCCTTCCAGAGGACGGGCAGGCATTCTTGATGAGTCTGGCTGCTGCAGAGTAGAAGTGCAAGTCGTAGTTTGCCAAGATGTTTAGTTTCGACGCAGCAGTACTCGTACACCTTGGTCAGGGATGTCGAAGTAACCTGACCTCGGAAATTTGTGAATTTGGTCGGTTCAACTTCTTCGTGATAGGAGACGCCGAACCGCTGTGTCTTCATGACTCGATCCTACGAATTGTTAGCCTTAGATTCATAACCGAAGGTCTTCGGCCTTTCAATACCCATGCTTTCTTACTCTTAGGTGGTAAAGCTTTACAGAAGTCTTTGGCGTCATTAGGCAATTCTTTCACGTAAATAAATCCATCCCCAAGCACATAACCCCAGATTTGGCTCCTTATTTCCGCGCGGAGGGAGAGAAGATGACATTTGCAGTCATCACTCTTCAAGATACCGCTCATGTCGTATCTTGTGAAGAGATGAGGTCGGAATATTTAAGATTAGTGGTCTGACGAGCTTGGACATGATGATGTAATGAGTCATAAATCTAATATTGGCCGTGCCGGCCTAGGGTTTAGAGGTCTGAAAACCTCGCTGCCGAGTGTCCACGCCAGCCAAAGACTGACTCTCTCGCTGGCAAAGCCATGCAGCTGCCTCTAGGCCAGCCAAACCCCCTACTGACGTAGCTTTGGAGTCTGTATCTATAGATCTATGTACAGGGACGGTGGGCGGGTGTTCCAAAAGCCCCCTGATTGACAGAAATGATTGTAGGAATGATGGAGCAGGGGCTGCCAAAATACTATGTAAAAGCCTAAGGAATTAGGCGAAATGAGCTCTTGGCCCACTAACCCCTAGTCTAGCTAGATCCTTGAAAGAAACGAACAAAGAAATACTTCAAACAGTGAAAAATGACGCCAGAGTGTATTGGGTCTAGCGTGCAGAGGGCACAAACAAAGGGCGGTGGAGAAACCATTCATAGACAGCAGTTGACTGAGTATGAAAAGGGAAAGTGAAAGTGAACGCTGAATAAGATTCAGAGAATGGTAGAAGTAGAGAAACCTTAAAAAGCATACACAATGGAGGGAGCTGGACAGAGAGGTGAGAAAATTTGAAGTTTACAATTTCAAATACCAACTTAAGGCTTCGCCCAGGAGCGTCGAGAGGATACCCGAGAGAGCAGTGGAGGTGAATGGAGGGAGAAGGAAGGAGGCTGAAGAAGGAGGGACCACGGGAAAGAAGAGGAGCGTATACAAGCCGTAGTAACCCTTACCTTAAAGCTTGTGCCGCGAAATGATTCAATGCTCAGTTGTGGCAAGAGGAATACTTTGTGTCTTATCACCGTTGTGCCGTATATGATGCAGCGAATGTAAGATTTGGTAGAGTTTTCGTCTTGTTCCCAATGCAAGGCTTGATATCACCAGGCTGCACCTTCCGCAAGCGCCGATATTTCCGAACTTTCGTTGAAGGGTAAATGCTTGATACATTGACAGCGCCATGCCTATTACAGGAGAGTCGAGACCATGAAAAAAATCTGGCTTACACAAAGGTTTTGCACATCTCCCCAGTTCTTACAATTTGTACCAATTTAAGTTTTCATGATGACTCTCCTGTTCCGAAAGCGCTGCTCGACGCCCCTCTACTTCAACCTCCATCGGTCTACATGTTGCCAGTTGAAGTCATCTTGCTGAGCCTCTCTTATTCTCTTGTACATGCCATCTCTGTTCGGTTGATCATGGACTTTCCACTTCTGACCCCATTCGCCTGCGGATCTACGGATGGCGTCTAGAGCTCTATCGGCGTTGTGTTGTCGGTGTTTCCGCACGATATGAACCCAAAAGTCATCCAGACTTTGATAACCTTGGCCCTCGACGCAGAACTCGCAAGTCATACTTGGCTTCGCTGCTTGAGCCGGATCTAAAGGTTTTGGAACTAAGTCGTTCGGGTCAATAGTATTTGCTAATAAGAAGCCTGGATGGTTTCCGAGCTTAGGTGTCAGACCGTGGGCTCTGGAGAGGACGTGAAACTGTACATCACAGACCTCGGGAGGTGTCATTGCGGCGTGCTGGAAAGTGGTCAACAGACTAAAAAGCCAAAAGGTGGTTTTTTCCTACCTTCATCAGACAAGGTGGATCATGCTTCATGCAATGTGGAGGTATATCTTGCTCTGTCGACCTTAATTCTATAGCTCTGTTCCTGCATTCACTTCTTTCTGCTTTCATAAGAGAAGGCTCGCAAAGTGGGTGGATGATACAATGATCTTGATGACATTGGCGAAGATCGCTCATGGAACGTTCATTCTCGGTTCCAAAGAATTCAACGACATCCGACTCTCGACGAGGCCACTTAGAGAACCAGAATTTTGCTCTGGCCAGGGAAGTTGGGACACCTGAGTGGGAGTACAATGCAACTTGACCCTTAAGCATTGTGTGAATGACAGTGAGACCGGTCTGTTCAAAGTTTTTACGGAGCTGTGTTAGATCGATAGAGCACCAAGTTTCCGGAACCAAAACGCAAGTCTTGTGGTGATCAGCTTTCACGCCCCACTTGGAAAGGAGCGCTCCGTAGTTACGATCAAAACTTTCCTTGGCCTCTGCCATAAGCCAGCTGACGGGACGTGGAGATGTCTGATAATTGGACTGCAAAGTCGGCGTTATTCCAGAGAAGCCAGGAGTGGGTGGTACGTCATTGCGGTGTCTTAGCATATTCGGTGCGCTTGTATGGGACTTTTCCGCATGCAAGCGGAGATGTCTGCGAGAACGAAACACCTGGTCACAGGGCCTGTTCCTAGCTCCCAGAACATCACAGACAAACATGCCTTGCCACCGGTGAAGTCGCACACTGGGCCGCCCGGTTGAGAAAATAAAATTCGTGCTCTTCAATGTATTTCTGGGTCTTCTTTCGTCTATGCGTTACGTTGTTGCTATTCTCTTGAATCTGATCAGTCTTGAAAAAAAATGTGAGCTTGGTTTTAAGTCGATGCTTTTATCTGTCGAAGAACAAGGCACACGTTGGTTTGGATATAGTTTGATGGAATACCTTCACCGACCGAGGCAAATTGCACGAACAAAGCCGGCGGCAAAGGTTTCAAACTCCTGCCGGATTGCTCCCGTTGCGAGTTCGAAAGAATACTACATAGCATTCTGGCAATACGGGAACAGTCTTTCGCAGACATACGATAGTATGCAAGCGTTGCTTGTGTCCGTCTTTTTGTGCGCTTCGACCAACAAGGAAGTCTTGAGGGTCTAGAGAGTTGCTTGTGAGATAGAAGGCTAGGAGATGTCTTGTCATGGCTGAAAAAAAGGCGACATCTCATGATGATCAACATACAAACTCTTTCATTAATGCCTTGATGCCTTGAGATAGGACGTTCAGGCAGGCCAACAAACTACAAGCTTTTAAAACGTCTAACGATTTCGTGTCGATAGCAAATTTGTGAAGGGACGAGAATGCTTCATACCGAATCTGAGTCTGTTTTCGATGGCTTTGCTCCCTTGCCTACTCAATTTCAAGGGACAGGCAAGGGAAACTGATGGCTCAGACCATGCTCTCCCCTGTGGAACACCTTTCCCTTGAGTAGCGTCGCAAAGGTCTTCAATGCTGATAAAAGTGTTTTGAGGACGATGCAGAACATTACCATGATTGGAGATGCTTTGTTAAAGTAAAGATAAGTTGACATACACCCTTGTCGCATTGGGGATTTATGAGTCTCTCCTCAAGTTATTTAGTGCATGCGAGGATCGACGCGTTGGCACGCTCAATTGAGAGGTCTTGCTTGCGTATCTTGTGTCGCTGATCATGCTGAAGCTGAAGCATCTATTACCATCTAGTAGCCTCGAGAAATGATCAGCTCTTGACAAAGGACTACCGGCGATTCTATTGATCCATCCTGGTGTACGCAAGCCCGACCGTTGGATAGACAAAATGCGCGACGGTAGGCTATCATGACAGCACTTCGAGCGTTGCTCTCTCAGCCCGGTGGTGTTTGGGCACTCCAATTGCTTCCAATGCCTGATCCCGTGTCTGTGGAGAACTTTCTGAACTCTGTGGGCAAAGAGCCAGGCCGCTCTCCTGTTTTCACTTTCACTACCCTCAATATCCACTTTGCGTGCGAAATCAAATCCTCTTGGCAAGAAACGTACCAGGTACCTTCTTTTGGACGTACCAGCATTCTCAGCCTCTGTATGCTCGACTCCGTCATCCAGGTTCTCCGAGCCAGCAACCAATGTCCCGGAGAAAGGAGAATCTTCTGCCTTGGCGGGGAAAATACTCATCGGCTGAGATGAGGCATTCAGCGACCAAAAGATTGGACACTGACTCACTGAAGATAGGGAGAAGGGAGGGTAGCAAATAAGGGCGCGGGCGTCAGAATTCGATCGATCAATGAAAATTAGATATGCACATGAGATTCGGTTGAAGGGGGAAGAAGCTCGAGCGGGACAGTGGGTAGTCCTTCATTATCATGTCGTCTGGCGGCAGCAGTTCGGACAAGGAAGAAAAATGGGTCATTATTAGTTAGCGAGCTAGCTGTGAGGCAAACATAGTATTCAGATATCTCCTATACACACCCTCCTTCCCTCCATTCTTCTTTGATGACAGACAAAAGCTTCGACTTCGCCTTCCGCTTCGTCCCATACTCGCCTCTCCTCCAGCTTGACCGCTACGACCATCTCCCTTCCTGCCTTGGATCCAGCCTGTCAAAGCAGAATACCGGTCTCCCCAACCTCCCTTCCGGTCTCATTTGCAAGATGAAGCCCACAGTGTACCTGTATTGCGTGACCCGCGCATTAGCATCGTACGCACAGATCGGTCGTGTAATAACTATGGAATCTTGGGTAGGGTCTTGGGGACTGCGCTTGGGTCGTAATGGGAGGGTGAAGTGAGGAAGTTTCGAAAAGGGTGAGACAGGTATAAGGGGGTTGACTGATGTGGCAGCGCAATTCGAAAGTTTTGATCATGACTTACAGATGCGGGTGGTAGGCGGGTTTGAAAATCAAGGAGGTTCATTGGCGCGGCGAGGTGGTGGGGTACATGGATACGTGGGACGGGTGGGAAGTATGGAGGTCGACACTTGATGCATTTGTCTATAAGTATGTGGTATCCCATGGGACGTGCTGTGCCCGCTTCAACAAAAGCGCCTACTTGAAGCCCAGAAGCTATGTTAGGCGACGCAGGCCTTGCAACATCAACCAGATTTATCGCTCATTGTATCAAGATCCTTGCCCGTGAAAAGCTGACCTCTTGGTCATTGTAGAAAGATACACATTCAATTCTTGCGTTGCTCAATTGTGGTAACGGTGTACACCACCTGAGAGTGTAGTAGAGGAGTGTAGTCTTTCCTCTGTCTTTACACCAATTAAGACGACTGTCTTGGCTGCACACGTACGAAAGCCTTGCAGGTATCACCCGACGTCTCCGCTGGGGAAATCTTGCCTTCTCCGTTGTCTTACGCGACGATGGAATGGTATCAGCGTACGTTTCTCAAATAGACTATCTCTTTCTCAAGCTGACTTCGTGGCTTCTGGACTGGCCTGATAGGCCGATCTGACTCTCGCTCCTCCGTTTTGTCAGAACTTGGAGGTATTTTGCCTCTGACCCCAGTTGTTCTGTTGCTGAACACTCATCGCAGTATAAATGCCATCTTTCCCTGATCGCTTTCCTGCTTCTCTTGATATGCTCCCGCGCTGCTTCTGAGATATTGGAGGGGGCTGCTGCTGTTCACGGAGCTGCAGTAGATGAGGCGGTGGACGCAGGTGCATTGGGTGGTAGTTATCGCATACTTTCTATCCGCGGTTAGCTCAACCTTACTATCACAGGGGATATGTACTCCGTAGCGTAGCCTCATACGTGATTGGCGCGGGAGATGGACACTGTCAGCCTTGGAGCCACAGTCCAGAATGAAGCGAGCGGTGGCCGAAGACCGGCTTTACCTAAATGAAAAGCGAGAACGAACTCCGAAGCATGTGCTACGAAAGTCTTCTCTTTTCCATTACTGTGGCCTTGTAATTTGGATTTTTACAAGTCTTGAGGTGAAAGTTCTGCACACGAATCGGAAGGCGGACAATACTTAATTCCTAGCGTCATGGCTTACTCACCGTGAGAGCAATGGGCTAACCCGAAGAGGCTTAGCTGGTTTGCCCCATCCAAGCAGGTCTGAGGCAGGGAGTAGTGAGACTTGACAAGCAGAACCTTCTGTCCATCGCCTTGCTAGTATCATGACTTTCGTCTCGAATAACTCGTGCTAAAGCTTAAAGGCCCTTTCAACATGGTCGAGGTTGCAATCACAAAAGCGAAGCTAATTGCATGAAGCGGTTTATCTTTCGCGCAGCAACTAGGGTACAATTCCTTTTCCCTCGCAGTTTCGAGTAGTTTTAGAACATGCGTGATGATCTGTGCGAAGGAGAAGCGAACGGGAGGAGAGTCAGAGTTAGCGTAGCGAGATCCAGATGTAACGTGCTGTGCTTTACAAGGCAAAGTTCGACATGTAAGATTGCTTGGTTCATTTCTGTATAAGGGAGTGCTCAAGGATAGAAAAAATGTTCATCAATGTCAGACGCTTTCATAAAAGCGCCCCCTTCAACACGAATTCCAGCGAAGAAAAGTGGCAGAAACAGCTTGTCTACTGTCTGTAGAAGTCTCCAGCCCAAAACTCTGATCACTGCCGCCGCCGGTCTTTACATATCATTTCAGCATGCTTCGAGAGCACCACTGACGCTGCCTTTCATGGCCTTTTCATGAATATATCCACAAATGCTTCCTTAAGTGCTCCCACAACTGCAATACAAGGCCTGACTGCCAACCCGAGGATTCAGCTGATTGGCTGAAGAAGTGATTGGTCGTAATACAAGATCATCATATGCATGGAAAGATTGACCAGATACAGGAAGCGACAAAATACGTCATAAACAACCTGGGACAATCCAATGTGCTTCGATATTCTTATGATGTATCTGAATATGCTGTGCAGCTCGTCCGATGAATCAGGGGTCTCGCCAAGATTAGGCAAGATAGTTGCGTGAAACTACGGTTGATAGCAAGCCCACCAGATGTAATTGATATCCCATAGCACACATTGAAGGGCCATGTAACAGTTTTCGAAGGAATGACAATTCCTTTCCAGTCTGGCGCTAGCGTTCTTGGAGGTGGCGTTTCCCAAAGGAAGAGACGCTCTGGTAGTTAAATGGCCAAGGAGAACTGCCACTGTCGACATGCAGATACCCAGCATCACATATTGACATGAGTCTTCACGGCCCACACTTTGACAAAGCGGCACCAGTGTCCATCAGCTCCCACCTCGACACGAGTATATATGCATTGATTTCTCACCATGCAGGAAGCTCATACAACACCTTCCACGCCTTCCGGGGACGCGACCTCTGACTTCTTCCCACATCATCGAAGGACTATTGAAACACAATACCTCAATAGCGAAAGTACCCTCATACCCAATTCCTATCTCGTTTTTGCGGATTGCGCCTGCTCGGTGGTGTTGACTGGAGGGTTAAATGATAATTCATCGTTTCCCAAGTTCATACCGTGAGCGGATTCAGAGTCTAGGACGTGATATAGTGGGTTGTTCGAGGGCAGGTTGTGAGAAGGCGGTATCACTTGCTGTTGCGGATGCGGCTGGCTAGCTTGGGGGGATTCTTCATAACTGGGGCTAGCGATGGATATAGTGAGGGCGAGATCTGGGAGGCGTAAGTCGCTGACATTCATGAGGTTGTGAATAGGACACTCTCCTGAGCTTATGACTATATATTCTGCAAAAAGCCCCAAAGCGCCTATGCCGTCCTCAAATGCGAGAGCTCTGGCCTGCATTCGCTCGATCAGGCGAATTAAAGAATACTTTGTAAGCTAAGTAGTATGTTCGAAGTATTTTATCGATCATGAGGCCGTGTAATGGATGGATTTTGGTAGATCGGAAGCAAAATGATAGCCCTTTGAGATACGGACGCCTCGCCTGACTATGGATTGAGACTTGCTGTCACCCCTCGCAAGCACCGTCAGGCGTTATCACGACTCCGCTAATAGAAGCTCAATACTGGGCAAAAGCGCTCTCAACAAATTCTGGCTAGCGTTGAACGACCTGCAGGCTGCCGGCTGCCGTTCATCTCTTTGGTCACCACATTACGACTTCATCTGCCTTCGCAATCAGACCTTCCCATGTAAGGCGAAGTCAAGCGAGCGAGCTTATCAACTCGTGCTTCCTTTCATTGTGTCGGTGCGAACACGCTCGTTGCGGCTGTAAGATTTTTCCTGAACAGCCGGCCAAACGTGCAGCAGGTCCGTGAAAGCTCGCTGTGAATCAAACTCAATGAACTGACATTTTCCACGTGCCAGACTCCAGCCCCTTCTGCCAAAGTCACGTCCCCAACCACTACCGGAGCAGATGCCACTGCCAATGACCAAGACCATAAAGAGGATAGTCATAATGAAGAGGTGGACGTGCATCACTCTCGCCGCAGTGGACGCCAGGAGTCGCAGTCAATCCGCCGTCCTCCCCCTCGCCAGCCCAAATTGAAGGGGCCGTCCTCATCACAGCAGCAATGGGCTGCAGTCTTCAACTTAACCCGTCTCGACCTCCAACTCGACGTTCAAATTTATCTTGAGCACCAGAACAGCTCCGGTTCCGCTGAGTTCTTCCTCGGCGAAGCTCTCCACGTTTCCTTCGCCGACGCCCCCGAGAATGACAACCCATTCGCACGCTTGCAGCCCCGAGCTCAAACGCAAGCAATAGCAAACCTTTATGTCATCGAAGGAAAGCTCAAGTACGTGGAAACATTCACCCATATCCGATAATTGTTCGTATGGCTGTTCTTCCACGATTATATCACGATTGCGTGGGGCAAGAAGGCGAGGATGACCAATAAGAAAGCCCGTGATGTTGTCGATGCCCTCGGAATTAGGGATACAGACAGGTCAATTACGGAGATCAAGGAGTCGTGGGCACGTTTCAATAAGATGGGGAAACATTTAGATGCGCTATGCAAGGAAATGGGTACAGGGGCTTTGTTCTGGTTGCATCGGGAGTTGTCGGCGAATTTGTTGGTTACCCAATCTCTTTCGGACTTTTTCTCGGGTTTTCATGAGTTCTTATCTTTGCGTTGTGGAAATGAATGCCGTGAGGGAAAGGTGATGGGCTAACATTTTCTTATAGCGTGTTGAACATCATGAACAATAGTGGGGACACTTTCAACGCCGCTATCCAGCATTTGCATGATCTCGGACTCAAAGAGAAAGCTGAAAGCTATGGCAATTTGTTAGGCGATAATGTCCGGTTATATATGGCTCGCCAGTTCCAGATTGACGCTATTCGGAAGAAGCAATGAGTGAATGTTCCGGCGATTGCCTCGCGGTGGGAGACTATCGGGGTGGGAAGGGGTTGGACAACAACGCAGGAAGCGGTGAAGCTTGAATGTATCTAAGCGACTGCTGATGAACGAATAATAAATCACGTAATCGAGACGCGGTCAATGTGCAAGTTGGTGTTGTGTTCTTCTTTCTTGTCGGAATGTGCTTGCCAGAAATACAAGCTAACGACCGTAAGTATCTGAACAACAGCAATCAGGAATGAAATTCAAAGAATTGCAGCGGCTTGAGTCTTGCTTTCCAACGTCCATGAAATGCTCTGCTCGCTTTCCCTCCAATTTTGTCGTCAGCATCCCATACTCAGCCTCAAATCGCTCTGTTGCCATTCACTAGGGAGGCCTCGCCCAACCCATCTGCACTGGAGCTTTCTTCCGCCCGCCTATCTTGTAGCAGCCCCTCTTCATCGTCGTGAGAGTGTACTTCCCAATGGACCTTGTCCAGAGCTCATTATTCCGTGACAAACTCTCCAACCTTCTCTGCCGTCACCTGCGCATGAATAAAGTCTCGGTATGACATCCGCCTCTTCCGCAATGCCTCGCGCGTCTCCCTCACCCATCTCTTATACTCCTCTACTTCTTTGTCCAATCATTCCTTGTCTAGAATTTCTTGCTGTGAGATTATTGCTTCGACATCCAAGCCGTTCTCCTCATCTTCGTCTAGTGCACTGGCGCCACGCTTGCGCGATGGCAACTCCCTGGCTGGTGTAGCTGTGAATTTGAAGGAGCTGGCTCTTGTCATCTGAACGAGGTCTCGTACTTTGGTCTCCGCATTGACCCAGCGCTTCTCTGCAACGTCGGCCTGATGCTTTTTCTCGGCGGCGTAGGAGTTGGATGAGTCAGACGCAGTAGTTGTGACATCCTTGCTCTGTTGTCGGGAGCCACTGGCTGTCAATCGTCTACCTGTAATACGGCTGGGTCCTGCAGCGTTACTTGGTGTGGTATTCAAGAAGTTGGGATCTTCCGTTTCTTCTTGCCCTGCGATCTGGCTCGGAGGGTTGCCAATTGCTGTGATGGGCTTGAACGCTCTATCCACATTCTCGGAAAAGGGAGATTTGGCAAGGGACTTACTCATCTGCCTCTTCGCCATCTGCGGAGCGAAAACCCTTAGAGCTTGCAGTACACGTAGACTATCAACTTTGTTGTTTGTCACTTTTCCAGCTTTAAGCGGCGGCGTTACCGGCTTTAAGCTGGGTCGTCCAAGCACAGTAGTATATCGATAAAGAATCGCTCTCAGCTTCGCTAAGGATCTCAGACTGCCGAGTAAATAGGACCTGATTCTACCAATTCAGCGGGCTCCATTGCCCACCGTTGGTTCACCAGGCCAAAAGGTCTAGGTAATCCTGTAGCATTACTGTACATTGACACTTTCCCCAGCTATGCCGCCGCATTAGCTGACACTGACACCACAGTGTAGTGATCTAGGCTGTCTTGATCCGCTTTAGCTGACAGCGGTACTTGCCACTGTCTCTACTCAATGTGTTGCTGCTGGATTGCACGCATAACCCTGCTCACAGGTAATCGCGCGCTGTGGCAGAACCTCTTGACGACCTCATTCTCACCACTGACTATACGCAGATGCCAAGTTGAAGAAATTTTTCTGTTGGCAATTCTGCGCTTGCATCGCCTCGGCTCAGCTGTAGACAGTAGTAAATGCCAAGCCGTGAAAACTTTTCACGGCTTGGCAAATTTTCTCCACTCCGCTGTACCTTAGTCAGCAATCAATGCCAAGCCGTGAAAAGTTTTTTCACGGCTTGGCAGATTTTTCGGCTCGATTAGGCCTAGCTCAGCCCCGTCTGACTTGTCTTTGTTCCCATATCACGTTCCTAGATGACTTGCAAGACAACCGACAAATCTATATTCAGCCCACTCCATCTAAGCTTGCTCTCACTACTCACTTTTACTTCGCCCATCAATCCAAGAATCCTCCCCTCAGTGCCCCACTTTTGCTTTCCTAAACCGCGCAAGTATTGACCTGTGCTAGCGACGTACTTTTTCGCCGAAGACTGCGTTCATATGGAATAGCCAGGGGATAGGGAGCTTCCACCTGAGACAAAGCACGTTCGTTGACAACCGGAACTATCGAAACATCTCTGAGCAGCCCCACAACTCCTCACTTACCTTGTAACGCAACTCACTAATATATCAAGCCCATCTCTTTGTATCCGCTAAACACCCCGAAATGGTTGTGGTGGTCTCGCAGCTATTGTAAGCTACGCTAAGTCATCTAAAACTAATGTGAGGAGTCTTCATGATTGTCGAACGCTTTTACCGTCTCTAGCTGCTTCGCGTCAATAGGTAGCGAGGCACTGTCGACGGCGCATTGAAATCAAACATTGACAGCACACCATTTTGCAGCAATGGGCACGCTGTTCCCAAATCAGAGCCTAGTATGAATGGTGTCAGGTTGACATCACGGAGGATTCCAATGAACACAGAGCAGTGGGAGAGCTTCAAGGAGCCAACACCCACTGGATCCAGTCTCAGGTACGTTGAGCGAGTCATCCCAATCCTTTCGTTGTGTATGTGAATCTGGTGCTTTGAGCTCACGGGCTAATTCTGATCTTGCACTTCAGACCCAAGCCAGTGAACATGACAGAGGCGGCTTTGATGGAGGACCTGGAGAGGCTCAGAGCATGTACTGACACCAATGTCTTGTTGCAGACGGCAGATGCTTTGATCAAGCGTTACGCTGAATGTCTGTTCACGGCAAAAGACGCCATCAACGAAGTCTACGAAGTTGTAGAGGAGGTTCAAAGTAGGGATCTTTCCGAAGAGATATGTGTCAAAGTCTTCGAATGGCGCGAAAACCTCGATAGACATCTCCAGGGCATAGAGCAGGCCCGGAGATCCGACGGCGCTAAGAAAGGGTCTGAAAAGATTATCGTCAAGAACTGGAAAGTCCCGAGTTCGATGGTCTTCGAAGCTCAATATTATTCAGATGAGAAGGCTCGAACGTTCTCTCGAAGTGTGATGAATGACCTGGCTCAGTTGTCAAAAATAACACCCCTACAGCGAGGGCAAGAGCTTGTACTGCAAAATGTGCATCGTCGTATAAATCAGAACCGAACCAAGACGAAAATATCACAACAGCGAAAGTTTATCGGGAAAATTATGCTCAGCGATGTACACACAGCACTCCAAGATGCAAAGGAACACGCCAGTAGTAAACGGAAGCCTTCCGTGCAAGATGATGGGGTTGACACTGGACCTTCAAAGAGGCTTAAAGAGACGGAATCAAATACTGGTCTGGTAGACAACGCTTCTGACATTCCCACGCCACCTCCAGAGGATGGCTCCTCGACACCTTTGCTGAACCTGAGTGCTACCATTAGACGTGGAACGCCCTTTGACGAGAACAACAGCGACTCGCCTTCAATCTTGACTCCGGAGGTGGGACGGCATGGCCTCGCTCCCTCAATCCAAGACAACCTTGCCGACTCAACAAAACCTATGCTCCTATCACCGCCAACAACTGGTGATTTCGCTGAAGACGGAAGTCTGATGGACCCCGAGCTTACGTATGATCAAGAGCACCTTGAAACCCCGCTGGAGCCCGATACATCTGGAGCCTTCGCGCAAACTCGCATAGAGAGCAGCCCCTGCCCTAAGTACGAGTCACCAGGGAAGTCCTCCGAACGAGGACTCTCTCCCGTCCTCAACTTGTCTCTGGACTCAAATGACACTCCTCGAGGCCAGGATAGAACTCTGCGCGAAGACAAGATGCTTTCTGCCGCGGAGCGATCATCTTTGCCATCATTGACGTCCCCACAACAACAAGACCAACTCGCACGCGAGAAAGCCCTTGAGACTCTCCAGGATGACCGGATGTTGTCTGATACAGCGATACATCTTAGTTTGAAACCATTTTCCGGTTTGACATGCTGCATACTCGATCCGCTTTGGTTTGCAATAGGTGAGTGAGGCCAGCCTCGAATCTCGTTCACGTCTATAACACAAAACACAGATGGAACAGAATGGCCCTCGATGCCTAAATTAGCTCCAGAAAAAGAGCTTTGTCTGATCCCGCTACATTCCCGGACACGATCGCACTGGATGCTGGCCATACTCAGGCCTCTAGACCCCAGCATCACGTATTATGATCCCCTTCTTGTTCCTCTGGTCCCAGCTCAGGAAGATCGTCTGAAGAAGTTGGGGTCGAAGCTCATTGATCATGGAACACGCACACCACAAATGGAATTCAATCAAAGTTTTGATGTCCAACAACAGAAAACAGGATTCGATTGCGGCGTTCACGTCTTCTTAAAGGCCATCTACGAAATCACCGGCTCACCAGCACCAAAGCAGCATGACTGCCCTCTCGGAAGACTCCATATGCGTTCGATTGTGAGAGAGACAGAAGTTGAACAGGAGACACAACCGAGACCGCCAACTTCGCTGTTCCCCCTGCATTCTGATCGCGTTCCAGAGAAGGTAGACATCATCAAGGGACTGTACAGGCTAGAGAGCGAAGCAGAAGAGGCCTGGTCAGTAAGCCAGTCTGTACGCGACCTCTTAAATCACCATGAAAAATTGAGCAATAGGAGGCAGCTAGACTGCATTGAACAACTAAAGAAGCAACAAGAGAGGCATGATGTAGTGGAATGTGCTTTTACTAAGTATAAGAACATGCCAAGCGACATGCGAACCAACGACGTTACAAAGTTTTTTAACGACAAGCGGCGCAGCGAGGCTAACGCTATAGAGAAGTCACAAAAGCGCTGCGAACGTATGGCAGGCGCGATGAAAGCACTTGTTGCGGCGTGTCATACTGCAGATGCAGTTGCAGAGGCAAGGCACCTGATATGGCAGGCTTCAAGATCTAAGTCCGAAGAGTTCGAAAGTTCAATGAGAGCTGATATTTTGATGATGGAGGAAGCCCTGTCGATGCGTGAGAAGCCATGAACTTATCACAGCTTCAATCGAATGGGGTTGCAATTTGGGATGGAGGATTCAACAAGTGTCGTAAACCATAGCTTAGGCTGCTCAATTTCTGGGGTGGAATTTCGGCTTTTCGTGAGAGCTTTTGAGCATTGCTTCCTTTGTCATGGTCGTGCATCTTTCTGGTAGCTTAATGAGATGATTTGGAGATTGCCGTGCTTGGAAAATATTAAAATGGAACGGGTGTTCCGCCGGCTTGGCCGCATGGAGTCTGAAGCAGTTGGTGGTTGAGCGTGTTAGCTTCAGCTTTTGGCACCCAACTGCTCCATGCTATGGATGAGTGGACGTCCGTATCTTTCACCGCTAGCAAAGAGCCTTCGACAGATTCAACCTTCAGGGGGTTTCATTGTCAAAGAAGTAGTCACTGACTTTCAACAAAATTCTGCTTACAATGCGAATGCATCGAAGGTTAGGGATAATCTAGCTTGCGCTTCACTTACCTATATGAAATTTCATCCTGTTCCTTTCTACATATGTGCTCTTTCTCCTTCTGACCACGCCATCGCCCTCAGCACACCGTGGCGCTGGTGTGCAGCGCCTAATCAGATAAGTACATACTATCAACCACCCAAGTCTTCATCGTTCCACTCCTCCCCCTTCCCCCCCCCGGCGTCTTCTCTCTCTGTCACTCAGAAGGTTCAGAAGAGAGAAGAAGCAGTATCTCGAAGCACCGAGAAAATCAACATAGATAGTACTCTCACGCGAAGCAAAGGGGCCATTGACGCCTCCTCTTCTTCCACGGCTCGACTTCACATCAAGCGGTAGACTTCTCACATGAAATGCAGTCCTGATACTGCCATAGCTGTCTGGTGCTTGGAGAATACCAAAAGACTCGCTGACTAGGTCAGGACCGTGTTCGCCGACCAAAACTCCAAATTACGAGGTGCTGCCGCTTCATCATCAATGCGCGATGATGGAACCACCGCGGGACGCGTCTACATTCACTTTTGTTTATCACTCCCCTTCCCTTGTCTCCAAATTTCCACACGCATCGAGTCTAACTGCTAACACCACTGTACTATTTCACCAAATCAATTTTCGCTCTGTGAGTCTCGCCTTTACGATCAACCATCCTCTCCCTAGCTTCAGCAAGTCCTACTACCGTAAGAACCGCCATCCCGCACTCTTGATCATCCAACAATGCATAATGGCTAATCTATTTCTTCCTTGAACAGTCAGAAAACATGCTTGATCTCGTCTGGCTCCTCTGGCTGGCTGCAGCCAGTATCTCATTTGGGCTCGTCAACATTCTTCTTTTCGCACCAATCCCGTAAATCCCCCTTCCCCTCCCCAGCCTTCTCCTCCATCTTTCCGCTTGCAAAAACTAACCTCAATTTCGTGCCTTTAGCCAGAAAAAGCCTCGCACACAGCTAAAAAGGACGATAGTACTGAGTAGTGCTGAGTACAGCCGATACCAAGAAGAGATGGGATTGCGCACACGACTTGCCCCCCGTCCTGCGTGGCGTCAGAGAACACGATATTTCTGGATCATTGATTTGTGTGAACCAGGAGATGAGTTTATGGCGCTTATGCACGCAAGGACTGAGCACATCTCTAATTGTGTATGTCGATACTGCTTGTAGTTTGGAGAGGTTGTTGGGTTCGAATCCCAATTGCGCTAGTGATTGTTGCCGTGGTTGAGTCGGGGTTGAGAGTGGAGAAGGCAACGACTGAGATGCGATGAGGGAGGAGAGGGGGGTAGAGATGGAGCGATGAGTGCGGTGGAGGTAGTTTTCGTTTTGTTAGGCCTTGAGAAGGTATGTTTGTTGTCAGTGGTCAGCCGAAGTGGTAATTCTGCCGGCAGGAGGATTTCACAAGGCTTTTAAATTCGGTCTGTACTGCCTGCGGCAGTCTTAACTAGGCATGCATTCACTTTTTGTGCCTTTTGACTAGTGGAGGTCTGCTATTTATGTCTCGTTCTCTCACGCTAATAGCTATGCCTGCCTCTTCTACCTATTATGGCACTTCTACCTGCCTCTTCTTCCAGATCACACTTTCTTGCCTGGCTCAATCATCTGATTCTTCGCTCGGAGGGCTTGACTGCTCATAGTCCGAGTCCTTCCCCTTGTCATCTCCGCCTGAAGCCGATGACTTACCTGCCGACGATCCTTCGCTTGACTCCGTTGTAAGGTCGCTTTGATTCGAGGCAGGAGAAGTAGCGGCCAAAACGTACTGATCGTCAAGGTGGGACTGGACGGCGTCTTCGATCTCGCTGCTAAATAAGTCCAATGGGATATCGATGGAATCCCCTGGCGGCAGTACCACACCTCGCTTGGCCCAGATGTCCTGCTTCGAGATCGTTATATGGCCGGAAAATGTAGGCCGGTTTGCTTTATCTGCATCCACTCGCTTCGTCGCGTCATACATGACAAATAGCTCTGGCTTCCAAGTCCCACTTGCTGTTGGAGAAGATCGACCAATCCTAGCAATAAAAATCCTCACACTCACATCCTGTAGGTCAAGTTTGCGATCGACAACGGGGTCAGATTTGGCAATTATCAGGCAGATCAGAGTGATATCGCCATGAGATCCATTGAGGTAGTGGTGTGCCTTCTTCATCAGGTCATCTTCAGTCTGGGATACAGCAACTTCAAAAATAAAGAAAGGCTTAATTTGTGTGCCGTCGACGACTTTCATTGACATGTCAGGATCTCTTGAGTATTTGTTATCATTTGACCATACTGTCATCTCTGCGAATGGAACACATTAGTCAAGACGCGGACAGTGCCACAAAGGGGGCAACTAACGACCACCACCCTTGACAAGCTTCACTTCAGAGCCACTTGGTAGTTTCCAGCCCTTTTCGAGGACCCTTCTTTTGATGTTCGCTGCAAATTCGTGGCACGCACCCACTAAACTCTGGTGGAGTTCCCCAGGCATGCTGATTACGATTCCGCAACGATGATATCGAGTTCGAGCTCGCTTTGCAAGAGTCAAGTCCTGGTGTTTTAAGAATTGATGGTAGTCGGATTTTGTCGCCTTGACTAGGTATCCTGAGTCGAAGGCTTTGAATGGGCGCACAAGGGTTCTGTCCCACGAATGCCTTTCGCAAGGATGTATTAGCTGAGGATCGAAGAGCAATTGCATTCCCCTACCTTTGATCAGTTGTTGAACTAAATCCGATTGCCTTAAATGTCGCGTTCACTATTTTGATTGTCTCTCGAGTCTTGGATTGTTTCCTGCGCTTATGACGTGGTGTTGATGCCGATGCCAATGCCGATGGCTGGTGTTGCGACGTTCTGCAATCTGAAGGAATGCTGGTCGGTGCAGTCGTTGATGCAATGACTGATGGCGCAGGAAGGGATTCTTCGCTAGATGGTAAATTGATGAGTGAATGCGCAGATGGTACGCTTGCACCTGTGGCTGTCGAGATCGGGCTATTAGAGGAGATGCTCTGGGGAGAGTAGTCTAATGGTGTGGACGATGTAGCAAGGAGGTGTCCGAGATTCGACAGATTATGTACGGATGACGGAGTAGTAACGGATGGAGAAGTTGAGACAGGTGTGGCAATTGGGTAGACAGGTGAATGCGAGAGGCGCTCAGCCGGGTCGGATTCATTCACTTCAACAGGCGACGTGCCCCTTGAGATGGGGCTTTTGGATGGAGTCGGTGGGCGCTGCATTGTCGGACATCCGATCGCAGGTGGCTGAATAGGTGCTGAAGTAGATGAAGATGAGTCACGCAAGCTTGCTGTCTCCTTCTGGTTTGGCGCGTCGTAAGGAGATGCCATGGTCACGGAGGAATGATCAAGGTGGAATGTTCAAGATGCTCGTCGTAGCCCCAATCGGCTAGCTGGAGGTCTCAAATGACTGTCGACTCCTTTCAAGCAATTACGAGCGTTGATAGTCTTGATATGGACTTGCACAGGCGCACTCTCTCATACTTCGCGCGTTGGTCACGAAACGTGGGGATTTACTTCAACAGATAGAGACTTGAGAAAACGATCAATCGTATTGATGCTGCTGTCAACAGGCGTACGCGCTTGGTAAGTAGGCGCTGTGGGCACTTTAATGACGTGTCGTCAGGGTGTTGAAAGGTGTAGGACACCAAACATATGAAGTTGAATTCATTTGTATAGGACGTGAGGCGCCTTGATCGTAGGACGCCAAGGGCTAGGAAGCCCCTGAGGTGCTTATGTAATATGTCATCCCCTGATATCAATGTAGTGGTTGAAAATACAGATCTTCAACTCTTGTTGAGTCTATGCTAACAACTTTATAGATTAATATGGGACGCAATTACTTGGGTCTATACTGCTACAGGTTATTCTAGATATTTTAAAGATGGCACCATTACCTTGCGATGAAGATGCGGGGTTTGCGAGTCTTGCAACACTTCAAGACTGTTTAACACTTCTTCGTTCTATATGCTTTCCTTGCTATTGTGCCTGCTAGCAACTTAACTATCTCGTATTGCTACCTTATCTCAACTATAAATCTATTAAACGATCCTTTCCTACCCAATTGCATTCACTTTCAACAATGTTTCCAAAACTCTCTACCAAATTGAGTGCCCGTCATGATACTATTACTAGGCATCTATGTGACCTTCTTCGCCAGACCCTCCTCCTCAAATTCGACATCGAAGTAAGGCAGCCAACAGTGTCGGGCTTGCAGCAGCTTCACCGCGCTCTAGATGTGGTTCTCGCCGATCTGTCAGTTCTTATTCGGACCCTACGAAAAGCAATTGAGTCACTACAAGGGGCCCAAGGGAGGTGGTCGGGGTTTTTTTGTGTTAAGAAGGAGGAGAGAAGGTACGACAAGCGGTTTTTCGCATTTGTCGAAGCAGCAGAGACGGCCACAGTCATGTAAGACATATTAATGAAATGGCAGCGATGTAAGCTGATTCTAATCTTAGTTGCGAGGATCCGAGTGCGACGGCCCACTAGGGGGCAGATTCTAGGGATGAGATTTCAAGAGAAGACAGTCGGGCGGCCGTTGAGCGCACAAAGGGGGCGTTGAAAGTAGCGCGAGAGGAGCATAGAAGGCTCTTTCAATTGAGAATCTCGTTGCCCTCACCTAAAGTTCTCCACCGCGCTATCCCTTCATCCTGCTTCCCTTCCCCCTCCGTCCCAAAAACCCCAACTCCAAAGCTTTTCTACCGATTGAGGACAAGGGAGAGAAAAGGGGGAGTCATGGCGCCATCTTCCTGCTAAAACAAATCATATTGCTGGTGCGATTATCGTTGGAGGTTGGCGGCGAAGGCGTGGTCAACAGTAAGCTTTGGAGCATTAGCATCGCCGCCACTCAATCGCCGTTGAAATTAGGCTGCATAATACCTTGATTAGATTCAACCTTCCTCTTTGACAGTAAAAATTCTGTTGCGATCTTCACGAGGGGTAGTAGTCGTTTGGTTATCATCGTATGCCCAGTCGCTCCAAGACAAGCGGCGGTTCTCTTCACTTTTGCTATCATGAGGGATGACTGGTGCAGAATCTTTGCGGGGCTTGTGGTGCCTGCCAAAGCGAGCGGTGATAGATTCCACAAAATGCCAAATTTTCTGAATAAATTGCATGGTGGGATAAGTACTGGCACTTACTGTCAATGAGTCTGCGACTAGTTGGATGATGCAGAGGGATTGCCCTGTTCACTTCAGTTTTAGAAGACATGGGCCTAGACAAATTAGATCATTCACTTCTCTGCGTAGTGTTAGTGACATTGCGTCCAATGCTCACCTCCCGCGCTAAGGCAAGAGTGTCGGTAGAGCTTGTAATACCAATGTTGACATTTATCGAAACCGAAAATCGTCAGTGGGGATTATGTAGGGCGTTGTTGCCATCATCCACGTGATAATTACAATAGAACCGAAATCAGCTCCCAAGCTCACTTGAAGATCGCTCTTTATTGACGAAAATCTCATCCTTGAATCTCTTTGCAACCACATGCGATTTCCATCGCTTTTCGTGCACTCCTCGAGCACTTCCACGCCCCTGTCTTATCCCAGTGTATCCACCATCTTTCTCCCCTGCCAGGGGTCCGCCAGCATCACCCCTTCGCTTCCCTGCTTCCTCCCCTTCCTTCCCTCCCCTACACCTCCCCTTCCAGCATATCTTCGTCCCCCAAGTCCTCCTTACGCACCCAACTCCTCTTCCACCTCACCCAAACATCCGCACCCTCCTTTCCCCCCTTCCTCTTCCCTCCCTCTTCCCCCTCCTTCATCCTTCCGCAACATTTCTCACAAGCGCAATCCCATCTATTCTTCACCTCGCCCCTCATCGACCCCTCACCCGCCACAAAGTCCCATGCCTCCCTTGTGATCAACATGTCCTCCCATTTCACCAGCACGGAGCCCGGGTCGCGGGATAGATCTTCGCTGCGCGTGTAGGAGTGTATGGGCCATTCGGCCATTGTTTGGATGTCGTGGATGGTAAGGGGGCGGAGAGGTTCTTCGCACTTTGGGGCAGGAGGGGTGGTGGTTGGTGGGCAGTCGGTGGTTGGGATGGTGGTGGTGGAGGATGGGTTTGTAGGAGAAGGGGTGGAGAGATGGTGAGGCGGTGAGGAGGTGGGAGGGGTGGGAAGGGTGTTGGTGGGAGGTGGACTTTTGGGAGGAATGGTGGCGGGAGGCGAAGCGGCAGGTGGATAGTCGACGGGGAGCTGTTGGGCTGGCGTAGAGGCGCGCTTTTGCCTCTTTGTGCCCACGTGCCGTGAGGAGTAGACGATTGTATTCTTGCTCTTGCTCTTACTCATACGCTTGCGCATGAGCTCTCGAAGTCGCTCGGGCGAGGACTTATGCTCGGTGTTGATGAGATGTAATAAAGTCGGCGCTTGGTGCACTTTTGCCAAGGTTCTCTCGGGCATGTCCTTACTTTTGCTATTGCTATCGTGCTTGCGCTTCAGGTCTCGAAAGCCCAGGGGCAAAGGCTTGTCATCCTTGGTGACGAGAGGCGAGGAGGTTGGCGCGTGGTCAGGCGTTGGGGAGGTAGTAAGGGCTGGTGCTCCGTATTCTTGACCCAGCACTGATTCAGTGTCTTCCTTTGATCGTGCATTGACATGGTCTTCTTGTGCTCCTATATGGTCATCCTGCTCATCTATAGTATTTTCAATTGCTTCTGCATCAGGCTCGATTGGCTTTTGAGCAGGCTTTTCCGGTGTAGTGGGCAGGCTGTAGACTGCTCTTTCGCGCCGTAAGGGATTGCGCGGCTCTACCGAGTCCTCGTTGAGGACGGTCTTTGCCCAAAAACTGTTGCCAAATAACGCAGGCATCTTCGTACCGCTGCCGTAGTGGATCTTTGTGCGGCAAGGAGGGGTACGACAGAGGTGATCTGTGTCTGCTGAGGAAGGTAACTCGAGACGCACTGGCTCTTGACCTGTCTTCAATGCGGTCAGCAGGGCAAGATTGCGATAGTGCACTGAGAATGCCATACAGGAACGAAGACGCGTCGCGATTGTTGACACGAGGGCTTTTAAGGTTAGAGTTAGAGTTGATGTCTAATGGGTGCTAAGCCTTGGGCGCAATTCTAGCGCACCCTGGCCCAAGAGAGGCAAGCCAGAAAGGGTCGGAAGTAGTTCGGAGATCGACAGCATTTGAGAGTTGTTGAGACAATTCCTCTGAGCGTTGGAGGAGGAAAGAGAGTAGAAGTTCGAGGCAAACAATTTAGAAGGAGCCCTCTTGGCGCTTCAGGCAGTGCTAGCGGTCCGTGCCGAAAGACGGGCATTTCAAGTGGAACCCCCGCGCAGATTGAAGAGCTCTTCAACGGAGAACATACATTTTGTGAGTATCACGAACACGAGAAACTCAAAGCACAGAGAATACCGTGGCATCAACTTGTTTCCAGCAGGTTGTAAGATCGACATGCTGAAAGCAAACCAGATAATAGCAAACCCTCCCCGCTTCCAACTCGAGGAGAAGCTAACGCGCACATAAGACACCGCCGGCCTAGTGAGTGATTATGGGTGAAGCTGACAATGGACTCAACATCGGCATTGAGAGTCAATCAGTCTGTTTCAGACGCGTACCACACCCTCTTCACATGAACTTCATCTAGACATTATCCCGATCGAAGGACAAAGGAGGACTACCTTGGTCATGTCGTCTGAAGACAGAGCGGATTCCACGCAACTTCCAACCCAGCTATGAATAGTCGCTCTCAACTCTCCCACGCATCCAATTGAAGACGTGAATCAACATCGCTATCGCTCATTCCAAGGCCTCAACAGCTGAGCGAGATTCGGACTCACGAATTGCAAGATAATTTGCATTATTCTGAAGGCTTTTTGAGTCCACAAGAACATCTCGCATGGCTTTCGCCGCTCGATGAAGTTCGAAAACGTTCGACGGGCAACCCAAGAAGGTTGCTAACCCTCGCGGTGCAAAATGGACGTTAATGGAAACCCACTCTAGGCGCACACTTTGAAGATCCTCGAGCAACTGGATGGACGCTCTTGCTGCTGTAAGCTCAGAATTAGGAGTTGTCAACGCGCGATCCTCGTTGCTCCCGCGTCTTCCAAGACGGTAACACCGGAGATCCACGGTGAACAGTTTGAGGCCAGTGAATGCTTCGGCTGTAGTCTGGGAGATGATATGACGAGGGATGCTCCTTACGGGCTTTCCATACCTCGAGTATGCGTTGATCAAAAGATGAAGGCTGCGTAGCGTCCGCCTCTGCCAGGGTGACAGCAATTTCGATAATGCGATCAGCGTGGCGCCCTCCGCAATGATGAATGTGTTGGTGCTCCAAAAGATATCGTACGCCTCTTGAGAAAGTTGTCGACAGCAGCTCAAAATTGCGAGATCTACTCGCGAAGGCGATGCATGCATTCGGGCTAGGCAATTGGGGTGATCAGTCTTCCGTTGCGCTTGGTTCCTTTCTATGCCAGGTGTGTTGACGGACTGCTCATCGCCACGTCTGATGGGGTTCCCTTCGCATACATGGTGGACGAACTTCGTAAACGTTGCTGTACGGAGCTCCTCCTGCGATACATCAGCAATAATCCTGAGTGAACAACAGGCCTCAAACCTCTCCAGATATCTTGTACGATTGACCATGCCTGTCGCTGGTCGGAGAATCATGCCCAACGACCCAATTGTTGGGCATGGTACAGAACCGGACACCATCAGCCCTTATCCCAGAGATGGCCCTGATGTGCACGCATCGATCTCCAAGCACATATCTTAAGATTTCTTTCCGCAATTCGAACGGTAGGGAAAGAAGCAAGGGTGTGGAAATCTCACCGTCGCAAGCTTGCCTAGAACGCGCCATGGTGGTCTGCACGAAACTGCTGCCTAGGGTGTGACCCACCACATCACGCAAATCTCATTAGCCAGGGAAAGTCAGGACGAAAAGACGAAAGACAAAGTCTTTGACTCGTGTGAAAATCTCTGCTGTGTGAGCCCCACGTCGCTTGTGTATGTATCCGTGGGAAGCAAACAAAGCCTTGTCCTTCCCTCAATGATTCTGCTCTCCTACCGACGTTCCCCTGCTTCTCTCCTGTCCCCAAGATGCGCTCTCGCTATGCTTCCTTGATTTTTGCGGATCAAGCATGGCTCTCTGACGCCCAGGGAATCGCAGCAACCGAATCAGCTCTTGCTGTACCCGTTCTCAGCCCTTTCCCTAATATACTCCTCAAATAAAACATGCATCTAAGAAAAGGTCAATGATAACGAAACATCTAGCAGCCATCAAAGCAATCGAAATTTTGGACTGTGGCTTAAAAGCCATACGGTAAACGCCTGCATTATTTTCCAGTCGCAGCTCAGCTCAGACGTTTTCGAAGTCAAAGACCTAAAAGACCTTGACCGAAGTCTTCGGAAAGCCAGGATCTGTAATGGCTGGTTGGTTGTCCTAGTGAGGTCTCTATCTTTTTATCATAGTGTGCACACTGTACTGTACCTTCCTTTGCCCCTTTGGACCCGTCTGTCCCATTTCTTCCCAGATTCACTTGCCCACGCTCATTCCTTCTACCCGTTTCTCTCTATCCCCTAGTGCCGTTCCACTTTCCCCCCTTTGCCCTTCTTCTCTCGTTCTGGCTTTCCAACCTCGATATTGACAAATCGCTGAAAGTAGATTCTAATTTAACGAGCCTGAGCATTTCAATCGCGAAAGTGTGATATATGTGTCGATAAATCGTCCTTCAATGATTATAGGGAGGTTGTGGGGAATTTGAAGTGAAGACGGAGCTGGTTGTCGAGGAATCTGGGTAAGGGTGAAGGTACGTTTTGAGGTGAGTAGCAACCTTTAGGCAATGGTTGGGTAGCGGATTGGGGTTGTGGACTAAGACGGTTGTCGAAAGGGTGAAGAGAACGGAGCAGGTTGTAGAAGCATTTGGTCAATGCGAATGCTAGACGCGTAGCCGTAGGGAATTCTCCTGACGAGCATCAAGATAGAATATGGTAGTGAGACAATGGCTTTCGCGCTAGAGGACGCTCTCTGTTAGAAAAGCAAAATTATGATCATGGTTAGAAGTCGTGTAAGTTATGCACTTGTTAAAATCAGCGCAGCCCTTCTGTCGCAGGATCTTGAGCGATTATGGAGCAACACCCCTGGAATCCCCAACAGAAAACTTTCACGTCGAAAGACTGATGATTTGCACGGCTCTGAAAACTGCGGCGACAAGTGTTTCGGACAAAGCTTCTTGCGTTCACGAGATATAAATCTGATTGCGCGCAAATCTCTCACGTTGATTGACTATTGCGAGTTTAAAGTACTCTGCACCTTTTAACGCATTGTCTCTTTTGCAGTAAAAGGTTTGTATGTACCGAAGTCGTAGTTCAAGATTGAGTCCCTCCGGCTTTAGAAACTATAACTGCCGCAATGCAATAGAATACCGGCGATAGACGAAATCTGCTCTATGTGAACCTGCAGCCTTGTGGTCAGGCTATCTCCTATCTGAATAAGACCTATTGCGAGTTAGCTTCCCTCCACATACACTTCAAGACTTAAGTCAGCAATTTTTGTGAATCAGCTCTGATGGCATCCACCTACGCGATCCGGATGGCACCATTAGAACTGCGGAAGAGGGGATTAGTGGAAGTCGGAGTTTCGTAACATGCTATCCATTGCAGACGAGACGTGCAGTGACACAGCTATCTTAATTTGAACCTGGGTGTTAAGTCTCTTGCTTCGCAAAGTAAAGTGTCAAGTCTACGACATTAGGGGTCGACTCAGGAGGATTTAGGAATGTTTATGTTGCCAGTCCATTCTTATTTGTTGCACATACTTCCCAGCCGAAGATTGGGCGCAGAGACAAATCAGCTGAACAACATGATTCGCCCGCAAGCGCTCCGAGGGAAGGTAAAGAGCATTCGGTCTCTGCCGCGGTCCTGAAAGCGAAATTTTGCACGTCATTAAGCGGAGATATAAGATTTCACTTATTGCCTCTTCTCCTCTTCTTTTCGCCCCATTGTACCCAGACGTACAATTTTCTTGTAGTCTAAGAAGCCCTTCAAAAGCGTGGTCTATCAGCTTCGTAAAAGGGAGATCCTCACTAGGGTCTGGTGACGAAGAACTCGGGAGTGAGAGAGACATTACACATTTCTAGGCCCCACGGAATACGAGTTCAGCCTTTAGCGTCAATGTTGATGAACAAGCGGTAGCCACGTCTACCGTTGAAGTGGACAACTTCCCAGCTTTCAGTGTCAAACTCTCGCTGATGCAAGGCCGTTGATCGAGCAGAAAGACCCAATTTTACCTCGTTGCATACTGTGCCCGTAGTATCGCCACATACATGAATTTGTCTGAGCTCAATTCTTAGACGTCTATCTACGGTATCAATTCATCATTTCTCCAGTGCCTGGAGGGATGAACCAGTGAAGTAGGCATACTTGGTGCCGCAAAACCCATTGATCGTGTTCCAATTCATGACCAGTCTGAGAGGCTTTTCCGACTGGCGGGGTCCTCTGGTGTAGCACTCTTGAGTTACGAGGTAGGCGCCAATCAACAACAGCGGGACGCCTTATCAATCGTCTCCTTCTCATGCACCTGTGCTGTTCGTACGCTGTTACTTTTGAGGCAATGCCTCTTATTACTAACAAGGCTGGGGGTACCTTGAGTTCGCACGATAGATTCTTCAACGCGCCGACGTTGGTACAGCAGCTCCCCTATGCCATCTTCCCTTCTATGGATGCGCATCCTCCGTTCGACATAATTGCCAAGGAGCGCACCAGACGAACGGCTGTCATGCAGGCCACGAAGGGCCTGATCGATCTAGTCTCTGGTGATGACATTTTCACGCGCTTTCTTGCCGATCGAAACAATTCGAAGGCCTGTGCACTTCTCCTGTCCTCAATCAAGTCTCTTTCCTTCGATTTGATGAGATGCCAAGTGCCAATACCTAAACGCGTCGATTTATAAACATCTTTAGGTGCAAGAGAGATAATGAATTGGAAATGCAGATTTCGCAGGTCACTCAGACTGATGCACCAGCTGGTTACTCGATTCAGGAAATGTGGGGACCCCGCTTAGATTTATACACTTTCCAACAACCACAGGGTCATAGTTTCCAGGGGCCTTGGTTCAAAGCTCTCTGAACAGCCTTGGGTCAATCCTCCTATGCGCCATCTCCCTGCCAAAAGAGCTGCCGCTTGAACAGCAAGTTCGGCAAGTCGAAATCTTGCAGCGCTGAAAGCCGCCTATCACAGCCAGCTAGACACAGACGAATAGAATCATAGGGTAGTCACCTGCAGAACGAACAACACGCTGTATACAGTCGTGAGGCCAATACATGGAAGTCCTACCTCGATGCGTATTCGTATGTACGCCCTTTCTGTATCCAGGTGATAAGTCTGCACCATTATATCATAACATTGGAGTACGACTCGAAGTCGAAGGATGAGTGCTCGCCCCCTACGCAAGAAAAGAGGACCGCTTTCAAGGGTCGTTCTATCGCAGATAGAGGTAATCATGTTTGCAATTCCACTCAATGCCGCGACGCCATCCACAGTGGCGATATCGAGGATCTTTATGGCCCCCTTTTAGTGAAGCAATTATATAGGACAGCTTCTGACTGCATCATAGTTACTCTGCGTTTTGTAATCGCAAACCCTGGAGGATTGTGAGGAGCCATTGCTTCTGTCAGTGATGGAAGGCTTGATGAAGCGTGCTATTTTTGTGATCTCTGATGGTGAAATTGAGGCATGTGGCTTGGCATTCACTGCTTTTTGGAAAGCGCTGAGGTTTCAGCAGGTTTGAGCATCTGTACTCTAGATGCCGGTCCTTTGAATCTATTCCTTATAAGAATGAAGCAGCTTCGACCCAATGTTCTGTGTCAGCTTCTTGAATGGATTTCTCGTACCTGATTTGCGTACGATCTTTCTTTGCAGTCTTCAAATTTGTATTCGACGAAAACTGAGTCTGTATGACCCGAGTCTGCAAGATCCCTCTACTCATGCAACCTTGTGCATAGCTCTGCATTGTCATACCTGCTATGCTGCGTTATTCATTTCAATTAGTGGTCAGTTGTGCTGTGCTACCTGTTTCGATTGAGTTGGAAGACTTTTTGTGCTTCATTCCCCATTCACTGTCGTGCTGTACCACTTAATTCACCCGAGTTGCCAGACCTTCGGTGTTGTATGCATGCCTGGGTTCAGGTGTCAAATATCCAAACCTATGACAAATGAGTCTGTAGGACCTGGGTCTGTGTCTTTGAAAGTGTCCGTACGACTTGACTACTCACTCGAAGTTGTGCACATGTTGTCTTCAAGATCTATAAAACTCTTTCTTCCTTCTCTACCATCTTTCTCTCTTCTCATCTACTACCAACACAACAAAGCAATAAACTCTCCACCATAACTTGCCCAAGCAACACTGCCAACTCGTCAGAGCAAAAGTTCCTTCGCACAGATCTACCCAAGCAACATCCCTAGACCAAACTCACACTTTTCCCCCAAGCAATAAAATGCCTCTCTATGATGACCTCGAAAGGGAACTCTCAGCGCAAGGTATCTCCATCGAGGTCAAAGAGATTGACGGACACGGGGACTTCCCAATGCTTATTAGCAAAGTGAGGGATTTTTCGGACGCGGAATGTAATACCATCCTAGACGCCTACGTCGATTTCTTCGACGAAGTCAATGAACGTGATATGGATGATTTCACGCACCTGTACCGCGTCGATATGAGCCAGGGGTACGTCTACGCGTGCAGTGACCAACATAGAAATGACAACCTCAGAATCGACGATGCCGAATATGATAACGCATGACAACATTGGTCGATTGTGAGGCATGGATTATGTCTGGGTGTTTGACGCGATCAAGCATGAAAGTCAGGAAAATCTGCACGAACTGCAGAGATGAAGAACCTGAGGTGAAAAGTGGGCAGTCATTCTTTTGTATCACCCAAAATTTCAAGGACATGTAAATTATGACAATAGCGGAAACGAATTCACGAATTTCGTTGCCAATCTTCATTTGAATTTGCAATTATTTGTCTTCGTGCGATGAACTTGCTTCCTTGCCTAATTACACATTGATAATTAGAATGATGTAGCACAGTCAAAGCCTTCGAAGTAGACTGCAACACTGGAATATCTGACATCACCAATGTCACGGCCCTGTCACTGACCTATTGTAAGAGAGTATTAAACTTACTTATAGATAAAAGTAGGCGTTGATTTAGTACTGGACATTGAGATTGTCCCGCCAATACGAACCATACATGTGGTCTCGCAACCGTTTCTTCCTTCAGCGAAAAACACCATACTTTTGACGATCTGGGCAACGTCTTTTGTTAATCTGCGACCTCCTCGCCCGACCGCAAGCCCACCCCCGACTCCTCAGTAGCCGGGAACACATTCAAACCCTAGGAGCGTTTGTCTTTCGTCGCAAACACTCTCTTTGCAATACTCGAGCGCAAAAGAAGTCGCTCTCGTTATTGTCTTCCCGCTTTAACCCCAATTATTTACATAAATCCATAACGAGAACCCTGATTAGCGTCATCAAAACATCTTATCTTCGGCCGCTACAACCGCTTCTATCCTTCCAGCATTTGGGTTTCCTTTTGCAGCGTCTTTCTCGCTCCCCACTACTATCTTCATATCTTTGACAATCTACGGCCGTCAAGTCATGAGTCATGTCGACTGCTCTAAAGAAAACTAGCTCTAGGTCCAAGGATAACTTATCTCGTTCACAGATAATTAGGTCGCAAACGAGTTAGCACCGCTAGAGGAAAAATCAGCGTGTGTTCAAGCCCAGCTTCATCAAACGTCATTGATAACACTTCGACCGACAGGACGGGAAATGAGGGATTCATCGTACACCTATCTCACACAAACAAGTCCCACGTCAGAATTATAGACAAGTTCGGAGCCCCCCAAAAAATCATTCCCCATAACTCAGCGGGGAGGGCTAACTTCACTGTCGCCTCAAAACGGAAAGACTCGCTTTCGGCGAGGAGGGTTGCAAAACCACAAGGATCGGAATTCCTGCAAATACTGAATGCTCGACCAGAAGACTTGCGCTATAGAAGCATTTCTTACAGTTCCACTTCGACATTCTCTATCGGAGCGATGACACAGTCCCCATCGCCCCTAGAGATTAACATGAGGGCTCTGTGGGGCGACAAGCAATGTAAAATGGTAACACGAAGAACATACACAAACATTGAAGGCAGGTGACAGCGAAGCACGAGAATCAGCTTCCCAACATCCCTATTCTTCACCCTCCTTCACACCACCCCCAACCCTCCCTATTTCACCCCCTTCCCCTTCCCACAACGCAATTGCACGCCGCTCAAAACGCACATCGCGGAGATTACATCCCCCGCCCCATACCCCCCCGCTCCTCTCACGCCTTCTTCCTAATCATCTCAACTTTACGAACAACCACGCGTCAGGAACTAGTCCGAACGGCTGCAGTAAGGCTGACCCCCACTTCTACTCCTGACCTCTATGCCGCCCCTCCTCTCCCCTCCCCTCCTTCAGGCCCCCATCACATACCACCCCATCCCACCGTTCGTATGCCTCCCACCTCCCCCTTCATATCTCCAATCGTCTTACTCCATCCATTGCGATAGCTTCGGAGCTTGGATTGAGGATCGAGGAAAGGGTGGGCGCGAGGTCGGCGTCGAGATATGGCGTGGATGTAGAGAGTAGGCGGTAGATTTAATGGAGGCTGCGCGGTTGGAGGTCTGAAGGGTAGGCGAGGGGGGGTGGAGGATCGGCGGAGATGGGGGGATCGTCGGGGTGGTTTTGAGAGGAAAGGAGAAAGGAAGGGGGTGGAGCGTGGTATGGTGCTTGTCGGAAGAGGGAGTAGCAGGAGGGTTGTGGTGGTCAAGGGGGAGAGGTTTGTTATTTTCTTATTGTAGAATAAGAGAAGAAATTAGAAGGCGGGGAGGCGGGGCAAGAGGGGCAAAGTGGGGGGGGAGAGCTGTAAACTCTGAGGGTGGGAAGGCTTAGCTCCGGGAAGCTGCCGGCGTTTAATGGAGGAGATTGTGCGGGGTGGTGAGATTTTGAGTGTGGTAAATAGGAGGGAGAAGAAAGGAGATGGTCACCGGTCTGGAATGATAGAGGTCTGCATATGGCGAAGGGCGCGCAAGGGCGGGGGTAATTCAGGGCAGACTGAAACCAATGTCGCTGCAAGCCATGGAGATGTTGGTTGAATGTTCAATGATGCTTTGAGATAGTCTGCCTATCTGATGCTCGATAGTAGTGCATGTTCTCTGTCGTCTCCGTATGCCATTCTATGCCATCGCCACAAAGACTGCATGTTGGCTGTAAGCAAACTCCTTTCATCTCTGCAAAGACTCGCAAGCTTCTCTCCTATGATGTTATCTCCTCCAGCTTCGCTCTCTCTTCTTCTTCGCAGCTACGCTTCCGCAATCGTCATAATGCATCATTCGAATTCCACTGTACCCCCATCTCGCCAGCAGCCTTGTCTGTCCGAGATTTCGCCTTTCAAATCACTCCCCGTTCTTCAATAGTGATGCGGAGTCAATCAGAAGGCGGCGACTCGCTGGGGTCATGCCAGCCAAGCGGACGTACAGCTCCATGCAAAAGATGCCAAACTCGGGTACTCATGGGGCTCAGTGGCCTCACCGTCGGCGTGGTCCTTTTCTTGGGCGTGGCCTCCGTCTCTATGCTTTGTATGCATGTGTCTTCTTTTGGTGACGCGCCTTCACCGTCTGCACTCAGCGATGCCCCTGCCTTGCTTAAAGTACTCTCGTTCTTTGGTGTACCTCCTTTGCATGGTGCGTCACCTTGGCTTCGCATCTCATCTTTGCTGATCGGTCCCTTGCTTGTCCCTGGTCTGCCTGTCATGTCTTTATATGGGATGCCCTCTTTGCCTTTGCTCTTCTCTGGCGCAGCTTTCCCAATAGAGTCGGATGCTGTGCGCAGCTCGGCCGATGTGCGTAGCGCTGCCTTGCGTAGATCAACCTTCAGCTTCTTCCTCTTCTTGGGGTTTTCAGCACTCAATTCAGATGTGGCTTGTTCAAGGCTGTCATCGGAGGCCTTTCGCTTTTTCGAACTCATAGGCGCAGGCTGAAGCTGAAGGGCAGATTGACCCTGAGGGGATGTTTGAAGCTGAGGAGGGGCTTGAGTAGGAGGAGTGGGTTGCGGTTGCGGGGTCGCTTGAGGTAGTGAAGATGGCTGATCTTGAGGAGCGTGCTGTGGAAGAGAAGTTGAGGCAGGCTCGACGGGTGCTGGCTGAACCGCTGAAGGAGCGACAGGTGTGAGGACGGTAGGCTGTTGCTGCGGCTGTGCTGGTGGCAGTGGTGGCGATCCCGGAGGTGACGGAAGCTGCTTCTTAGGTCTGCGTCGAGAGCGACGTGCCCAGTCGCTAAGACGACCTTCACGCAAGATCTCATACTCAATGCAGTATCCAGGCATAGTGCGATAGGTTGGGCTGGGACAATCGTCCATGTCGTCCCACAAGCTGAAGTCTGGCGGGGTGTGGAAGGGCGGCTCTGCGTGCCGCCCATGCCTCCTCGTCCAATCTATCGTCTTCCAAAGCTTTCATTGCATCAATGCGATAGAAGTCTTCGGGGTAGGCGGGATTGTCGGTCGGAGGGGGAAGATCAGAGTAGTCGTACGCCCACGACATGATTGTGATTGCTGGTGTCAAGTGTTGCGCATAGGAGAGAATGATAGTCAAAGCAGCAAGATCTCGGCAGTCAGTAATCGTGGTGTCACTGTGATGGTGGAAGGGTGGTGCAGGATGGATGGTGAATTGATGAAGAGGTGAAGTGAGGGTTTGAATAACTTACCGCGCTAGCGCGTGACCGGACTAGGGTGATGACGTAATGCCAAGCCACGCTACCATCCTTTCCATTCTCGCCTTGCCCTTCTGCCCCTTTCCTGCTCGCACCTAGTTCTACGCGCCTGATTAGATCGCTACCATTCAGATCGCTGCCACTCGCACTGACCGACCTTGGTGCAATTGACGTTCGGCATCAGCCGCCCAGTCACTAGTAACCACTTTCGCGATTACTCCTGAGATTGCCTTGTCTTCTCTAACATCCTAAATGGTAGTCACTTCCCATTTGATTCACTAAGAAATCACCTGCCAGGCATATTTCTTTCTTGGGAGTCTTACTTGAACCTATTTCACACTTATTTCCCAGCTCAATTCGTCAATACTTCTCACATCGTCAATTGCATTTGCCTACCATCCTCCATCATATCACTCGTCATGGATGAATATCCGACCCAGAAAATGACTTCATCGGAAGCGCAAGCTTGGCTCGAATCAGCCACAGGTGTCTCAGACATCGCATTGACAGGTACTTTCCCTGAAAGCTACTCCGCGCCAAAAGATGTTGTGAAGGGCGAGTTCATCCGTATCATCCCGGATAGCGATGGCGCAATGAGAGCGTTCAGCGACCTTTGTCAATTAAAGGCACAGGGAAGGCTTGATCCCCACAACGCCAAATTTATCATAGCAACCGGCAGCGACAGGTTTGAACGGCCTGGCATTACTCATGCCTATGAAGCTGAGTCTGTTACCACGGGGCATTTCACGATTGGATGGCATGTTCTCTCAGTCTCCGGGCCCCGCAAATGGAAGATCGGTACTTCGCTCCAAGAGGTCGACATACTACTAGCCTTCCCAGAGGCCCTCGGCAGTGACCGTATCGCGCCGGTACATGTCACGTTACGATTGAACGAACAATCTGGCGTGTGGAACTTGAAAGCCGGTGCCTCGATGAAGGTAGATAAAGAGCAGCTTCTACCCGATGGATCCATTTGTCTCTCTCGTTACCGCACAAGATTGTGGCTCAATGGCTTGACTTACATAGTGGAGTTCGTTGTCACGGATGCAGAGCAAGAAAAACTGTACATCGAAGAGAGAAATCGAATGTTCCCGGGAAAGTCGATCTCAAGATCGAAGTTCTCAGGACTCCCATTCAATTCCGACATACGTTTGCCCTTTGCAGTCTTCCGAAGGGGACTGGGATCAGGGACTTTTGGCTTCGTCTTTGAAGGGTTCGAGCCAATTCGAGGTGATCCCAGGGTCATCAAAAGACTCCCCCTGGCCAATCAGACAGATGCCGACGAAGCCGCACAAGAAGTTCGCGCGCTCCATACGTTGCGCGGATGTACTGGCATCGTCACAATGCACGGAATTGCTGATAATGAAGGAAGACCGGAATTCCCAAAAGTCTTCCCTAGCGACCTATACATTGTGCAGCAACGAGGAATACCCTTCAACGGATGGCAAGAAGTTATGGACGAAGGAGTCTGGGATCGGCGAGCTAGGCACATGCATTCGCTACTAATGGGCGTGTACGCCTTTCACGTTCGTGGCTGGATGCACAGAGACATCACTACAAACAACCTTCTCTACGCGGTAGAAAAGGGGGAAATGCAGCCGTCTAAGGCCATGCTATGTGACTTTGGCAAAGTCGGCTTTACACGAACTGATATCAAGACACATCTGGCAGCGTTCGAGCTCCTCCCTCCTGAGATCAGGAGGCCCCCACAAGTCCAAGACAAGAGTTATACGCACAAAATAGATATTTGGATGCTTGGTCTAGCCTTGATTCAGCATTGGTGGCCACAGGCAAGGAGCTTCCACCCTCGCGTCCAGGACCAATGGAATCAACTTATCCTTCGGCTGAAAAATGAGAAGGGATCACCACTGGTGCAATTCCTCGTCAAGATGCTGCAGTGGAAACCAGAACTACGTCCCGAAGCTCGCGATATTTTGCGAGACACAGATTTCAAACACCTCATTCCTTTTGAAGTTTGGCGTAAGGGCGAGGAAGAGCGTGACGAGCTCTATAAAAAGGCATTGAAGGAAGAGGAGGAGATGAAGAAAGCGGCTGGGAAAGCGCAGGGGGCGTGAGATGGAGGATTCGGGGAAGCGGCGGCGGCGACATCGAAGATGTATGATAACCACGAGAGCATGCGGAGACATGATTTTCACGACGACAGATACCAGGGAGGCAAAGTTGAGCGCGTGTATTTGAGATTGATAGCCTTAAAGCTGTCATATGACTAGTTGCAATTTCATTGATTGCACAAGGCTAGTCGAAGCATAAAACATCTATTATCCAACAGATCTTGTGAAGGCTTCTGCAACTTATCAGCTTATGGACTCGGTATCTATGCCTGCTGCAATGTCTTCACAATCAAGAAAACTTGCGAAACAATACCTTTTACTGTGTCCTTCTACATTCGTACTCCCGAAGAAACCAAGTGAATGCCTCAAGCATGCTAACAGATTTTGCCCCTTTACCCATCATTGACCACCTTCATCGGGCTGTTTGCCACCCACATTAATATGCCGCGGCCTGCTACTCGCATCTTCATTTATGTAAATTCACGCGAAGACATCTATACGCTGGCAAGAAGATGGGACGATTCGACGTTTCTGGAGAATGACTTTACTTGACACAATGACTTTCTATGATTGTGTGTTTACGTGTGACGGTGACAACAACGCAGAAAGCTCCAAGGACTCTTTCATAGCTGGAATGCTGGCTGACTCAGCACATTCGTCTGAAAGGCCCTCTTGTCATTCGCTCGTTGGTGTCACAACAGTAATACACACGTAAACGTGTCACTATGCCGTGGCGCGTGCTTTACTTATCATTACACAACACACCTGCGTGTAAGCGTAGCAAACACGTCTATTGAAATCAGGGGGAAATTAAATCTAGCATCTTACTTCCCCTGCCTTTCTCACCTTCAACGCCGCTTCTTACTACCTTCTACGGCTTTTCACTGCAAAAATGCATCACCCGGCTCCCATTATCCGCAAAACACCTACCTCGCTCTTCAACATCTACAATCCTCATATTATTCATCGCTATCATATCGGCAAATCAAAGTTCATTACCCCTGCGCTCGCCAGCGCTATCCAGCGAACTCTGCCACGGCAGCGACATCCCAAGACCGTAGCGATAAATCTACATTTCGAAAGTACGTCCTTCATGCTCAACCTTGCGTAACACACCTTACTAACAACTCTTCGCACAGCTCCAGCCATCACACCTCCCCTCAACCGTCACTACGCCACTATCGCCGACAACGACGCCGAGGATATCGCCTCCAGCCCCACCGACTCCCCCTCCCCCTCCCCTCCCCCTTTCCCCCCGACCATCAATGGTACACCCCCACCCCCAACAGTGTCGACCCCATCCGCGAGCTCTCGCTCGCCCTCAAGTTCAATCTGTACAGGCCCAAGGCGCGACTGCACTGCTGCTGCGGGAGTGCCTGGTTTTACGAGTGCGAAATCCCTGATCGCGATGGGAAGAAGGACTGTTATCTTTGGTGCGCCGATATTGCTGAAGTGATCATCAAGATTGAGGACGTGGCGGACTTTGAAGAGATTTATGAGAAGTTGGTGGAGGGGCGAGGGGACGTCAGCGCCTTGAAGATGAATATAATGTAGTGGCAGGCGTGAAAGTTGGGATTCTAGGTGCTGGGGTGGGAACAGATGAGGTGAGGTTTGAATATGGGTGTGGCAAGGGGAATTGGAGGGCATTGTGCGCGATTTCGCGATGTAGGACGGGAATGGATAAATAGAAAACATAGTTTTAGTGAGAGGGATGTATCTATTAAGCAAAGTGCGTAAAGAGAGGCTATTCGCTATCTCGATATCGCAGCTCTATCTAGGTATGCACACCGTGTGATGTTCATTCTGCGGACCCCCACCCTCGACATGCCACGTATAATAGCCCACGCTTTATTAGAGGACGCATGCAAAACCTGCTACTTGATCAATCACTAAATCGGATAGAGAGAGAGAGGGGTATTTGCAACGCAAATGCTCGAAGTAGTAACTTACATAAAGTGAATCGCAGCAGATCTGGCTCTTCCCTGCTATGGATATGCGGTTGCTGTAGCTGCTGCGCCTTTGAATTATGTTAACTGGCTGTTGACAAATTATAATACTATATCTTGCCTGTCCACTAAGGGAGAGACTGTGGTGTCAGTGGAATATCGTGGATTTTATCTTCAACTAATTAGTGTTGTGGAGGGAGCAGTACCGCGACTGCATTGTAGCTACATGTCTGTGTGAATTGTGTTTTGATCTTATGTATACATACTATATCGTTTAATTAGTTGCTCCAGAGCAGCGTCATAATCTTGATCATCGTTGAAGTATGCCTTATAGGCACGATTCATCCACGCCATGCAAGCCATCCACGCTATGCAGACCCTCCACGCTATGTAGACCACCAACGCTATGCAAACGACGCACGCTATGCAAACGGATCAACTAGTGAAAAAGCAACACCCCCCCAACTCATTCCTCTGTCGCATCTAGGCTTCAGAAAGCACCTCCACAGCCTTCACCTCACCTACCATCTCCTGACCCTCCACCCCCACCTTGACCTTCTTTCCCCCACCCCCCTGCTCGTCTCCTTCCTCCGCTTAACACCCCTCTTCCCCCCCTCATTTCCCTCCTCAACCTCAACAAACCGCGAATGGGAGAAATCCACCAACACCAACTTCCCCTCCCGCTCATCCCACAAAACATTCCTAGCAGCCAGATCCCCATGTCTGACCCCCAATACATGCATCATCCCCGTCAACCTCTGAACCTTCCTCTGATTATCCCACAAATAATCCTCATCGACCGCCGTGCCCGCATACGCCATCGCCAAAAAATACTCGATTTCATCCACCGCGCGGATGAGGAAGCGCTGCGCAGGCGCAAAGTGGCCTAGGCACGGCGGGATGGCTTTCCCCTGGAGGGGTGCCAGGCGGGCGTAGATGCTGGCTTCGTGGAGCATGCACGGGATGTATTCGGCGATTGTGCCTTTGGCGACGAAGACGTAGTTGTGCGAGAGGAGGACGAATTTGAAGAGGTAGCCGCGTGCGCCGCGGACGGGGAGGACGCGGCAGCCTGCGTGGCGGTCGTCTTCGAGTTGGAGGTAGAGGAGGCGGAGGAGGTCGGAGGCTTGGATCGCGTGGCGGTGGGGACGGCGCGGGGAGCTGAGGTCGGGGTTGGAGTTGGGGTGGAGCTTGTAGTTGGGGCAGGCTGGATCCATACCTTTCTCCGGGTTGAGGAGGCCTGCGAGGCAGGACTGCGTGCAGTAGGGGACGTTGCGGGTGAAGGTGGCTCGCTCCTCAAATTTGCGGTCGCTCTCTGCGTATTTGAGATCCTCTTTGGCGAAGTCGACGTCGGAGACTTCGGCGTCGTCCACATCGGCATGGTCCACAGTTTGCTTTTTAGCTCCTTGTCGCATGGATGAGGATTTTGTGCCGGAAGATTGCTTCTGGTCGACTGCTTTGGCCTGTGATCCTCGTTTGGGACGGTGACTCATGGCTGGCGTGTGGTCCTCATACTTTTCCTCGTCGCTAGGATCGTTCTCTGATGACATGTTCTCTGGATCGGAGCCTTCCTTGCAATGAGACTTGGAGCCTTTACTCTTCTTATGGAGTGGACTGTCTGCGGATTTCCTTGAATAGTAGCTGTGAAACGAAGTTTTGGCTGCAGTCTCTGGAATGTTTTGCAGCACCTCTTGATCATCAATACCAAATCTAGGGAGGCGCTGTTCGACATGGTCGCCCCATTCCTGTTGAAATCGCGAACGCTCTATAGCCATGAGACAGAAGCCAAGGACTTCACTAACAGCTGTATTGGAATATTCTCTCTCTGCTGCTGCGCTAGAAGATACCTGGTTAGGATTGGTGAGGCGCCAGTGGAGAGTGTAGGGATCATCTCTCGTGATATGAAGCCATAAATAGGATTCGCCAGTCGTAACGTACGCAAATCTCACCCGACCTTTTATCATAGCATTGAAAATTTGTGTGACTGTGGCTGCGACAATTTTCTTTGCCTTGTAATTCAAGGCGTCCTCATTATTCTCCTCTCCGGAGCCCCCTTGACGCGGTCGCTTGGATTGATGAGCTGGCTGCATAATCTCAGCGAGAATTTCCTGCCGGATGCTTTTGAGGCTCAGGCCACGTTGTAGAACATCCGCGGTTACTTTATGGGGAGGCTTGTACTCGACGATGAAGATGAGGTCTGCATCTTCTTCAGCGGTTCGGCAGACCCCAACCTGGTCGGTCGCAAGGTACGGCCTCCGAGCATTTGGCTTGAATGGTGCGGATGGATCTTCTGATGAGGCAATGCCATGTGGAGGCGTCTGAGGCTCGGTAGGCTCCATGTCTTCTTTCAACCCCCTTTCGTGAGTCTGGAAGGAGAAGGGATGGTCAAAGTGAAAAGTCTTCTGTGCTTCTGGCATTTTGCAAAGCGCCGAGGCGATTCGCTCTACGAATTGATTGACAGCGGTATGTTCCCATTGCTCCATGGCGCGCTCGCTAGCCAGTGGCTTCATCTGTGTGAGGGTGTCGACAACTCCCTGAAGGTTGGCGCGGCAAGAGAATACGCGTCTTCGGTCCACATTTCCAGCTTTCAGAAGGTTCAAAGCCTGGTCTGTAAACCACTGGTGCTTCGCCGCCAGAGAGTCGCTTTCGTGGAGGCCTGTGGGATAGAATTTGTTGCTGACTTTCGTGAAGCCTTTGGTTGCACGGGAAAGGTCAGATTCGATCTTGAGAGTTGCCTGCGCTTCATTGTGGCATATCTCTAGGAGCTCTTCGATGGTTGTATCCCGCAGCTGAACATCCGAGATCTCTGCACGAACTTGTGCATCGCTGGCACGAGTTTCTGCATCACTGGCACGAGTTTGTGCGTCGCTTGCACGAGTTTCTGCGTCGCTGGCACGGACTTCAGCATTATTTGCACGGGATGTTTCGGCGTCGAGTTGTGCTTCCGTTACCCTAGCCTGCGCCAAGAGAGCTTTGTTCAGGTCTCGGAGCCGCTGGAGCTCTTCTCGTGCGTCGTCAGCCATGGAGCTCGTAACGTCTGTAATGCTACGTTGCTGGTCGCTCTGCTGCAAGAGAAGGTAGAAGAAAAACGTGTTGGATATTGTTTGTGTTGAAATTAAGCCCAAGTCACGCGCGCGGGAAAAACGCGTGAAGCAAATGACGCCATCTTTTTCACTAGCGGCCATTGCGTCGGGAATCTTTCATCAAGGACATCTTGGCGTCCTCTCCATATGCATACTCAGTATATGAACATGCAAGAAAGTCTTCAACCGTTATTTCATGCTATCTGCTGTCTTTATCACATTGCCATCGAGCAGCTCACTTCCTCATGTTGATCATGATGATATTAATTATGCAAAGTTGTGACCAAGCAGTACAACCTTAATATATCCGGGAAGAAGTCTAAGGCCAAGGCAATCATTGTTAACCGGAAGACTTCAAAGATGACAGCGTGCCTTGGTCAACTCGGTATCATACAGTAGCCCAGGAGCCACCCAAAGCTTAGTAAACTTCCTTTCAGGTAAGTCTTCTTGAGCAGCTCACGGTCACTGAGACGCCGGTAATCCACTCACTCTGCATATCTCCACAAGAACCACACACTTCCCTCATCTCATCCGTCATTCCCCCAAATCACCTCCCGTCCTTCTTTGTCCATCTCTCTTTTTCTCCCACTTTCCCGTCCTCTCTGCCCCCACTCCTCGTCAACCCTAGCACTGATTTCCACCATCTTCTCCACCAGCCCAGCCGAGAAAATTATGGACAGACATACATCTCCTCTTCATGTGTTGCTCATACCTCGGTGCATCAGCATAATCAGCAACTCGCGGCTCGTACCAGTCCCACAACGCCCACACAAACACGCTCGGTACCCGCGATCTTCATTTGACGCGCATATCCTACGCTCGAATGACGCGTGCCGCGAGCATTACAGGAATGCTGGACGAGAAATTTTTTGAAGGGCTACGGGCGAGACTAGGCTGCGAGGCGGGTAAAAGCGTCTGATTTTACGAAGATGCAAAAAAGTCTCAATTGGATTTGCAGGCGTTTCTTCGCGTTGAGAAGTAATTTTGTTGATATTGAGGCGCCCAGCATCGGCTTTACTGCCTCGTCCCAAGCGAGGTGTAACAGTTTCGCCGCGTTAAAGGCATTGGTTGAGATTGATAATTAGATCACTGCGATTCTACCATCCAAAGGGATTAGAAAAGAACTTGCGGCGGGAAGGCTATGGGAATGGGATTGTGGAATTATCGCAGCAGAATTGGCCGATGTGGAAACGACCGACTGAGACTTTATGTGGGAGATGTCGGAAAAGAAGTGTTGATGTGCGGACCGAGGCTCAGAGGAGGCGTTTTCGACGCAGACTCGCTCGCAGCCTGCACTGCCACCTCTTCTCAGGGAGGTCCCAAACTCTTCACCACTTTGAAGGTAACTACAGTGGCTGCCAATAAGGTCGTAGACCTCTGAAGAGACGGCGGAAGAAGTTGCAGGGCTGGATTTGACAGGAGAAGATTTAGCAGGTGACGAAGTGAAAGATGATCATGTGGTGCTGAAGGTAGATGCTTCAATTCGGGTACTTAACATATTAGTAAGGAAAAGCAGAAGCCAGCATGCCTCCCGCTTCCAGAAAAGGGGGTTCAACCTTCTCGATAGTCACAGAAGCGGTTACGGGAACCAAGAGTATCAGTTAGATCAAGTAGAAGAGGTGCTCGGAAAGGAGTCGTTGCGGAGGATAGTTTCGGTAAACAGAATCAAGAACTCAAGAACTCCCATAGGAGTCAATGAATGCATTTGCTGACTTTCGGTGGTGGGTCTCATCAGCCCTTGGCAGCTTTACATCGATACAATGGGTCTCAGCGACTCCCTCCTCCAACGTCTGAACATGCGGCATACAGCCCAATCACGCGCTCTACGTTGACAGTCGACGCCGTTATGGCAGGAGCCTTATTCGTCGAGATAACTGTTCCTACCATGAAGTATCTAACAGCATAATCAACGCCAGCCCAATCACATCCTGGAGAAACAGGAGGTCGCATAAGGCGCACGCAGATAGATCATTCGGGGACACCCTTAAATCTGCCGATTGCATATGATGAGCAACTCGCAAGATTTCCTGAAACATGCTTACTACCACACGATTATGAACTTCGAATCTCAATAAAATGCTTCACCTGACTAGGTCGCTAGTAAGTGACCATCGCAGTGTATGTTCGGTCTAGCCACGCCACGCTAGATACATATTGTGATCCCCTGCCTCTCCTCCTTGTGATCTTAAAAATTTTCAATGTCGGAGGATCCAGTCTTAGTACTTTTCTTGCGAGCATACAACCCATTCAACAAAACCACCAGAAAGCGCCTCACTAATTCTTTGACACTTACAAAGTACAGATTGGGGAATGCATGCGAATGAATGCAGGAATCACTCAAATCATTGGTTCCACAGCCCTAAAGCTTTAAGTGACTCTATGAAATCATGTCCTCATCCACCAACCCGCCGCTTTCACATCTCTTGGCATTCGACTGGCGTGTTAAGAAACTGTCCAGAAAAATCTCTGCCCTGCAGATGGCAACCATGTTGGAGAGCACCACACATCCTCTTAAAAAGAGCACTCAATCCCTTCATTCTCAAGTCAGCTCCACTGACCCACCCAAGCTACCCCAACCCTCAGCCCCCGAGAAACAGACCATTCAACCATGAAATTCCCACTCCACCTCGTCCTTTCCGCCACCATCCCCGCCCACGTCCTCGCCGACATTCTCATCGGCCAAGCCACTGCGCTCGACTGGAGCGGTACAGTCGGCTGTTTCTCCGCCGTGACCATCGGCATGGCCCCCGCGTCCGCCTTCACGTGCCACAACGTCGGCGAATTCGACTCTTCCGATGGTGTCATGGCTGGGCAAGATGACCCTGAGAGCGAAATGTTCGAGTTCAAATTGGAGGACAAGTTTTGCCATGCTGGCTGGGTGACGTTCACGCCGCTTAATGTAAGTCACGTCATCGAGAAACTGTGAGATGCTACCGAGGAGAGGAACGGGGGGCTAATGGAGGGGGGAGGGAATAGGGCGGTTACAAGGTTTCTACGGCGGCGGGTTTGGTCGATTCGGGATACTGTTTCAAAGATGACTCGGCTGCGACTAGCTGTCCTATCAGTCCGTATACTACGATTAATGCGATTAGTACGTGGCGCTGCTCGACTAATATCTGTAAGAATTTTAGTGGGAGTAGGAGGATGATGATGTCGAGGAATATCTTGGGGGAAAGGATTAGACGGTAAGCATTTGATGGTGAGGATGATGTCGCTATTGGGGTCTACCGGAGCGAGAGGATTTCTGATGTTGCTTTTACGTTATTGTCCGCGGGATGGAATTGGTCGTTTTGGTACTTTGGCGAATGAAATGATGGAGGAGGGGTGGTAGGTCTTTCTCATCTTAGAATTAGGTACGTGTAAAGTGTGGATCATAGCGGAGTTATGTCAGCTTGCCACTTCTACCTTTTTCACTGTCCTCCTTTTCTCCCAATGCGCTCATACATATGACGTCGCCTCACCTCTCTCCCTTTCCTTCTACGTCCTTAAAGGCCGGCGCCTAAGTAGCCTTGACGTAGTCCTCTGTTCACTTTCACATCCATCGATTTACAGTTTTATGCTGACGTGTTGCGATGGCATCGTGTCTTTCCGCGGCGGAGTGTTCGGCCGGCTTCTTTGCTAACATAATATCTTTGGAAGTAAGACACTTAGTCTTCACGTTCTTGTACGACACCAGTCTCATGACATCTACAATGAACGATACCTCACGAGTGTCAATCTAAACAATATTATATTGACACCTCAATCAGCCTGGTCTTGGCCAGCGTTCTGCCAAGAAATGTAGGGCTGAATAGTCAGCTGCCCTTGGCTATTTAACCCTGCTCACAACTCCTCAACTCCTCTTCTCCTCCACGAAATCTTACATCACGACCAAACCCATCAACATGCCAGGTCGCGCCGGCCGCAACCGCGCTCGCGATCCCTTCAACTACTGGAACAACACCGCTCCCACGAAACCCGAAGCACAAGCACTAGCTGCACGCCTAGGCTTGGACTTCCCTTCCAATTCTCCACATGGCTATCAGTGTGGTTTGGTGTATGCAATAACCCCCCCCCCCCCCCCCCGTCCTCCAAGAAACCCTTCGCGACATCATTTCTGTTCCTGCTAACAGGGAATTAGATATCCTATACGACGCCTCATCGTCACGGGTGAAGACTCGCCTGAAAATTACGCGATATTGCTGGGACCCTTGTGGGAGACCAAAGCGATGAACATCATCAAGGAGACCCGTATCGAGGTTCTGAAATGTCCACCTGTTGGTTCGCCTAGCTATAAAGTCGCGGGGTATGTTGATCAGGGCGCGCCGAGGTGGACTCCTAAGCGTGAGTCAAGATTTCAGTTGTTGCAAGAGGAGTGTGGTCCTCAGCTTCATCTTGTCCTCGTTGTCACTCCCGTTTCTTAAACTATCGATCTCTTTTGCAATATTGCGCGCGATTAATATAGCGCTATATGCGACCGCTAACGCAGTGATCTCCGTAGCTCCAACGCCCGAGGAAGAAGCACAGCTCGCCGAAGTCCGCTCGATGTCAGATGTCATCAATCAGCACATGGGCGAAAAGAAAAACGTTCAGAATAGTGATGTTAAGGATATGTTGACATCGATGGGTTCCGACTGGGGAAAGAATCTGGGTGCTTTTCAGAGCGCTATGAACGCGCGGAATCAGGGTGTTTAGATACGCTGATCGCCGTAGATCTAGCTATGATGAATGTGCCACCTATTCTAGGTGAATGAATCATCTTTGGCCATGAAGTGCACTCGCTCTGTTGCCACTTCACATGCGATATCAATTTGCTATTCTATCATCCGATTGCGTAACCAATGGCTGCTCTTTGCTTGCCGACAGGCTTTTGCATGCTATCCACGCTCCTAGCAGTAATGACACGCTCAACCACCCTCCCCCCACATCCCACCCACCTCAATAAAACGCAGCCCCAGGCGACGTGGTAGAAAGACTTGGCGCCCCTCCCCTCCCTCCACCTCCACCCCCAAACCCCGCCGAGAACTTCGCCACCTTAATCCCCGTACTCGCCACCCCTCCCACCCCTCCCATTCCCGTCCCTCCCATCCCCATTCCCGTCCCCATCCCACCCCCTTTCACACCCGCGCTCTTACTCCCCCCCACCCCAACCCCGGTTTCAAAAATCGCCCCACCCCTCCTCAACTCCTCCCTTCCCACCTTCCCCACCGTCCCCATCTCGGGATAGCTCGGCGCCGTCGTCGGCAACGCCATCAAAGATGCCTGATGCTTAGCATGATCATACTCCTGCACCGGCGGCGGGCGTTTGCGATAATTCACCTCCTTAATCCCGCCCCAGCCTATCGTGTAATGCATCTGCACATCAGGGTCTCTACCACTATACGTCGGGGGCGCCGTTTCCGGCAATTTCGCATCTCTGATCGCGTTCCCGCGCTTGAGAGTTTTGTATGTAGGGGATTGGGTTTGTGGGCCGTAAAGGACGCCCGGCGCCGTCGGCGGTGTCGTGTCAAAAGCCGTCAACGATGCTTGGTGCGCACTGTGGTCGTACGGCAGCGACGGCGGCGGCCGTTTTCGATAATTCACCTCCTTAATCCCGCCCCAGCCCGTCGTGTAATGCATTTGCACGTCTGGGTCGCGCCCGTCGTACGGCACCGGCACCTTCGCGGCTTTGTCGGGCTTGACCGCATTCCCACGCTTAAAAAGTTTAGAAAAGAAAGTGCCAATACTGCTGCCGGGCTTTACGGGCTGCGGCGCCAGCGTTTCTACTTCTTCCCCCACGGTGCCGGAAGGGTCACGAAAATTGATCGGGTCCGCGCCGCAGTAGAGGTACAGGTTCGTGCTGTCGATGGAACCGAGTGGGTCGGGGGACAGGAAGCGTGAGAGGGACGGGGAGTAGTACCTCAGACCGCAGTGGGAGAGGCCGGTTTCGGCGTCGCGGTCGTAGGAGGCGAAGCGGTGGTTTGAGGGAATGTCAGTCTCGGCGGTGGTGGTGGTGGTGGCTAGGAATGTGGAGATGCCGAAGGGGGAGTATTCTTCGTATGAGAGGATTTTACCGGTGTCGTCTGTTTCGAGGCCGCCGGGGAATTGATATCGCGCTAAAGGCGGGGAGGATGCGGGGGTTTTGCTGGTTTCGAGCAGTACGACGGCGCCGGCTGCTGAGAGGGTGTGTTTGTGTTTCTCGCGCTCGAGTTGGAGGGGTGAGGATGGAGAGGGAGAGGGGGTAAAGCTGCGTTGGATCTCGAGGTTGCCCAGGAAGAGTGTGTCCCGCATCACTTGTGGTTTGGAAGGGTCTGTAGAAGGGCGGGCGGTGGTTTTGCGGATTCGATTGCCGCTGCTGTTGTAGACGTACCATGTTGTCTCTGGAATGCTGTCTCGAATGGCTTGTTGGGTGGTGCTGCGTAAGAGGCCGTTCACATCCCATGTTAGAGTTGTGGGCCCGACTTTGGTCACGCAGCCTTGTTCGCCGGAGATCCCTTCGTAAGTATACGTTTCGGTGAGTCCAGCAATTTCTATGCGTGATAGGCGATTACTTGGTGTTGCGGCATCCAAAATGCTTTTCTCTTCATAAATCTGCTTCTTTTGCCATCCTGGGATTGCTGGGTCGTTTTGGATTTCATGATTGAGTAAAGCAAGATTATCTGCATCATCGTAGTCATAGATCTCTTGGTAATTTCGTAGTTGGCTACCTTCAACAGGTGCTTTTAGTACCTTCGGTTGTGTCGAAGGGCTGCGTGTAGCTTTTGCTTGGGTATCTACCCATTCACGGCCAGTAGCTCGTATCAGGCGCCCAAGTGGATCATATGTGTATTCTGAGATTGGCTTGACAACCTTGCCTGTAAGATACTGTAATTCTGCTGCTTTGTTCTCTACTTGCACCTTGCGGCCTTCGCAATCGTATTGAAAGCCGGTGTCTTGAAGTACTACTGCGCCTGACGCGAATTTACGTTGCATGAGATTCCCAGTGACTCTATCGTGAGAGAAGTCGGCAATGCAGCCGTTGCCATATTTGAAGGTACTAGTATCACCAAATTGTGTATATACAATTTGGGAGATATAATCCTTCGGCTGAGAATTAGGGCTTTTCCATCCGGCAGATATTTCTTGACTCATGCGATTGTACTCTCTGTAAGATGTGTTATCCTGGGAGTCAGTTTCTGAACGGACTCGATCGTGGGCATCGTACTCGATTGCGTTCTTGTACACTTCGGGAAGAAGTTCATTCTGGACAGACCAGTCGAGGGTGTTGCGATAGTCTGACGCGACTTCGAAGGATATTTGTGTGCAATTGGACTTGAAGTCGAATTCAAGATACTTCTGCACTCCAGCCTGGTCCAGACTGGTGACCAACTGACCCCATAGGTTACGCGCCGACGCATTCGTCTCTCCTTCGCCGTAAAGGTTCTTCACGGCGAGGATTTCGGGACCCAAATTCCTCTGAAAGACCTTAGTCAACCTACCAATCTCATCGTACTCGTATCGAAACCGAGTTTTGCGATTAGTCCAGGCAAAAATTGGCTGCCCCCGGAAATTGACGAGCTGGCACTTTTCGCCCGAGTCCATTGATTTTGTAAGCACGCATTGTCCATTGTAGTCATACTCATTGACTTCTGCAAGCCGCTGTCGTGCATCGGATTTGGATCGAAGGTTGCCCGCGCGATCATATTTGACGGTTGAGACAAGCTCCTGGCTGCCTAGCTTTTGAGAAGTGGCTATTGGTCTTCCAATAGCATCCGAATAGGTAGTGATTGGCTTGTCGCCATAGTCAGAGGACCTCTGGGCTGCCACTTTAGTGTTTTCATTTTTCATTTTCTCTTCAAACCAGGAGGGAGAGTAGGATTGTTCAGGTAGGAGTCGGATGTAAGGGCCAACAGTTGCGTCTTGCTTCGGGTCAATCTTGAGAGTGCGGCTTTCCGAGCGAGTCTGTACCTCCCAAGGGAGGGATCGAGTGAGGGACCAAGTATGATCTGGATGGAATATACCAATTTGTCTTTGGAGTGTATCAGTCAGGTAATGGGTGATGGCGCCAGCGATCTTTGTTGGTGGTATGAAAGCACAAGAATTGCCAAAAAATGGCGCAAAGTCCATGGTTGGCACTCCGCTGAGATCACAGATAGGAAAGATGACATTATGCCATGAGACACCACCACTGAACGTTCTAGAAATGGATGTTGCTTGATAAGGAGCTCCAGAGCCATCTAGATATGTCACAGCTACAGAAAGTTGCGCCTCCCCATTGCGAAAATGCTTATCTCTTGAGATATCTACCTTGAAGGCAGGAGTGACGTTGCCGCTAGTCGCTTGCGATGTCTGGGCGAAACGCTTCCGATCGACCACCGTAATACTACCTGCGTCACGAATGAACGCGCGAAGACCATCAAGATTACCAGCTTGCAAGAGACCAAGTATATCCGTGATAGGTCTACTGTATCCTACGAGACTATCACCTACTTGCTCACTACTCTTCCCCAATACGGCGAAGGCGATAGGCTCACCCAGACAATCATATATCGTCTGGCGCCGGTTTCCGTTTGCATTCTCAATTTGTCTCGGTAGCAGGCGATTGTAGTCGTAAAGAGTCTTCGATGAGTTCTTGACGGCATCTGTAATCTCAGTGGGAAGCAGCCAGTAAGTATCCCATTTGGTAGTAGAAACACTGTTCATAGCGTCGAGAGTGCGGATGGGGCGATAGAATGATGCTCGTGCGAGCGCCAGCTCATCTGCCTGTCCTGAGGATGTCGAGTACGATATCGTGCTCGACATGACCCACCAGCGGTCATCAGAGTCTAGATTAATATAACCAGATTTGGGGAGTACTTCCAAGCGCAACTTTCTGTCGAATTCGGTGTCTTCGCTTGGCACAATGGTTTTGAGAGAATTCTGATCCAGCGCTAAATCGTAGCTGCGATCGACTATCGAGAAAGCTTCCAATCTACCAATTGTAGGGACTGTTTTCAGCTCATTGTCTTTGAAAAACACACGAGACTCGGCGATCAAAGTTGAGCTGGCTGGATGGTCAGAAGCTTTCCCCAAGTTCGTCAATTTCACAGCTTTGCGATGGACAACTAAATCCGATACGATCTGCTCGGCTGCCACAAAGTCTTTGGGCGAATCTGACAGGTGGTAAGATCTAGATGAGCACACAAGGGGCGTGCGTAGGTTATCAAGATCATCAACTGAGTTCGTGTAATGTATCTCCTGACATCGTACAATGCTGGCCTGTTGGCTAAGAGCCACCTGAGAAGTATCCGTGGCTGTTGGAATCCGCCCATATGCTATCGTGACGGACAGTATCGGATCTCCATACTCATTGTACAGCGGCGAGATACTATGTTCAATGCGTGGTGGAATATCCGACTGTCCTTCGTAGTAGAAGTTTACGGTCTCTCTAGGCGCTGATGCGAACACTGCTGGTGATTTGTCGCCCGATTGCAACTTTCGCGACGTATAGCCAAATTCATGTACGGTCAAAGGTATGGGCGTCTGCTGTGTCGTATCATGTCCATAGATCTCTTCACGAAGTATGCTCCCGTTCAAAGCTCTGCTGGCCGATGGGGCGTCATTGCCATCTAGATCTTTTGGTATATGACAGGACGCTTGGTGCTGACGCTTGAAGGCGGTCCCAAGAAGTGCTTGAGGAGAATCAGAATTGGTGTAAAACCACGTCTTGGAGTGTTTTTCAGGCGTTGAAAAGGCTTTGCGCGACGAGATGGCTGGGAACGAATCTCGTATCCAGGTCTCTACCGCACCGAAACCACAGAATTCGCGCTCGGACATGTCGTAATACCCGTCATGGTATTCGTATCGCGTCTGTCTTGAGGTTGAAGTGATCTCGTCTATAATCGTAATTCTTTCCACACACTGAATGGGAAACGGGAGTGATCTTTTCCATTTGTTGCCTTTCAAATTGTCATTTAGGTAGTACGAAGTTGATGGCTTGTACTGAACGGTTGTCTTGAGACCGAAGCCATTCGTAATCGTGGAAAGTAAGTGAGGCTTGAGTCCTTTGGTCAAGTCAACGAAATGAAAGGTCGGCCTTCCAGTAGTCTGGCCACTGCCACACCAAACAAGACAGGAAGTCCCGTTACCCAGTAGATCCACTACAGACACAGAGTCTAAGGATTGGAGAAAGGGAAAGTTGGCTATTGCTTGCCCGCCGGCCCAGTCATTACCCGACTGATTAGCATACCAGATCGCGCCTCCCCTTTGAGGAAAGTATATGATATCGCAAGTACCAGAGCCATCTACATCAGCAAGTCGCATGCGCTCCGTGGTGAACCGATCAGCGAGATCGAATACGGGCGAATTCATCATAACGATCTCGTCCCCGAACCGACCGTACCCAAGATTTGGCCAATAGGAGATCAACCCATTGGAGATAGAGACTATGTCGGATAACCCATCACCAGTCATATCTGCGGTGGTGATCATATTTGAAGTGTCTTTCTCGCCCAGCAAAGCGATGCCGAAAGCCCCTGTCGCTCGCTGAGGAGGTCCAAATCCCTTCTTTCCTAAGGATGGAAGCCAGATGACTTGACTGTTGGTGACATCTAGGTGAACAATGTCAAGAAGGCTGTCGCCTGTGACGTCCATTCTGAAAGCAAAATCGTCTGCTGTGTTGACAACAGGCCACGAGGGGTAGTTTTGAAAGTGACCCCAGTCATTTGACGCTCCCCTCTCGTAATATCCTGGTTCTTGTAGGGAGGTAAGGTCCAGCTTTCCAGTTCCGTCAAGGTCTTGCAGTACCCAATCTGTGCCAGTGTTGGGTCTAGGGTTGATAACTTGGGGTCTTGAAAAGGAACCGCCACGAGCATCTCCTGATAATGCATTTTCATTTCGTTGATATTGCCAGCCATATGAATTTGACATGCTTAACAAACCAGGACTACCCTCTCCGTCAAAGTCTACCCAATCGACCTTTTCACTTGGGCGCTCGCCGGGCAGATTGTTAATCTTGGCAACATTCACGGTCATTGTCTCCAAAGTCTTCGTCAGCGGGGTTTCTTGGTAAGTGAATTGATATGGAGGCATAGCCAAACGTTCGTGGCCACCATCTGTCACAGTGTGTCCTTCAATTCTCACAGACATGAGCTTCGTGGCATGCTTTGACTCTTGATACCCCAACGAGACGGAGGAGACGAGACTCTCTGCTCGTCCAAGTGTGTCTGATTCGGGCATGAGGTGGAAATTGAGCAGTCGTCGGCACAAGCGCTGTGTTCGTAGCTCAAAGCCACTATTGAAACGCGAGAAGCAATCTCCTCTCAACGACCAAGGCTTTGAATCGGTAGTTTTGGGGTTGTCCTGGTCATGCTCACCGTAATCAAGGATTACCTGAAAGAGGTATTGCATTGGCTCGGTTGATACTTTCCATGTTTTCAGATCTCGATTTACGGCTCTGTTACCGTACTTGATGGACTTCAGGTACAACTTCGACCCATAAGCTGAAGCTCTGTCTCGTTGCGCCTTGGACATCTTGTTGTTAGGGTCCTCAAGCCCGGCACCGTCTTCAGGTTTGTATGTGAATTCCATGCAGTTGCCTGTGGCATCATAGACTTTGCTGCACAGCCATGAAAATGTTTTTGGCGGTGTCAGGTCTCCGTCCATAGCTTTACTGGCCACTCTAGAGAAGGCAGAGTCTCCATACACCGTCGTAGTATTGTCCCCTGTGATTGTACGCCAATACACATCTGACTTCTTCGTCTTATTACTCCATTGCTCGATTCTGAGATTCTGCGGATCTATTCGCGGCCTGAATCTCCGAACCGTCCAATCACTAGACGCGGGCGGCTGCTCATACTTACTCTCTGTAGGCACGAGGTCATCGTAGCCAGAGAGTACAAAAGTATCAGATTCTGCATATCGCGGGATTGTATTGGCAGTCTTGCGACTGATTTCTGACACTTGCACATTCCATCCGAGGCCAAAGGGGCCATTGCCTTGACCTGAACTGTACGACAGTGCCAGACTCGGCGTGGCGGCAGCGGAGCGCGAGGCAGAGGTCGGGACTGGGATAGAGAAGGACATGGAGCCGTTGAGCGGCGTTATCTGTGGCGATTGATTGAGAGCTTTCAGGGCGCCCCCACCCCCAATGGCCAGCGGCGCCGACGAGAGACCGCTCTTCCTTTCGGCGCTCTTCCCATTGTTATTGCGATTCGAGGTCTGCATGCGTTCAATACCCGACTTCCCCGATTGACCCGAAAGGCCATCGAGGCGTTTGGACAAGCTTGCCATGACAGCGGCAATTCACCAGAGCCAGGATATACCCTCATTGAGTTCCGAGGGTACCAGAGTCGGTATCAATGGCATCGATAGGCAGCCGTCGGTCTCTCCGACGATGAGGAAACATTCATCGTGAAGCATACTGAGAATCCTTTGGCCAGAGGTCATCAGCCAGCTGTCACCAACCATGGTCTAGAACCTCGAGCTATGACCAAATGATGCGATTGATTGGGGGGTAATGCATGACGGGACTAGCTTGTAAGGGGCCTCTCTAGTGCAACCCATTAGACCCATTAGTCACGCTCGCCTTTGAACTGTCATTGGTGCCTATCTAGACGCTAAGTTTGTAGGTGAAGCCCCCTAACGGCCGCCAAGACCTGCGCGACCCGCCCCCAATGCTTACCTCGCTAAAGCATTTCTGCCATGAAGCTTGACGGATGGAAGTAAAGTGTTATACAGTCAAATAAGTATGCCAAGAGACATATGATGGTTTGCACAGTCCTTGAGATCACCATTGGGTATGGTGTGTTGGTACATGCTGTGAGAGGGTCCGCTGCAGGTCATTTCCCTGCCCCCCCGGGAGGATTGCGCCAAGGAGAACAAGCCTCTGGCGTGGCTGACAGCTAACGGCGTCGACGAGGGTCTGGACCAAATGTGGCTTCCGGCGGAGGATCCGTCCCCTGCTAGCTCCGCCTATCTCTTCACGCTATCCCACTTTCTCGTGCCGTTCTTTCCCCTTTGGTCACATCGATAACGCTTTGGGAGGGAGAATTTTAGTAGGCGAATCTTTCAGCAACGATGGCGGGACACAAGCTTTGCTCGGCGGCAGATAAGCAACAAGGGGAAGGACTGAGAGAGGCCATGAACCCGCCCCTCATCTCTCAGCGTCTGCAACGGTCCTTTCCGCATGCAGAGGGTGATTATCGCATCTTGATACCTCTCAGTGACACCCTGAGTGGTGAACGCGACGCTGAACACGTCGAGCTCGACGACTTGATGCCGTAGAAATGGTCAGGGAAGACCTATCTTGTGAAGACTTCAACAGCTAACAGTTCAGGCCGGGCCAGACACTCCCGCTGCGACACCGCAGCCAACTCAGCCTCCTGCAAATGCAGCGAACCCAACGCCAGCGCCGTCTGCGCCGAAACCCGAGGATGCTATCGTGAATGCCGTCGTTGAAGTCTTTAAAAGCGACGTCCCACTGAGCGATGCCTTGGTCGCAGGTTTGCGCAAGGGACAAACGTTGAGCACCACAGTAGATCAGATCGTGAGCTCGACCCCGACCTCGACTACATGGTCGAGTGCCGTGTGGAAAGCTACGTCCGCCAGGACCTTCGATAGGTTCGCAAAGTCCGATAATCGATTGCTGCCTTTTCTACTGCGTCAGGCCGTCGCAGCCGATTTATCGGTAGCAGATGTAGCAATCAAGTTTTACACCCTATCGCAGGGAGGAAAGGCTGCATCTAGCGAGAATGAGACCTCATTTCAATCGAATTTGTTCATCGCCGAAACTGCAGCATGTCTCGCTGGCTTGATTGATCGCAACGAAATCCCTGCAGAACAGAATCTCAAGGCCGGCCTTCTCGCACTTCTCGAAGCCGCGAGTCAGAAAGGGACCAGCTTCCCCAGAATTCGGGCTACAACTTTGCTGGATTCTGGGTCAGTGAGTGTGAACATCGATATTCGCTCCTCGGTAGTCGAATCCTTTGAAGACATCCAAAGACTGGCGAATCTCGTCCGACTCCCACATCAGATCGCGCCTCTTCTCAGGGCGAAATATAAATCGGCATATTCCATTGCGCAGACTCCTGTCGCGACATTTATACAGGCTGTGACAACTGCTGGCCTGCCTATCGACGACGCACGGCGAGTCCATGATTTTGCAACTACAATCGAGATACGTAATGAACAAGCTTGGGCCGGCGCCTTACAAGATCGTAATGACTCGCTCATGCTGCCGGCTGCTCCAACTACAGCCCCGGCACCAAACCCTCCTACTATACGAGCCGACCCTAATGATAAGACCATCAATCTGACTAACCTCTTCAACGACATGGACAGTATTGAATGCGCTGACTGCTCCTCAGTAACAAGCCCTTCAGCCTATTTTGTCGATCTTCTCCGATTTCTGCAAGAGACTAAAGAAGATATGAAAGCCCTAGCTTCCCCGTCTTTGTTCGCCTTACTCATAAAGCGCCGTCCCGACCTGCGGTATCTTCAGCTTTCATGCGCAAACACGAACAATACCATACCCTACCTGGATCTAGTCAATGAGTTGCTGGAATACTTTGTCCTCAATGTCAATGGTAAAGTCCCGAACATGGAGGATGAATTTGCCAAATTCAATAGCCAGGCCAAAGACAGTGGCAAAGTAGACTCACAGCAGCCGCAAAACTTGAACAGAGATGTATACCAGAACCATATCCTGCGCCAGACTTACCCATTTCCCCAATTGCCCTACAATCACAATATTGATACAGCTCGAGTCATACTAGAGGCTTTGGGGACTACCAGGGAGACAGTCTTGACCATTTTCGGTACTGATGAGGCAAGCATAACTAATGTCAGCCCCTGGAAGCGCGAAAGGTATACAGCACTTGAGAGAAGCAGGGTTGCCACTGAGAAGCGGATTGCCACTTCTCGAGCCATTGCTACCGAAAGCCTAGGACTTATTGATGAAGACTTCTTCGCGATCACTGGTGAGGGTCTGGAATCGATCGCTCTCTTTCGAGCATATTGGGGAGGTACTCAAGATGTCTCCTATGACAAATACAGATCCTTCTTTGATCCTAAATGGACCGAGAATCTGACGCCTGCTGGGTACTGGGGCTATCGTCAAGATGGACAGAACAGTCCTCTGACCCTAATGTTGGACGACAAAAACGGGACCGGGCTCACTTTCATCAAACGGCAGCTCCTGCCTCGTAGTGGCTTACTATTGGCAGAGCTATTGGAGATCCTTGGGACACAATTCATTGCAAGACGTTTGACCATTGTGGCCGAAACACCTGATGGAGCATTTACGGATGAGATCGATAACATGAGGCTGAAGACTACTTCCTTAGTTGACCCGACGTCCAACAAGCTCACGGAATCTATTTGCAATGACCTTCAAGCTTTCATCAGACTGCGGAAGCGAACGGGAATCGCAACCACAGAGCTCGACAGTATCATTTCTAGCTCAATACGAGCTGACTATATCCCCTCAAACAACTTTTCGATTACGCCCAAGGCCATTGAAGACTTGGCAGCAGCGAGACAACTGTCTGTTCTTGCGAGTCTAAGCTTATCAGAACTCCAACCCTTGTGGAGTACGATGGATACAAATGGCCCAAAGAGTTTGTATGCTCGATTGTTCTACAGCACGCGATTGACCGCACAGGATCCAGTCTTCAGTGTGTTGGGCAAAGGAGAGACACCTGCGCAGCTGAAGATCTCTGAGCATCGCACTGTGATCATGAGCGCTCTTGGTCTCAACGACAAAGACTTGGACAATCTCATTGACGCAGCCGGGCTGAAACCAGCTGACAATCTTTCAATAAAAACGATTTCTCTGCTCTACCGAGTCAATATTCTCCGTTCGATTTTCGGCGTAAAGATTACCGACTGTTCTCAGCTGTATTCGATCACTTCAAGCTCTCTAGACTCCATCTGCCAAGGACCTCAGCAGACTTTACAATATCTGAAGCAGTGGCAAGAGATCATTGCCACAGGCCTGACGACAGAAGATCTGAATCAGATCATACCAACTAAGAGTTATACACCACCACAAGACCCAATGATCAGCTTCTCCGTCAGACTGAGTACAGGATTGGCTGCTGTCGAAAGAACGTATCCTTTACGAAAGGATGAGGCAACGGGCTTTGAAGAAGTCCAGAAAGCTGTCGCTTTAGTTTTTGAATCTTCAGTTGTGCCCACTGTCATGGGTTTCATAGAAGGTTTGTTTGATGAGTTCTAGAAAGGTTGAATACCAGCACTAATGTTGAGCAGGAACATCGACCATTAGCTACGACGTAAAGTCTCTCAAGGCATCTTCACTTGCCACGATCATTCCTGCGCGACTAACTTTTGACTCTGGTAAAGCGCCGGGTGAGGGTCGCTTGAACCTTACTGGTCTTCTGGATACAAGGGAAACAAAACTGTTGTTGGACTTCACCTCTGAGGAGCCGGAATTGAAAAAGGCCGTTGCATACATGACCGATGCCTCAAGAAAGACTTTCGATCTGATCAGACTTCGATTACAGATCCCAGAAGCAGACGCCGAGAGAACATTTGCCACAGATCCATTGGATGAGGAAGCTAGGAAAACGCGTCGACTCCTCGTTCTGTCTTTCTGTATCCCGGTGCTGAGGTATCAGCTTGCACGCCAGCTGGTTCTTGACTTGCTAGCAGCAGAATTCAGTGGGGTCGATCCAGCTGCTTTACTTATCATCGTAACAGCAGTGATCAAGACCACCGGGGAAGGCGCGACTCAGATTACTGCACTTGACTCACTTCGCGGCTTATGTGATCTCCAACCCGATGAGAAGGCTTTCTCAGGCTACTTCATACCCCCGACAACTAACGCCTACGTATTTGTCTCTAAGTCACTGACATCAAAGTTGGCTGTCGATGGCCAGATGATAACACCCGAGAATGTCGGCGGGGAACGGAAATTTACGACTTCACGTTTGTTGAATGGCAGATCCTACAGATTCTCGTACACAGGAAATCTTGCCAAGGAGATGCGCTTCATGCCAAAAGACGGCCTCGTTCAGCTTACTCTTCCACTCGAAAGCCTTCTCGACGAGAGAATTGTCACAGCAGTTCAATCGATCTACCGAAGCCTTGTCGCAACGACAAGACTGTCTCAAGTCTTCAAGATGACAGCGGAAGAAATTCAGTACTTCCACCGTGGGAAGAACATACCGTTAACATACGATTTTAATGATATGTCTTTCCGGGGTCTGCGAGACCTTGTCACGTATTACAACCTGCGGCAAAGCATAAGTCCTACGTCCAGCGATGTCAAATCAAACCTTCTTTCTCTTTTTGCTTTTTGCAAAGACAACATACAGACCAACGATCCTCGTACTATCGACCAACTATATGAAAAAATCTCAGGCGCAACTGGCTGGCCACTGAAAATCGTTCAACAGATCATGGTACAAAAATACTCGAACAAAACCCTGGACTGGCGCATCGCACTTTTCAGAGGATTTGAGGAGCTGAAGAGTCTTCAGGACGTCATCTCACTCTCTCAGCGACTAACAAGTATTCTCCCCTCACTTGAGATATCGACGATGTTTGGTCTTGCTACTCGTAAATCCTTTACAAGACTGAATCCCCATCTCTATGAGTCTCTGTCCGCGGAGAAGCTAAGACTTGCGACAATGTCCGTAATAGACCAAAACGAAGTACTGCGACCTGCTATCGATACTCTTCGGGAACATCGGAGAACGGCTCTTCTGGCATATATCCTTAACCATCCTGCAGTCAAGAAACTTGGCATCATTAATGAAGACTCCTTGTTTGAGTACCTTTTGATAGACGTTCAAATGGGACCACAATTACTCACTTCCCGTATGAAACAAGCCATTTCGACCATCCATCTCTTTGTACAACGTTGTCTTCTTGGACTAGAGATCTGGAATCTCAGTGGCCCAGATCCTAATGCTCCAAAACTCAAAGTCCGTAGCGATATAGTCTCAAAGGTCCGCTGGTCATACCTATCTCAATACACACTATGGGAAGCCAACCGGAAGATCTTCCTCTACCCTGAAAACTGGATTGATCCAGTGTTGCGCGACAACAAAACTGACGTATTCAAACAATTCGAGACGTCTTTACAGAGCAATAACCTTGATAAGGACTCCATCTTCCAGGCCGTCAAATCGTACGTCTATGAGGTCAATGAGCTGGCGCATCTCGAGTATCAGACGTATATCTGGGAATTCGTCGATGATAGCGTGAACAAGTACCACTTCTTTGCTCGCACCAAACATGAGCCATATGAGTACTATTATCGAATGTTTAAATATACCAAGCTCGGAGCTCGATGGATCAGTCGGTGGGACTCATGGATGAAAATCGATATCGATATTGTATCTCAAGATGCCGACTTCGACGGCTCTACGATTCCAGGCAAAGGCGCTTTCCTGGTCCCTGCGATCCAAAAAGGCCGCCTTTACCTCTTCCTCCCTCAGGTCGTGATAAAGACCAGTCCCGTCGCTGCGCCGACTCCGGTAGCTATGAAAGGAATGTGGAACGAGCCCAAGAACGACCCACTGCAGAGGCAATATTGGGAGATCAGACTGGCATGGACCGAGCTGCGCAACCAAAAATGGACGCCAAAACAGATGTCTCAGGAAGCTTTGAAGATCAGTAGTCTTCGACAACCCATAGGAAATTACATCCTCCCTCCTCTGGCAAGTATACGCTTCTGGGCGACCAGACTTGATAATACTACACCGAATGCAGCCACAGATGATACCCTAATCATCGCTATCGAATCGTGGTACGAAGCGCGGCGAGAGGTCATCGGGAACCTTCCAGTCAGAACTGACCTGGGCGAGAAACGAGCATTTGAATACAATTTCCCAATCACGAAACCATCGAGTCGGTGGGGACTAGGCGCTTTTAAGATAATCGGATCGGAGGTCACCGTTTCCGACTACGATCCCCCCAACAATCTGTTCGTTTGCTCTTACTTCTATAAAGTTTCGGCCAAGGTAGGAACCGCTCCACAAGACAAGGTGGGCTTGGCTCGCTATTTCCCTAACTATCGGGACGTTTATGACAAAACTGTTCCTCCGAACACTGGTGGGTTTCAGGGCAATATACCAATTCTGCTAGCCCTGCCTAACGATGTCAAAACGGACAATGAAAACTTCAGCTGGACAATGTCTATGAACGTCTCATGGTCGCGTGTACCAACAGCGCTTCTCATGGAGCAATGGGTCTCGGGCAAATCGCAGACTATCTTCTCTGTGTTTACTAAGCCCGCTGATGAGAAGGTTATCGCCGAAGATCACCTTCAAATCTCACATCCTTACGCGTTCGACCTAATGGAAAGATCAACCCGCGCTGACGACATATATCCTATCTATCAATTCCTTAGTAGCGTAAAAGCCCCAGCTTCAGGTGATAAGAATCTCAATGCATATCATGCTTATGGTGCGCTGGATCCCAAAGCTGCAAAAGTCGTTGAATACGCGGAGCAGGCTTGTGCACAATCCTTGTACGTATGGGAGCTCAGCCTTCACATTGTGATGCTACTGATGGAGAAACTTCTTTCTACTCAACAATTCGAACTCGCGCTGGACATTGCACGTCTAGTGTTTGATCCCAGGGAAGAGGGTGATAGCTTGCAGAGATGCTGGAAGTTCTTTCCGTTCAAGAATCCGGAGATGGCGAAAATGGGCACAGTAAAAGAGTCTCTGAGTAATAAGCCAGGGGATGCCGGCAATGAAGCCCTTATCCAGTGGAAGGAGAATCCGTTCTCTCCTCATGCTGTAGCACGAGGTCGACCCATGGCGTACATGAAAAGAATTGTCATGAAATACATCGAGATTCTCATTGCGAATGGAGACGATTTCTTTCGTCGCAATACTTTGGAGAGCATACCCCTGGCCATTCAAAGATACGCAGAAGCATCGCAATTGTTTGGACCCCGGCCTCGCAAAATCCCTCCCTTAGGATCAAAAACTGCTCAGACATTCGCGCAACTTGACAAGTCTTTCAACAGCTTCTCCAATGCTGCAGTCAAGATGGAACTGGAGTTCCCCTACACTTGCGATCCCCGGAATCGTGGAGCAACGAATGCGGCAACCGCCTTGGCCAAAGGACAAAAGCCAAATCCTTTCATGGGCTTTGCAAAGACGACGTACTTTTGTGTTCCCGCAAATCCAAAGATGATGGAACTTCGCGACTTGATAGATGACCGGTTATTAAAGATCAGGAATTCTATGGACATCAATGGCAAGGCTCGAAGTCTCCAGCTCTGGGAGCCGCCAATAGACGCTGGTGTCTTAGTCCAAGCCCAAGCGGCGGGAATCAGCTCGTCATTGCTGCTGACTGACCTGGATGCCCCAATGCCTAACTATCGGTTCTTGTATCTTCTCCAAAAAGCTTTCGAACTTTGTGCAGAGCTGAAGAGTATGGGCGAGTCTTTCTTAGCAGCAAAGGAAAAGCGGGACGCTGAAGCTTTCAGCCTCCTCACTGCAAGGCAAGCCGTGGTCTCTGAAACAATGCTGATAGACGTCAAGCTACTGCAGAAGACCGAGGCGGAAAAGAGCATTGCTGTATTGGAAGAGACGAGAAAGTCTCATGAGATGCGGCTGTCATACCATCTTGAACTGACTGGTGAATCCCTGAGCAAAGTGCCTAACGAGCGGACGGCCTGGCAAGATCTGCAGCAAGCGATTGACAAGCCGAGCAGCGACGATCTACGCATGAGTTCATATGAAAAAACTGAAATGAACAAAGCGGACAGTGCCGCTGATCTGACCGAGAAAGCCTCTGTCATGGATGCGATTGCGGCTGGTCTGATGGCGCTGCCAAATCTTACTACCACCGTCCAACCAATGGGCGTAGGAATGATGATGAAGATCGATGCCGAGAATATCGCGAAATTCATGCAAGGCACAGCAGTGGTGTTGAAGCTGAAAGCAGAAATGGACTCCTTCGATAGTCAGCGCGCCGCTCGAAAAGCTACTCTCATCAGGCAACTTCAGGAGAGGCGGCTCCAGGCCAACCTCGCAGGCCACGATATCAAATCGCTTGACAAAGAACTCGAAGTCTCTCGCGTACGGCTGGCATTGTGCAATAAAGACATTGAAGTGCAGAAGAAACAAGCCGAGCAAGCTAAGGAGGTGCAGACTTTCTACCAGAGCAAATATACGAATGAGAAGTTGTATACTTGGATGGAAAACACGATTCGCTCCGCTTATTACGACACATACCTCGCCGCAATGCAGATCGCCAAAAAAGCCGAGAAGTCCTTCCTGTTTGAACACCCCCTCCACCGCAATCGTACATCACATCTCGCCCAAACAGGCTTCTGGGATAGCGGCCGCGACGGCCTCCTGTCGGCCCACAACCTCTACCTCAGTCTGAAGAGACTAGAAGCCACCTACCACGAGAAACGCTCTCACGACTTTGAACTCGTGAAGAACGTGTCGTTACGACAGATCTCGCCCGCTGCGCTACTTACCCTCCGCGAAACTGGCAAAGCAGAATTCACCTTGCCCGAGGTGCTGTTCGACATGGACTTCCCAGGCCATTTCATGCGGCGAATAAAGACCGTATCCGTCTCCATGCCATGCCTCATCGGGCCCTACTGCGGCACGAACTGCACAGTAACACTCCTAGAGCACCGAACGCGCGTGTCGGGGAAGAAAGGGGACAACTACGACGATCAGGGCCGCGAGGATACCCGCTTCAGGACCGATCGCGTGCCTATCTCCTGCATAGCCATCAGCTCCGGCCAATCCGACACCGGCACCTTCGAGCTCAACATCAACGACGAGCGCTACCTCCCCTTCGAAGGCGCCGGCGTCATCAGTAAATGGCGCCTCGAGTTCCCCAGCGAGATCCGCCAGTTCGATTACGATACCATTTCCGACGTCATATTGCATGTGCGCTACACGAGCATCGCGGGCGGGTCCGCGCTGCAGAAGGCGGCGAACGCGAGCGTTAAAGGCTATTTGAAGACCGTTAGTGAGCTCGATTTGGATAAAGGCGGCGTCAGCGTCCTGTTGGATTTGAAAAACGATTTTCCGAATGAGTGGTTCAATTTTGCGAGTATTGGGGAGCCGTTCGCCTTGGCGGGGCTGAGGGATAGACTGCCTTTCTGGACTAGAGCCGCGACGAATGTTGTGGTCAAATCGGTGTATCTTATTGTTAGTAGTGCGCCCATCGCCAATGACGCTGGCGTGGAGACGAGGCCGGACTTGGTGAATTTGGTGGAGGGGGAGAAAATGAAGTTTGAGGCCCCCTCCAGCGAGGCGAGATTGAAGAAGAGTGAGGTTATTCCTATGCCGGGAGTGGGGAAGGGGATGGGCGTTTTTGAGGTGGAGAAGGTCGCGGGCAAGGTGGATAGGAATTGGAAATTGAAGTTTAGAGTGCAGGAGAAGAGGGTTAGGGATGGCTTGGGGGGGTTGTGGGCGGTTGTGAGGTATGCGGCTGAGTATAAAGTGTGAGGAGAGGATGTGCTTCTTGGAGTCGTGAGACGGGAGAGAGATATATGGAGCGTGGTCGCACAATATGGCATGTCAAGCAGGAAGGTGGCTTTTATCGTTAACATAATGTGCAACTTGTTATCCATGGTTACAAGGACCTTTTTCTTAGGCCTCTGAATAGGAACTTTGGCACCTCCTGTTCCGTCAGTCTTAAGGTCGTTTCTGTCAATCAGGCGTTTCTTTAAATACCAACTCACTGCGTATGTGCCTAGGTATTAATAGATTGTGTTGCTACGACAGTAGGGTGCTTAGCCAGCCCGGGGCTGCTGCCTAGCTTTGCTCACGAAAGATACAGTCATTGGCTAGCGTCGATACTTGAGCAGCGGAAGTACTTGACGGGGAGTGCGTGAGAGCTATACGGAAGAATTAAGAGAGAATGAAAAAGGAGTTGTAGCCAAATCTAATCACTAGAGTCTCCGGAATTAGGTTTGTTTTCTGCTTATTCCAACTACTAAACCCTTAACAAACCTTAACTTTAGATACCCTAGCTACTCTCCTAATTTTTAAGTGGCTCCCCCAATTCACATAGCAATATACTGCCAATCGTCCTTTTCACTCGTCACACGTACAACCTGCCGGCAACAGCCCAACTCCAGAGATTCAAATTTGCGACGATAACGTCGGCTAGCAACCTCAGCAAGGTATGCGAGCAGTCTCCTTAGCCTCCTCCGAATCGTTAGGTATAAAGTCTCCTCCAACGAAAATTTGACACCGTCTTCAGCTACACCGGTGGCATCTCCGAGCAAAATATAGCCGCAGCTACAGTTGTCAATCGATAAAAAAAGTCGTTTGCAGGTGTATAAAGTCAAAGTAGGCAGGATAAATTTGCAGAAAAGGGTTAGGGGAAAGTGAGAAGCCTTGTAAAGGACTAAGTTTCATTTGGCGGAATATGCAGGAAGACTCTAATATACGCCAAAAGACGGTCGATGTCGCTGTTGCCAAATTTCACATCTCGGACCAACAACTGGCTTAGGGTCTCTAGATTAGCAATTGTAATAGCGCGATAGCTAGGGCTTACTCCATCTTAGGTCATAGTCATCGCTATCTATTGCACGTATAAAGGCCTTGGCAAGAAGCTTGTTCAACTTGTATCTGTGCTATGTGACGGCATAATTAGAGGTTATACGATACAGGTAAGCCTCGCGCAACTGTGCGTAATCGAAGTATTCTTGTACTTCGTGGACATCCCATTGCCCCCAGCCTTAGAAAACTCGCATTATTGTGCTAGAATATAAGATCGCTTAAGGTACATATTATTCCCCTGCCTTCTAAGATATGTTTTGTTGACAGCAATACGAATTACCTTGACTGCCCTAGATCGCAAGATTTACCTAGAAAATAGGTATTTTTAACAAGGACAACTCTAAATTTACTATAATACTATTGCTGCCTCGCCTTGGTTTATTTAATTTATAATTATTAATCTTTATAAGAGACTACCTATATAAGATATAGTAATCTAGTTATATATAATATCTACTAAGGTTAGGGTTAGGAGATTCTATTAGTATATTTATCGCTTATACCTAGCTTATATTATGAGATTTAGCTTAATTTCTATTAAGGTAGTCTATTACGCTCTTATATAATCTTCTATAGTTAGTTCTATATAATTCTTATTTATAGTTACTATACCTTCTCCTCCTATAAATTTTAACCTATTAGGATTATATTTTTTTATATAATTTTAAGTAGTCCTTGCTAAGTATTTAGTTCTTTTAATTGTATTAGTTATAGATAGTTTTTAAAACGCCTAATTAACTAATATATTTATCTCCTTTTTTTTCTTTTAATTCCCTACTTACCTTTTTTTCTATTCCTTCTATTAAAGTTTTTAGTTTAATTTTAGCTATAGGTATTCCCCTTTCTTTATTTAAAAGCTTTCCTATCTATTAGGGCTTGTTCTTCCGCTATCTTAGGTAGGTACTTAGAATTTTACCCTACTAGCTCTCTTATAGGAGTTTATATAACTTATTTCTTAAATATAATATCCTTTTTCAATATTTACTAAATTTTAAGTTAAAAAATTTTAGTCTATTTTTTCCCCTTCTATAGCTATTAGCCTTTTATAAAATAAGAGGTTCTAGGTTTTATTTAAAGCTAAAAACTTTTTTATTAGTTTTATTTTTTATAAGATAGTTTTTTAAGTATTTATTTTTCTTTTCTAGCTATTAGAACTTTTACCCTAATTACTAAAAGTACTTTTTTCTACTTAATAACTTCTAGCTAGAGTTATCTTCTTAAGGTATTTAATTAAAGTCTATTTTTTCCTAAGGTATTTAATTTTAATTTTAATTTTTTTATTTTTATTTTTCTTTTCTATTTCTAAATACTTTTAAATAATATTATAATAATTAATATTAATTTTTTACTTTTTTTAAAATATTTAATTTATTTTTTATAATTTAGGGATATTTTAGCTCTTTTAAGGGATTAGTTAGAAGATAATTTAATCTTTTATTTTAGATTAGAGCTAAAATTAATATTAATATTTTACTACTTAGTTCTTTAATTCTTTGTTTTTTACTTTTTACCTTTCTTTTTACCTTTCTTTTTAAATAAAGTCCCCCTATAGCTTTTTTATAAATATATTTACTCTTATTCCTACCCCTATAACCTGCTTTAAAATATAAATAGGCAAATATATTTAAAATTAAATATAATATAATGTTTTTAGCTATTCTAGCTGAGTTAGTAATTTTATTAATTTATATAAGTTTTTTATTACTTTCTAATAATTATTTTAACTTTTTATTACTTACTTTAAAATCTTTTTTATTAGTTCTAGGAATACTTTTTCTAATACCTTTTAATTTATAGGCTTTTATTTAATTTAAACTGCTATTAAAAGCCTTTTATATTTGAAAATTAGGGTAAAAAACTAATAGTAAACTTTTAATTAATATGCTAGCTTTTAAAGATTAGAAAATAATTTTAAATAATTTACTTTCCTTGCTACTACTAATATTCAACTTTTAATATATTTTAAAAAATTAATTTTAAATATTATTATTAGAAATCTAAAGTAGTTATACTTTTTAACTTATAAGATTTATTTCCCTTATTATAGAAGGGGCTTTTATTATAGATTTTAGCTAATATAGCTATATTTTTTAAGATTTATTTTTAACCTTATTTCTCCTAGCTATTTTTTAAGAACTTTTAATATATTTTAAAGCTTTTAATCTTTTTTCCTTAGAAATATACTATTATTTATATAAAATAAATATTATAGGACCTTTCTTTTCCTTCTATTTAAATACTTTAAAAGATTATTAATATATAGATTAAAAAGTATTAAGAATAATAAAGAGCTTTAAATAATCCTTTAAGTCTTCTTTATCTATAAAAACCTTCTCTCTATTTATAAAAACTATTAATTACACTTTTTCTATTATTAAACTTTAGATTAATAATTAGAATAAGTATAGCTAGCCTTTTTTACATAAATAGATCAATAGCTAGTTAAAATTAAAAATATTAAATATTGCTTAGAAATTAATAAAAACTACTTACTATTAAAGTTTATTCTTTAAAAAAATATAATTATTATAAGATTTATTATTATAGATAATTTTTATTAAAACTTTATTTAGATTAAATATATTTAAATTTATAATTAATTGTAACGGTCGTTTGCCTATACAAGGGCCGTGCAACGACTAGCTTGGGTCGTGTACAAGCTAAGTTGGCTTAGCAGGTAGTGACGAGCTACAAACGCAAGAGAAGGTAAGCTCTGAACGGCAAGCCTAAACACTGCAACAGTAATGCGATTTATACGTAAAGCTCTGTTAGGGTATTCAGTAATAAATATATTAACAACTAAGGAGCAAACTATCTATCGCAAAAGGAATAACATTATATATCTAAAGGTGCTCGCACCGTGCGGGCTGCTCGCAGTTAGCAGAACTGCAAGCACTGCGTTTGCTGCGAGCGCTGCAAGCGATGCGTAGTTAGTTGCCTAACCGAACTAGTAACGAGTATCCGTGCGCTGTAAGTCCTGCGGGGCGTAATACTACCCCCTTATGTTACTTCCTGAATTTCTTTAAGGCGGTTTGGGCGTTTTTAAGGTTAGAATATAGCTCCTACGTGTTTTCCGAGCTTAGATATCCCTTCTACTTTACTAGGAATTGTCTGTTATCGGATTCTTCTAGTATTTTTTCTACTTCAAACTCCTCTTTGTTGGTATAATTTTACGATGTTGCTAGCTTCGCTCCAGGTAGTGCAACCTTTAGCAGCGAAGCATAGAATTTTGGAAACGTCTTTGTTTATAGTAAGCTCAGCGTTACTACTGTATCTTTGACTTTCTTAACTTCGAATGCCCCTATATACAGCCTTTCGAGTTTGTTATCCGTTAGGTTCTTAGTGCTGAAGTATACGAGATTTCCTAGCTTTAAGATTATAGGTTTCTGTCCTTTATTTTTCTTCTTTTCTATAAGCGCTCTTCCTCTATTGAGCTGTTCCTTCAACTTCTCCTAGTACCTGGCTTTATCGTTAACGAAGTTGTTGACCGCTAGTGCTCTGGTGTCGGTTTTTCCTATCCTAACGCTCGTTCCCTAGAATACCTTGTTCAGGGTACTCCTAAGGTCTTCGTTCTATAAAGAGTTTATTGCTATTTATACTGTTAGCAGCAACTCTGCCTAATTGTGCTGTTTGTCTGCATAAAACGTTTTCAGGTATCCTTCCAGAGTTTGGTTTATTTGTTCTATTTGTCCGTCGGATTGGGGATAAAACAACGTCGACATTCCTGTTCCTATTTCCAAGGCTTTTCGCAGCCTTTTAAAGAACGCAGACGTAAAAAGTTTGTCCTGATCTGTTATTATCTTTGAAGGGAGTCCTTTATCGCAGAACTATTCCCTTATAAGGAGTCTTGCTAGGTCCGGTACGTCTATTGTCGTATAGCAAGGCACGAACTTAGCGAACTTAGAGAATTTATCGATAATTGTAGCTATTATATTATA